ATTTAACTGGGCTATTAAAGTTTTTTACGAGAGAGTTTTTGTGCGGATTCCTTTCAAATTTTTAGGGAATTTGCTTCAAACTAAGGAGAATTTTCACTGAAATTTGCACAAAAAGCCGCACAACCGTTTTCATGTCAAAAATTAAATTGCTCAATTTAATTTGGCAATAGCTGGTGTGGCTTGGTTCCTTTCTGTTTAACGTGGTCCAAATATGGGGTGCTTCAGGGTGTCTACCGGTCCTCAAAAGTCCCCAATGCCCCCGATTATCCCCGATTTTGGAAGGATGTCCCCGATATCCCCGAAAGGCCCCAATTTTCTTGTTCAGGTCCCCAACAACCCCGTCTGTTATCCTCAAGCTCTTACCTCAACAAGAGGTACAGATCCCACAATCAGTCCAACCTTCCCTACAATCTGATTCACTATCTGTGAACTGATTTATAATAGAATTAATTCTTTCTTCACAGGCACAGGCGTGAGTACGCCCAGCCTCGCCTCTCCATACTTAAAATGGAGAGCTGGGCGCTCACGTACTGAAGTCTTCACCCTTTCCCTTGTTATCTAGTTGTAAATTTTTAATATTTACTTATTTTTGTTACTTTTATATTTATTTTTATTTCTTTATTATTCTTGTTATTTTGCTCTTTCAGCAGTCTGGGTTTTGTTTTATCCCACCTCCTTCATCTAAACTAGGTTTTTTCCTATTGGATTTTTTCCCTAGTTATTTTCATGTGCAATTTATTAAATTGTACAGCCTTAAATTCCTCCCTATCTAAAACTTTCTGTAGAAAATCTTAATCTACAAATTCAAATGGATACCTTTTAAACAGAGGTAGTTGTTGTAATAATTCTTAAGTGTATTCTAAAAAGTCATGTTCTTTCTTCGTACTGATTTCTTTCTTGACAATAAATTCGATATATATAGGTCCCCAACAAATGACAAATGTCGTCCTAAACACCGGTATTTTCAAATTTTTCCACCAGCCACGGCGGCGCGGTATAACCAGGAATAAAAAACTGAAGTGTTGCTTGGTTTTTCATGTTTTCATCGGTTCAACATGACTTGTAAAATTAGTCGTGTAAAATACGCATTTTAACGCTCTAACTAGCTCCCTTTCTCTTACTATTTCAGGGAAAATAAAAGTCCCCGATTTTCTTGAAAAAACACCCCTATTAGACCCCCGTATATGTCCCCAATTTTGGTTTTTTATAACTGGTAGATACAATGTGCTTCTAAAAGAGAAGTTCAAGAGGAAACCAATGGAAGCACTGTTAAAACCTCCAAGTTTTGTATGAACGGAGTAATAAGCTTTTGAAGTTTCCAAATTTTGTCGACCTCTCCCATCGACTCAATCCATTGTGCGGTGATCATCGGTGGGTTTACGCGGTGTTGTCAGATTTCGTGTCCGTTAAGAATTCGAGATGGGGGCTCCAACACGATATTGTTGCTTCTTAGACGCCACTGCGCGACCTATCCCATCTTCCCACTGCGAATCCTTGTCCCTCGCCCAAGACTCGATATGTTGACGGAACGCTACTAGGATTGGAACCGCAACAATGGAGATGTTGCACGTGTCAGGGATTTGCGATTTAAATACACATCTTCTAGTAGGGTATATGTATTAGATTGGCATGAATCGATCGGCGTGATTAGATCGACACCAATTCGATTGAAAAATCCGTGAATCGATCGACAAAGCCATGAATCTATCGACAACCCCGTGAATCGGTTCAGATTTGTATTTTTCGATCGATTTATGTCCATCGAATCCCATACCCACCCTTTATATTTCGTAAAATTTCGCAAGAAACATAATGGTGCCCTTGTTTTCCTCTTAAATCAACCCCCAAGCTCTAAAAGAACTCTCGAAGTTCATCGCAATGGAGGGGATATCCTACGCTACACGATCCTTACGAAGATATTTAATGATTCTTGAATCTTGATGCGTAAATTCAAACCACCCGCTCATGAAAATTCAATGCTCTGCGTGATTCACATCGCGCGAAACGCTATCATGACAGCCTCTGCGATATAAAAATCTGGCAACCACAATCTTTACGCTTTGGCTCAGCTAGAGCAAATTGCTTATGGTTTGAACACGCATGCTGGGAAATGAACAATGCTCGATCGAAAAGTTTGCTGAAACCGTTGGTGTGCGCGATTTGACTCACGTAGAGCTTTGAGTTTCTCGTAAGCGGGCAGTTCAAATTCCTCGTAACCAATGTGAAATAAAAACGTTAATATCTTCGTTAGGAGTTGGTTTCAGTAATTTTCATTGCGCAAATCTTGTCCTACGTGAAATTTTGGTTAGGATACATGTATCAGAATGCTTAACTTCGTACCTTGTCTAGTGGTCCTTTCGCCGAAAACCGATGCAAATTTTTTACAAGTTTCCCAGAAAATTCATGTTTTATCCGACAAAATTTGGCAACGTATGGAGGCTCATACGGCGTTCTTTCTCAACACGGACTCGTTGACAATGCGTTACGCGGGTCGTCGGTGGCTCTGCGTACAGCGTTATTACTGTCGATAAGTAGCGTTAACGGAGTTTATGGCTTTAATCATGGCTACGCGCGTCGTTTCCGAGGAGCCTCCAGTTCTTGCCGTTCACACGTTTACGAGCAATTAGCGGTAATTAAATTTATGACCTAACCCAAGGCGCAGCCTCTCCCGACCCCGCGTTGCCGATCGATCCCCGCGAGATGGCGACACTGAGTCGGAGCCATTTAAAATCACCTAAAATTACCGATATTTATCGATGCAGGCTCCCGCGCTGAGAATCGATTGTTTATAGTGGATTTAAATGGAGGGACTCGGCGTTGCCAGCCTTCGAAAATTTCTGCTCACCCGCGAGTAGGTGGTGTCAACAGCCGAAAAAAGAGTGATGACTGTTGCTCCCTTATGATTGTCCACAAGGAAGTGTTGAATCCCCGCAAGTAAAAGCCTCCACCTAGAGTACCTATATTAAGAGAGCATGGCCACTGGTGTTACCACCGCTGATTGGCTCAGCCACCTTAGGGAGCCCTTAGGACCCAAAAATGGCGGACGCCATAAATTAATGTAATGCAAAATGACTAAAAATGTAGTTTTCTTTGCTCATCGTAACGAGAAATTTACCCAAATGCACTATCGCGACTTCTTTACATATTTTTAAGGCTAATCGTGTGCAATTTTTGAGAAAAATTATCTGAGATGTAGTAAGGTTGGCAGCAAGTGCGGTTGGTGATAACCGTCAAAAGTTGGCAATGGCCCCCCTCCCACCCTCAAAAACCAAAATAAAGCACCGCCATTTTTGGGTCCTAAACCTCTCCATGGGGCCCAGTGGCCATACTCTCTCAATATAGGCACTCTAAAGCTCATCATCCACCGTGTAGGTAGGTCAACAGCCGAAAAAAGAGTGGTGACTGTTGCTCTCTTATGATTGTCCACAAGGAAGTGTTGAATCCCCGGAAGTAAAAGCTTCCACCTGTCGCGAAGAGGCCAGTGGAGGGTCTCTTGTCTCCGTCTAATATACCGTAACATGGAGTGCTTTTTCGGCGCGGTTTGGCAACAATCCCTCGCTGCGGGCAACAATTGAGGATCTGCCGGTTTAATTGAGAGCATCCTCTTCTCATAATGTGCCATCACCCGAGTTCCCGAGTCCTCTCGGGTCGCGACTCGGGTCTTCGCGGTGCTCTCTCGCGGCGACAACACAACCCTCGAACGAATCACACGAAGCGGTGGTCAGCCAGGATTTTGTCACGATTCCGGACGTCCTTCGATGACGTCATTTGGAACCGCGCGATGAAAGGAGGGAGATGTGGGCTGTATTTCGGCTCACCCCGAAGCATTGTTCCTTTCCCACCCTTTATCATTTAAATTGTAAACAATTTGCTACAGCTGAGCCAAAGCGTCAATATTGAGGTTTCCAGATTTTCATTTCGCAGAGATTGTCGTGGTAAAGTTTAGTGTGCGACTTGATTCACGGAGACTTTTGTGTTTTCATGAGCGGGAGGTTTGAATTCACACGTCAAGAAACATTGAATATCTTAATGAACCACTAGACAAGGTACGAATTTAAGCAATCTGATACATGTTTCTTGACCAGAATTTTACGTAAAACACGATTCACGCAACGAAAATTACTGAAACCAACTTTTAACGAAGATATGAACGTTTTTATTACACATTGGTTACGAGGAATTTGAACTGCCCGCTCACAAGAAACTCAAAGCTCTACGTGAGTTAAATCGCGCACTACAACGGTTTCAACAAGCTGCTCAATCGAGCAATGTTCATTTCCCACCATGTGTTGTTCAAACTATAAGCAGTTTGCTATAGCTGAGCAAAAGTGTCAAGATCGAGGTTGCCAGATTTTTATATCGCAGAGACTGTCATGATAACGTTTAGCGCTCGATGTGAATCACGTAGAGCATTGAGTTTTCATGAGCGAATGGTTTGAATTCACGCATTAAGAATCATTTAATATCTTCGTAAGGTATTAATTTCGGTAATTTTCGTTGAGCGCATCGTGTTTCACGTAAAATTTTGGTTTAGAAACATGTATCAGAATGCTGAAATTCGTACCTTGTCTAGTGGTCCATTGGATTCCATTTTGCAAAAAGGAACCAAGAGGATTCCAATATTGCTGATTGTGCAACTTCTTTTGTCTTGAAAGAAAAACTCTGATCATCTATAAACATTTTCCATCTTACTCGCTAAAACCTGTAAATTTAAGACAAAATTACCGTATAAATTTCATGTTTTTGCATGATTTCAGTAGTTTCATTGCAAAGGGTGAAGTTGCACAATCTTAGCAACATGGCATTGCTCCTGGTTCCTTTTTGCAAAATGCAATCCAATCAGGAGTCTATTTGAGTAATTTTTGTAGCGCAAATCGTGTTCTACATGAAATCTTGGTCAGGAAACGTGTACGAGAATGCCTAACTTAGTACCTTGTCTAGTGGTCCATTCTATTTGAGTCCTATCATATTATACTGATTTTCGGTTTCGTCTGTTACAGCACATGGTCCAAACGGGTATGTCTCCCGGGGCGGGAGCGGCCTACGCGGCCGCGACGCCCTTCGCGGCGCAGAACGGGGACGCGGCGGCTGCTGCAGCGGCGGCCGCCACCGTGGCCGCGGGCATCAAAGTGGAGCCGGGGAAGGAGCAGGGCGCCGGGGGCCCGCCCTCCGTGCCCGGACCCCCCTTCACGCCGCCCTCCCTGGGGCAGAACCAAGTCGCCCTCAACAACATCGACCAGCAGACGGTCAGCATAGTGAGTATCGACCCGGTATGCATCGAATTTTATTCACATTTTACTTTTTTTTTAGACGTAGTTTTCCGCCCAGTGTTCGAAACTCACAGGCGCCAACGCGCCCAATGCGCCTAAAAGATCGGCCATGGCGCCTAAAAATCGCCCCCTAAAAATCGGAATTTTCATATTGGGTGATCGTTCGAAATGTTCAGCACCACAAGTGAGAGCTTTCTCTATTCTTCACGATTTCATCATTTGTGCTTTTGTCTTCCCCAAGTTACAGCTACTTACTAGTTCTGGTACGAAAACAGCTTGCGTCTAACTTCTCACCAAATGCGCCGTAATATATAGGCAACAAGTCAATTTGGCCCCTAAAAAATCTTCAATGGCGCCTAAAAATCGGGCTTGATGCGCCACATGGTCCTCACTCAAAGGTGAGTTTCGAACACTGTTTTCGCCCCTCCTTTTTTCCGCGCTTGTACAGGATGTCTAACGGTCCCCAAAAGTCCCCGATGTTCCCGATCATCCCTACTTTTGGAAGGGTGTCCTCTGACGGCGCACAGTGGATTGAGACAATCCGAAAGGTCGGACAAGAAATGTTTGACTAAAACTGCAAATTTTGACGTTTAATTCGTCACATTTTAAATTTGTGGGGTTCCTCAGGGTGTCTACCGGTCCTCAAAAGTCCCCAATACCCCCGATTATCCCCGATTTTGGAAGAGTGTCCGCGATATCCCCGAAAGTCCCCAAATTTCTTGTTCAGGTCCCCAAAAAATGACAAAAGTCGTCCTAAACACCAATATTTTCAAATTTTTCCACCAGCGCGGTATAACCAGGAATAAAAAAACTGAAGTGTTGCTTGGTTTTTCATATGTTTTCATCGGTTCAACATGACTTAAAAATTAGTCGTGTAAAGTACGCATTTTAACGCTCTAAGTAGCTCCCTTTCTATCACTATTTCGGGTGGAAAAAAAGTCCCCGATTTTCTTGAAAAAACACCCCTATTAGCCCCCGAAAGTCCCCAATTTTGGTTTTTTATAACTGGGGTAAATTTTAGGGAATTTCATTTTCTAAATTCTGTGGCAACCCTGTAAATAAAATGCACGTCAAAAATCCAGGGTCAGGAAAATCCGAAAAATATCAGGAAATTTGATGTAAGAAATTTTAGGGAACTCTGAGGAAAATCGGCCGTGACACAGAAAATTCTGAGTGTGGGAAGCATTTTTCAACTACACGCAGTTTAGCAAATTCTGAAGTGAAATGTTTGATTCAAGTCATGAAATGTATCAAGTGTGTGAAATGTTTGTTTGTAAAATCAAATCAGTCTCAATTTATTCGTGCAAAAAATCAAGAAAACTCATTTAAATATCAGCGAAAGGCAATCAGAACAAAAGAAAATCTTTCATGGACCAGATTTAAAAACTTGCTCCGAATTAATAATTCTAATGTGCATCAAAAATCGACTGATAGACAAAAAAGGCAGTATTCATACCTGGGAATTCGAAAAAATTATATAGTTTTTCTCAAGCAAATCTGGGGGATGTTGGAAAAACTTTGGATTTTCATCAGGGAAGGAACTCCTGAAATTAGGGAAAGAGCATAGTCAAGAATTCTAGACACCATGATTTAAACTTCAAGGATTCCTGGGGTTGAAAAAAGTGTAAGTTTCCTTTGTAAAAGTGAGTAATTTCTTTTTCCTCGATTTCAGCAAACGGAACACGAGTCAGAAACGAACAACACAGGCACAGCAAATGGAACTGTAGCGCCTCCGCCAAATAGTCTAGCTCTAGCTATACCCGGCTCATTACCAGCGACGACAGTAACGTCACAGTCAGTTGTTGCATCAATAGCTCAAGATAACGCATCAAAGAATCCTCCAAAGAGGCTTCACGTTTCAAACATACCTTTTCGTTTTAGAGAACCTGATCTCAGATCAATGTTCGGCGTGAGTACCCCTTTAGTTACCTCCTAATTCGAATGGACAATTTGCAGGTCTCCGAAATTTCTTGAATTTCATGTTAAAAAGAAAACTGGATTGCATTTTGCAAAAAGGAACCACTAGCATTGCAATGATGCTAAGATTGTTCAACTTCATATTTTGCAATAAAATTGCGGAACTCGTGAAAAACGATGAAATTTAGATGGTAATTTTTGTCTTAAATGTACAGTTTTTAGCGGGTAAAGTAGAAACTATGAATGGATAATTGGGTTTTTCCTCCAAGACAAAAGAAGTTGCACAATCTTAACAACATTGCAATGCCAGTGGTTCCTTTTTGCAAAATGCAATCCAACCAATGAGTGAACTGAGCATGAGAATATCCTTGGTTTCTGAAATGAACAATCGGGCGTATTTTTGCTAAAAGGAACAATGCGCATAGGGTGTGGATGTAACCCAGTTCCATTTAGCGTAAATACGTCAAATTATTGGAAGATATAAAATATGTTGGATACTCAGCAGCCTGTGACAAGACATACATTTAAATAAATACACACCGCTGGTAATAAGGCAAAAAAAAACCAGTGAAACCATGATGTTTCGGCTGGAAACACCACAGCCTTCTTCAGTTGGATGAATTATAATAAAATTTAAAAACTTAGTACTCTGTTGTATCTTTCCAAATACTTGTTTCAAAAATCCTGGTTTTGGAAAGGTAGGTGTAACCAAGTACTGAGTTTTTAAATTGTATTATTTTTTATCCAGCTGAAGAAGACTGGGATGTTTCTAGCCGAAACGTTTTGGTTCTCTTTGTTTTTTCTAGCCTTGTTATCTGCGGTGTGTATTTATTTGAATTTATTGGATGATGCATGACCAAATGACCTTATGTGTTAAATACATGTTTTCAAATGGAAAATGCCGCCTGATGATGTCACGGATCGGCAGATTTTCTCACTTTTCAATCTTGTTTTCTACAATTTCCGTTATCAGAAGAAAATTATTGAAAATACTGCGATGACAGCTCATCAAGCACTCTCAGATGTAGCAAATTTTTCTTGTAAATACTCCATTGCATGAATGATGAAAAGTTTTTTCTTCAGTTCCTGTTGCTTTTATTGAATGACATTTACTGAATACTTGTTGCCTCCAAAATCACCCTTATAAAAGCACCATGAACACTTTGTATCAAACTGTAAAGATCGGTGAGTGGATGAAACAAGAATATTTCTAATGCAAAAGATCAGCGCATAGAGAAAAATTTGAAAAGGTGGACCATCAAAGTTTATGAATAAAATGTTGTTGTTGTTTTGTAACAAATACTTACATTCATCTATTGTATCTGAAATTAATATTTTGGTGACTTAGTGGAACTTGAGATTCTGAAAAAAACATTCCCCAGAATATCCCCCCCCCATGATTTTTGTTGATGATCCCTATCACTGTTTCAAACTGGCCATCATACAGACAAATTTTAACCCATGATACGTTACGAACTTCTATTTGTAAGATAGGGGAATGGCTGGCACATTTGTTGACCTGATCATTTTATTGAATTTTCATGTCAGTTAATATTTTGCTAGTCGAGTCATTAAGTCTCATAATGTTGAATCGTTTCGTTCTCCTTGAGTTCACTTTAAGTTGGTTCTCTGCTTTTCATCTGCCAAAGCAATAAGCAATCGGTACTGTATTTTATTTTTAATGCATTTTTGCTTTCTTTTTGCAGCAATATGGTCCCATTTTAGATGTTGAAATTATTTTTAATGAAAGAGGCTCAAAGGTAAGAAAATCTCCTTGATTTTTTTTTTTTTTTTTTAGTCATATAAGTCTCTCTTTAATAGTTATACATTTTTTCTTGTAGGATATTTTTTCCGTGTCCACTTCTGTTCTTTTTTTCTTGCTGGTATGGTATGTCTTAGCTCATGACTTAGGTTTTAAAGCAGTATGTTCTAATAATGCTACACTGTATCGAACATTAACCATAACCAACTTTTAGCTCTAGTTCCGAATTTGTACATGTTCCATTTGTTGTTTGGTCCTTTAAAATTGCTTTTATCCATTTTCGACGTACCTTACGGCTCTAACGATTCTTGTATTCACCCTCAAGATGTTTTTTTCTTTACTGCATTGGTCGCTTAGAACGTATGAATGTTTCTTACCATTTTCAACGCCTCTAAATTTTTGTGTCTGTGTCAATTTGGCATTACCAGGATTGTGCTGCTCTTTGCCATACTATTGCCTTCTCCAGTGCTCATCTCTTGTTCAATATTTGAACGCTTTCTTCTCATCACCTCTTCAGTTTTCACTTAGTAGCTTTTCATTGAAGTAGAGATAGAAAAAGAGACGATTGCTCTCAAGCTGTATAAATGCACAATATCGTCACGCAGGAGTCACTCACTCCTTTCATCTAACTTTTGAGTTACCTTAAGCTGGGAAATTCATTCCTCAAACCTTTGGTTTATGTTAGCTGTGAGACTTATTTCTTGGCGAATCCAAAATTTTCAAAGTGCTCTGTAGCAATTTCGGCAAGAACATGGACTCGAAGTTCATATGAGTAACACTGGTCTAGCTTGACTATGGTGTTAGAAACTATCAGTCCAGACGCAGGATTTATTTAGAAACTTCATTAATTCAAAAAGCTTCAGACATCAGTTCAAAAGGCAATCAGCATCTCTTTCACAAATAACCATTATTTTGTTGATTATATTCCAACTACTGAGTTATAAAGTTACAAAGATGTTTTCACCAGTTGGTATCTAAATTCTCTCTCTGTCTTCAATTTCCAATAATACCTATCATCAACGGTGAGTTACTCTCCAATGATTTTGTGCCAAAGGCTATTAGGTTGGGATGGAACTCAAGCATATCCCAATTCATCTTTAAGCCAAAAAGTATAGTTTTCACTTTGTCCTGTAAAAAGGGAAAAGTTTCCGTTTCGGTGGTCAAAGCATTAAAAGTTAGATTGAAGACATGTGTGCTGACTCTTCTTGTGTCGTCGCTTTAACCAGATGAAAAAGATAATAGAAGTAGGAATTTTGCCGCAGCTGACTTTTTGAAGTATTCCCTAAACGAGAGTGCGTCAAAGGCATTTTTTAGAGAAAATAATTTCAAGATTTAAGTGAGTGATGCAGAGTTACGTCATGATTCTTTTCAATGCGCCAAGCTACATCATGATTGTTTAGTCATCATGATCAGAATGTGAGCCTATTAAAATTTAGTTATTAATCATCGTTTTTATTTTTTTTATTTGAAAGCAGTTTATTTGCTCGATGAAAGAATCAAAATTTTCAGGTTCAGAACGTTTTGGTGCATGTAGTAATACGCTGATGAGAGGAATAGTGAGTTTTTCTAATGCTGAACGAACTAATGTTGAAATGTGGAATCAGCCGACCTGCCACCAGAATTGATTCGGTCAATTGTCAGCACCAGTAAATCATGGCTTTTGGACCAGCTTTAGATCCTAGTATCATCAGATTTTCTCTTGTAATACTTAAATGGCAACCTGCTGTTCCATCCTCCTTTTCATAATATAGGTGATTTACTAGTTCGTGTAGAACACATTAGCAACTTTTGCTGAAAATCCATCCTGTTACTTGAAAGATTAAGAGATGCTTTTACTCAACTTTTCATCAACTTTTCCACAGCACATCATTTGCTGTGTGCTTGCAGTTTTCTTTTCTTAGGGAGTAGAACATCGGTTTTCAGAAATATCCAAGTTAATATTTTTTTCTAGTTTTGTACCAGTAACAATTTCTTTTTCATTTGTCAAACATCCAGAAATAAGGGTATCATTCTTTGCATACTTGTAGATTTGCCCGAAGCTGTTCAGAGCCATTTTCAATTGTTATTCGTTTCATTCGCTGGATGCGAGTCAGCAAATTTGCTGATCATTGCGTTTTATAATCCTTTTTAGTGTCGTAGTTGTGTCTTTTCAACAGATTATTTTTTCCCTTTTGTTTTTGCGATCCGATTGATGGAATGTTTTTGAAAGAGCACAAACCATTTCTGGATTGTGTTCTGGATCCATTTTGCAACTTGAGTATTATGAGCAAAGCATTTGTATCTTCCTTTCTGTGGATCTCTCAGATGCTTGGTGTTGTTTGCAATTTTTGAGAGTGAAAATATAAGTAAAGGCTCTTTCTCATTTTTTCATCTTTCATATTTTATGCAATAACAACTAGAAAATTGCTCCCGTTTTTTTACTGACATTTGATCTTGCTTAATCTTATTTACGATTGTTTCCCCATAGACATGAGGCTATCGTTAAGTTAGAAAGAGTCTCTTTTCTTCATGGTTCCCTCATTTTAGGACTAGATGCTTACTTTGAGTAGGGGCATATGATACTTTGTAGGGATGCAAGTATCATAAAGCCTCAAAAAAAAAAAATTAAAAAAATAACTAAATGAATAATATGTTATTTTCAGTAATGCTTTTATTTTACTAAAAATACACCCCGCAAGACTTAGTTGTGTCGCATCTTGCCCATCAAATTTGTCCTCTCGTTTTATTTCTTTTTTTTTTAAAAATTAATCTTCATCCGCCAGAGAAGTTTGGGATCAATCGAGTTTGTTCTGTGTGTTTGATATTTCCAGGTCTTGCTGCATTTTCCAGTTTTTTAATGGAATTTTAAGCTGTCTTGCATTTTGATTTGAGTATCCTGCACAGGAGATTCCAGGGCCATAGTTGTTTGATCTAGTAGACTATTATTGAACGAATCATTGTAATTCATTTTCTCTTTCTTTTTGCGTGAATCCGTTTTTATTTTGCTGGCTGCTCTTGTGTCATGTTAATATTTGGAAGGTCCATCACAAGGAAAGATTCTGGGGAATTTCGAAGGAGGACCTGCTTATTTCTATCTGCAGGATCCTAGGAGCAGTCTTGTTTTACCCCTTTATTTGGTCGTTTCCTCAGTTACTGCTCAAAATTTCCTTTTCAATGCATCTTTCCAAAAGAAATTCCTCTTAATGGGGTTTCTGAAGAAGATGGTTTCTTTTTCATGAGTGCGTCTATTCAGGTATACTCATTTTAGTTGGAACAAATTTTTGCAAGTGAATGTTGGCAGTTTTGTCCTTTCTACTCTATTCTCAATGTTACATTTTTTCAATCCTTAACACACTAAAAATTTCAGGAAATTGAAATGATGTTTTATGAAACACAATGTTTTCTTGCCAATCTAATTCTTACGGATAGAAGGCTGAAATCGCACTGGGAAAAAATAATTGATGATTAATTAGATAGTGTATTTGTGGGGTATGGTATTTTTTCAATTGGCAGTCATGTCAATTTTGAAGCTTTCAGTCTAAAGAGAAAGGCAGAGTGCAGTCTTGCTCTGTTTTTATGGTGCTTCAATGATAATGACTTGGGTGTATCATTTTGCGTAGAGCTTGGCTCAGCACTGAAAATGACCAGTTTACCTTTGCCCTATTTCAATTCCATCCTTCCATCACTGCCCCTTTTTTATATATATTAACTTTTGAAGGGATATTTTGGCATTCTTTTTCCCCCCTTCAAATTTCATATGTACCTTCATCAATCACTCTTTACAGTGTGAAAGCATCTTTTGCAAGGGTCTACGTTTGATACCTGAACAACAGGAAGCAAACGTTTGGAAACAGACCGAGACCTTTTACGTTGATAAAGTTTTATTTCTCTGTCTAAAACATGTTGGATTACATTATTTTTAAATGAAATGAAGCTTCTTTGTCAAAAATTTTTAATCAACATTGCATGCAAAAACCAATCTCTAAGTCATTTTGAAGATAACTTGAGATCTTTCTCGAAGAGATTTCATGAATTAGTTACTGTGTTTAATTATCACAATTTTACATTTATTATTTTTTTATTTTTAAATTTATTCTTTTGTGTGCAAATTACAATACTGTTATGCCCAGCAACAGTAAGAGCTTTGTAAATGTCATCTTGCAAAACCTCTGAAATGTAGCGCATCTTCGATCACATCCAAGTCATTCTCACTGCGTTTCAGATAGCTTTTTGAACCTTTCATATATTTCTAGTGTTTTCAGTATCTGTGCAAATTAATATTTTCCTTCTGTTGTTACTATTTATAATTTTGATCCTTCTTTTTCACTTCTTCATCCGTCATTTTTTACTTTTTCAGGTGGCATTTTTAATAATTTTTATCGGTTTGTTTTTGTGATCTAATGAAATGCTTATTTTTAAAACAAATTCATGGCACCTCAGTATCATTCATCTACCTTTTATTATAGCGCTATTCTAGAGTGTCAATTTATGTATGGCTATGTTTCCTGACTTCCCACATTAGATTTTTGCCTCAGGGTTAGCTAGGTTGTAACCGAATTATAAAAGAGTCAAAATGCGTAGCTGTCCTGCTCTTCTTTTAAATTTGATTTATCTTTGGGTTTTGCCAGTCAAGCTTTAAAGTTGTATTATTGGGCTTTTGAGCGTGTCTCTTGATGCCTAAAAGCTGTTTCAGCATATGAAAAAAAAAAAAATCATTTGACAATGTAATTAAACGTGCAGATTTTATCGAAAAAAATCAATTAGAAAATCAGTTATCTAGGAGGAAAATTTTCTATGAGTAGCTCTTGTCTACGGTCAGAGTTTTCCACAAGGAAAAAGGTAAACTTGTCTTTTCCTCCTGGAGTCAGTTCTGACTACAAGATAAATTTTCAGTTATCTAGCATAGTGAAGATCCTGCCTTTAAAGAATGCCTTGACTTCTAAGACTCATAATTTTGAAAAGTTATTTCCAAGCACATTTCCTTCTGTTCTATCGGGACCTTTTCTGTTTTAATTCTCTGCAGATTAAGTATCTAAAGCAGCAAAAGTTTAATTGATTTTCTCTGCATGACAAAACGCTTCTGCATACTAGTATTTTTTTTTTTTTTTTGTTCCACTTGTGAATTAATTCTTTTCTCAAATTAAGAGGAGCAAGCTTGTTTTTTCGGGTAGTGTTCAGTAATAGAGAAGCCAACTCATTTTCAACCTAGCTAACCCAAAATTGCACGTGTGGAGCCCAAAAAGAAGTAAAAATATCCTAACATCCGAGCAATACCGAGGGGAGAAGGGAAAGTAATGTTTCTATATAGCACAGAACATTCGACTGATTCGTGACGTGGCTTCAAGACTTAGTCGCGCAGCCAAATTGAATAATTCTCTTAAAAAAAAGGAGCAATCCTCGTAAGACCTCTAAGGTACATTGAGTATTTTTTATTTTGGCTACCATACCAGAACTTGCAAATAAGATCAGGGGCCACTCATAAATTATGTCATGCTGTAGAGGTAGGGAACGGTGACACTGTGCAACGGTATGTAAAAATAAGTGGCAAGAGCCAACTTCTCATAAATGTCTCAGTAGTTTTGGTCAAGGAATCTTCAAGAAATTCGGTTCTCTGTATACATGTCAGGGGGATGTAACGATTCAGGACATAAGTATTATTCACTCTCCAGGTTTACTGCCGTACTAAGGAAGAACGCCGTATGAACATTCAAGAGTTGCCAAATTTCCTTGGATAAAATATTTATTTTTGAGGAGAGTCATGAATATTTTTCCTTGATATTTTCAAAAACTTAAGGTGAAACTGCGAACAAGATTATCTGAAAAATTGGAAGAAAAATGTTCATAGGGTTACCAAGAAATTCGTGTTTCATCAAAGGAAATCTGGCTACGCCTGAAGGTTTATACAGCGGTTTTCCTTAGCATGGCAGTTTAGTTCTGCTGACAAAGAGAGAGGAAGGGCTGAATTTTCGATTATGAGCATGACCTAATTTGTAAAAGGCCCCTGATATCCACTCTTTCATGCTGAAACAATTAAGAAACATTATTCTGCACTAATTTATGTACTGAAGGTGATGAAATTTGCCAATCAGACCGATTGCTCATGATTTTATTTTTGACCACTGAATTGATTTATTTTTTAATTGATTTTAATGCAGTGAAATCATATTGTTGATGAATGCATGTTTTGTCTGTCTTGCATGCAGGGATTTGGTTTCGTAACATTCGCAAATAGTGCTGATGCAGACCAAGCACGCGAGAGACTTCATGGCACCGTGGTTGAGGGCAGAAAAATTGAGGTGTGCATGAAAGATGAAACACAACCTCGCCGGTAGCACTAAACATCTTCTGTGTTCTCCTTAGTTATTGACACAATAATTTCTAGTGTTCGTTTTTAATTGCTTTTGTCCAATCTATCTTTAAGTTTTACGAAATAAGTAATGAAGCTTCCGAGTCGTTGTTTCATTGGCGATTGAGTGTCCCCCCTCTTTGCTATGCCCACTTCAACTTCCTCGTAGCGACTGAATTACTCAGAATCACCAAGCCAGGTCAAGGGTGTCTATTTGCGCAAAAGATCCAAAATAACCCAATGCAAAATCACTGTAAGTCAGAATCTGTTCGGGTCTAACGATTGCCTCTCATCAAGTCGTTGGATTTTTTTTTTAACGTTTTATTTGCCTCTCCAAAAGAATCTCTCCAAATTTTGTTCAACACTCATTCCCTATGCAAGAATTTGCATTTATGAAGTAAAACAAAAACAAAGAAACAAGAAAAAAATTGGACCATTGTACGAAATCAAAATAATTTAAACTTATTCAAAATTGCATTTGTTTCTGATTTCCAATTGACAGCAGGTGGCTGCAATAACAGCCCATACGAGAGAACCTTGTTTTGAGAAGAATGCATTCGAAGTTCAAAATTATGGATAACTTGTCGCGTTTTGAGAAACTGAATGAGTTTTCTTGTGTTCTCATAGTTAGAACCCTTAAAAGTCAAAGGAAAGTTGCTTAAAGATTTAGACTTATTTGTTTTTACATATAACATGGTTTTTGCGCGTGGGCTGTTTTCTCAGTCGCTTTCTTAACTGTGGGAAGATAGAAGTTTCAATTGGGACTAAGCTCTATAACGTCTAGCGGATTGGAGAAGAGATGTTTGCCCCCCATATCTAAGGCAGGATTTTCTTTGTACGAGTGATAGTAAAGAGAGTCCTCCACTTGGTTATCAGCGGGCTGATTATTGAAATTTATAGACAAAGAAGATAGAAGGGATTTGGAGGGATCCTTTTGGTGGAAGTGGGTGGCTGCTGTAGACATAAGAGGCAGGTAATAGGCTAACTAATGGCAACCAACAGGAGACCCTTTGGTGAGTCTATCATTTTCCCCTTTAGTCTCCAAGAACAACCAGTTTCAACCAATGGGATTGCTCCAACTCCCTATGTCTTTGTCTATTGCTATGTATATCAATTTCAATAATCAGACTGCAGGCGTATGTTGTAGACACTCTTGAGCAAAAAGAAAAAAATATCCCCAAGGAACAACAACTCGATCATATCTGGCCTTGGTTCTTAACGTAAGACTCAAGCATAATTGACCAGTGGCAAAGTTGCAGGAATCTTCCCTGTTATGTGTTGCTGTAACATAATCGCTTTGTGGCAAGTAATTTCATGCCACTCATTAAAAATATTCTCATTCGCTTGCATTTTGCATTGAGCTTTGTTCAATTCTATAATGATGTCTGCTCCGGGACCAGAAGTAGGTGTATTCGCTGTGAATGCACTGAGTAATCCACTTTGTAATTGATTAACAGCACTCATATCATTTTCATCATTGTTCTTAGTATGAGGCTAATGACAGTTGGAGCAAGCTCAACTTGATATTCTTAGAATTCTGTCACAAATTTTATGTTGCACGACTTATTAATAACTAGATTCTTTGCAAATCGACAAATCTCACTTACAAGGGAATCTAGAAAGGCTGCATCATCTGATGAATTGCCCCTTTCCCCTTAGATTTCCTAATATCAGACTGGCTTCCCGAATTATTCTCATAGGAGCCTCTCAACCAACTTGAAAATTGCTCGAATCTTTTACTTTTAAAGACAACTTTCAGACGAGGTTGAAAAGTCAAGGAGTTGGATGCCCGAAAATTTGAAAATGATTACGTCATCGTCTCATTTGGTTCTGCAGTCAGTTTTGACGAGCAGATAAAAATACCTTGTCAGATGGGAGATCCAAACTGAAAATCTTGGTACCTTCCTGTTTTTCTCAGCAAAGTAATGTCAAAGGCCAAAGCACAATTTTATTTTTACTTAGGTGCTGGGGCTTGAATGAATTCGCTCGGCTAGTAGTCGCATTGTCAGTTGGTTCGTTCGTAAATAAGTGTCTACTTTAGTTTTGAAAAGTATTTTCTCTGTTTGCGATCCGTGATTGTATGTATATATATTTTTTCAAATTTTCATATTTATGCATTTTGATCTTAAGATGGCAGTGCGAAATGTAAGGCAATTCTGACCTGTTGACCGGTAAGCAGACGATCAAAGGTGAGTCCCTCTCCAGTAACCAAACAACTGATGACTGATGAAACAAATTATTTAGGATCCAACTAGGGTTAAATTCTGTGAATTACATGAGCCAGGCAGAAATCTTCTATCAAATCTCCGTTCAGGTACCCGATAAATTCATCAGACTTGAGTGCTGACGCAGTATTGAAGTATTTTTGTTTGATGTTAACGTGGGGTCCATTCAAAATTAGTCCTTCAGTTAAATCTTCACAAATTATCCCTCAGACATAGTTAAAGTCAGGGCAGTTTCTCATAAATTTAACAGGAAATTTTTTAACAAATGCATTGCAGTAAGGTATTATTGACCTAAGTTAATAGGCTAACCATTCACTGAAATGTGGTGTGAAATCCTTATTCTTCCCGGAAACTTTTATTAAGTCAGAAATTTCAATGGAATATAAATGCAGTCAGGGACTTGCCTCCATCTTCTGAATGATTGTCTTGTTTATGTATGATGCCACCGTTTTGCTTAGAACAGTCTTGTAACATTGCCGGGAAGCCATTTAAATGCATAAATATTCAAAATATCCTCATCATTTCAATTTTACATGTCTCCAATTATTTCACTATTTCTCTCAGACGAACTATCGCAAACTGTATCTCATTATTTACTACCGCTAAAGGGATCATTTTCAGTTGAATGTAAGTTGAAAGTCAACCAAGCCAGATCGAACTGAAAAACGTATCACGAAATATCCAATTTGCAAATTCTTCTCTTTACCATTCGTACTTTAGGCAATGATCAAGGATCAAATGTTTCTCATAATCTAACTTTTTAGTTTATTTAGCTTTGTGTTGAATCAGCAATAAACCACCGGACAAAGTGCAACTTTAACACAAACAACAACTCAAGGTAAAGAGGAAACATATCAGAATGTTTAAATTAGTAACTTGTTTAGCGATCCATTATTATCTTAGTATCAGGCCAAATAATGAGACCTTTAAATGCCCGTAATTAGGGCAAGCTGGAAGTAGTCTTTTTAAAATGTTGATCTGCCACACTTAAGGCTATAATCATGGGATTGAAGTACAAATGTATACCCTCTGTTAACATAAAAACACTCAGCCACATTACACTGTAAGTTTTACGTTTTTCAGTTTGACTGTTCGTTCACATATCATTTTTAATGTAGTCGGTTGTGTAAGCTAAAACAACACAGATCCAAAGTTATTTTATCTCTTTAAGATTTGAAATGATGATGATCAAGTATTACGGATAAGCAGTCTCATCAATAAGGAGAGACAGTCACAGTAAGTGAAAAATGGTAAGAAGAAAATGTAACCTGTCGCAGGCAGGACAAAAGCCAAATTATTCGCAAAAGACGAATGACAATGCTGTTATGATGAATTTTGATAGCTGTAATTGCCGCTTGTACCCACTCCTTGTGAGTCTTTTCATTCGTACCGCCAGACATTATCTTCTTGTTTCTCTGTTCTCGTCAATCCTTTCTCTTGAGCAACCTCAGATGTACCTACTCTACTGTATAACTTTTCATGTGGCAACTATCGGAGGTAGTTTTGGAATCTCAGCCAAAATTTTAGCATTTTGAATTAATTTCGTAGATTTTTGTGTCTACTAACTGGACTTGTGCCTCCTCAATTCATTGATTGTTTTGCTTCAGATTGCGTTTAGCTCCTCTATTTTCAATTTTCCTCTAATTATTTTCTTTGTTATCTCTTCCTGCCATTTCAGTCCGCACCTTTTTTCATTTTGATTTTTAGTTTTATCAGACCCTTGAGAACGAAAGAAGAACTCATGTTAATGTCTAGGTTTAGTCTAGAATAAGTTTTCGCTCCGTAATCGGTGCTTCCATTCCGATTCTGTCGACTATTAGTCGCATTACTGTCTTCATTTTTTTAAGTCATTTACTATAAAATGATTTTTAGCATGAGTAGATACCCATTGAAATATTCAAAGAAAAAAAATGGATAAAATTTAAAATGTTATAGCAGGAAATCTCTCTTTTCACACAGGTAATTTTTCGTTTGCAGTCAAAATTTATTTACTTAATGTTTCAAAAGTGGTGCTAACTTGCCATGTTTTATATTTGATGATCTCCTTAGGCTTTTTTTTCGTCAACTTTAAAGACACATTCCCTCCAGTTAGGCATTAACTTTCTGTTGAAGCAGTGGGTCGTCAAAATCTGGGAAATGATTTATTTCATAGATTAAAGGTCAAGAGGTAGAAATTTGCTCTAAGTGACTAAGTCACAACTTCTGACCTACTCAATCAAATTTAGAGCTGTTAGTCGAGGAAATTTTTTTGCAGATCTTATGAGAAGCAAGCCTAAAGTTACGTGGTAGATCCAAATTTTATTATTTGAGAAAGCATATCATAAAGTTTCAAAGTTACTCTGAAAGCTTCGTTCCCAGAAGTAACAAACTGTATTTGAGGAATAATTTTTACTTAGTACAGAAAATTATTTTTATTTTCGAAGTTTTGGATGATACAAAATCGTCTACTTTTAAACAGAGTACCATGAAATGTGCACCTCAGAAGCTTTCAGAAGACGATTCGTTCGCAGTGTCAATAAAACTAAAATGAACAGCACAGGCAACAGTTTTGTTCATTCAAATAGTAAATCTAAATTCCAAACTGACTTTTTGGGAGATTCGGGTAGCCTTGAATGCGTCAACTAAGGTCCAAACGAATCTACCATGTTCTGTTAGGCTTGAACGATTTTTAGTCGTTGAAATATACTGAGGGGCTAGATTATGAAAATTTGTTTGATGTGCTATTAATTTGACATTCCTTTGCTGATCTTTGGAAGCAATAATTGGCGGTGTTATCTATTGCCGCTGCATTGTGTCCAATGGTGACGTTTGCTAACATTGGCGAGACACCTAGTTAGATCTCTGGTGCTCAGACATACCAGAATTCTGTCGGTTGGTAAGTCAGCGAAATTTAATATTTCTTGCACTCGTCCTTTGAATTAATTTCCAATGCAGTTTTGTATTCATATCTTTTCCACCTCATAAGTTTAATGGTTGCGATAATTACCCGCTCATCCTATCCTATGTTGTCATGCTCATCTCTAATATCATTTTCTCGCCCCCTAAATCATAAATATCTCACAAGTGGTTAGGATTTGCTCTCCAGCCACCTGATCTCACATCTAAGCATGTGTTCACTAGAGAGATATTTACTTATTTTTATTTTTTCAAAGTACACATTTACTTTTTTGCAGGGCATCAACACATTTAACTTGACTACAAAAAGTAGCAGTACTATAGAGGACAAAAAAAGTTTTAAAAAAAAGCAGAACAACTAGTTTCCTTCAAATTCTTTAAATCCGAACCATTTTAAAATGATCCTATCTTCAATGAAAGTTTTTTAAGGTCATGTGCCAATGCTAGTAGCCATCATATTGACTATAATTAGAACTGCTTTTCAAATTTTTTCCTCTGTCTGTATCAATTGATATCATTCAAATTGTGATTTTAAGCTTTTATCATTTGCATTAAGGAAACTCATTTGACTCAAACATTTGATTTTCATTTGAAACATTTCATGAACTCGGTAAAAAACAGTGAAAAAACGGCGAATGAGTCAGTTAAGCACAGAGGTAGATGTTAGTGTGAGCAGCTGTGTGCCCATTTTCAAAGTTGATCCAAATTGTTTAGCACTCTCTACGATTATTCCTAACATCCAAGCGGCACATGGTTTACGGCAAAATTAATGAGCCCTGTAGAAGAATTTTGGTTAACGGATTTGATTTCTAACAATAATTATAGACCACAGAAAATCAGGCCTGTCCTCTAAACAAAATATATACATGGTGACGCATCATTGCTATATTGACCTGAGCACAACAATTGAAAATTATAATGATAAAATTATATTTATCAAACTTTTCGCCGTTTGAGGTAATTTATTCCTGTGCATGTGTTTACTTGTTCTTGGCGTTCAAAGTATATCCATACTTAAAAAAAATGATGACAAGTTCAATATAATAATTAATTACTTGAAGATCATGATAAACAGATGACTACTAAAAAGTAGGTGGCTTTCAAAACCTTTTTTTTAAATTTAATTTTAATTCTTGAAACCTCCAAATACTCGAATCTGTATGGCTCAATAACATTTTGCCTCCTTTTTTATTCATTTATTTACATATTGTTCGCGCCTAGAGTGGCTGTAAACCTCCTAGTATCCATTATTTTTTCTTCATTTTTCTTTCATTATTTGATAATTTATAATTAAGTTTGTCTCTGATAAGTGGTGATCGGAACGATGGTTCCTGTTTTCGTGAAACAGCACTGGACCGACCTGAAGCAATCAAAATTCACTGAAAATTTCGTCTGGAATTGAATATCAGAGTTGAACAATTCAATGGCCTCTACAGACCACTGAATAAATCACAAAATTGAGCACCACTATGCATGTTCACCCATCAAAATTTCATATAGAATTTAGTGGACACATCAAAACTTTCCAACTTCAACTTTTAAGTCAAGATTTAACATTTTTTTTTTGAGTACCTCAGTTTACTGCCCGATATCTTTAACTCCAGTATCTTCAAGAGTCAAATCAAACACCAATCTTATTCCATAATGGTTTAAGATGAAAGAATTTCTCTGTGCTTTCAGTTTTATTTTTGACAAGATCAGAGGTAGGTTGCTTGTATCACAAGTTGAAGAAAGTATGTGTCAAGTCAAATTTCAATTTTTTGCAAGTCAGATAAGATTGCGCTCAATGGTCAGTATCCATTTTCGTCTTTTTGTGAGCAGATAATTTGAATTTAAGTAACTGCCAATTTCTCATTTATGAGTTAGTTTTGGAAAATGTTTTCCATGTGAAATTTTGATGAATGAGCATGTCTTTGAAAGTTCAATCCCTACTCTGTCTAGTGACCCATCGCACAATTTAAAAAACAAGAAAAATTTAACGTTATGATCATTCTCTTCATTATGAAGTCTCTATGGTGGTATGATTCTTCAGGTCGAAACAATTGCTTACCACTTGCACTGCAAAATTTTAGCCTTTATTTTGTGTTCTAAGACCAAAAATCTGTCACTGAATAATAAATACGGCCAGTTGAGTGACCGCTCATGTACTACTAATGATCAGCTCCAGATTTTTTACTTTATTTTTTGTACTTTTTCCCTCTGATCCTAAATAATTTTCCTATCTTATCATATCCATCTGTTTAAGTGCTACTGGTTTGAGGTTTGTTCACCTTTCATTATTTTATTCTTTCTATTATTTTTTTAGTTTAATTAATATATATTCATGAACATTGTGTAAGAAGGAAACAATGAAAAATTGAGCAAAATTAGTGTTTTACCAACTTATTCAGTTAATATGAAGCCCTTGTTCACTATCCTTATCATTGTCTACCGCCTGAAAGAATGTATTTTGATTGTTCTTTTTCAGTATTTCTCATTGACATTTTATTTTTTTACAGGAGAACCGTTGCATGCCTGACATTTCCAGTGCTTCTGTATTAGTGAGAAAAGACATTGAAAGTTTCAGATATGCTTGTACAATGGTTCTTTTATGAAAAATAGAATGTTTGTGGGAATACTGAAACAGCGCAAACGAGACATGTTCCTTCTAGCAAGAAATGTCGTAATGTGTAGTTCCATGTAAATGATAACTTTAAGCCTTCAGCATTTCAAACTAAAAGTATTTTTCCGTTAAATGTTCAGTAGATAATTAGAAGCAACTTGGTTTCGTTAAGAAGAGGAATAAATTAGCTGGTCCTCTAAAATTTTACATTCCAAAGGGAACATCTAAGTTACATAATCACTAATCAATAAATATTTTATTCAACTTAAAATTTCACCATAAATATTTTTCTAATTCTACTTTTTTTTCTCTTTTTTTCTCATGAAATATTGCAGGTGAATAACGCCACTGCTCGTGTACAGACGAAACGGACAGTACCTATACCTAATGGTAAGTTCTCATCAATTTCCGCACACATTTCTGCTATGCTGTGCTGAAGATAAATGCCATATTGACTGCAAAACTGCAGAAATGCGCATCTAGTTTGTCGTTTCCATTCCGTTTCAACGAGAATATATGAAAGCTGTTGCTTGAAACTTTCACTGACCATTCCTCACACAGAGAAGACAAATCAGGGAAGTTATCAAAAAAAAGTTTGCGCATTTTTTTTTTTAGATGAGGGAAAAAATCTGCTTCAGTGCCCCCACCATGAGGGTCGTCGAAATACCCGGACGGCAGCGGCCATCAGCCAGTGACGAGCCGCCGAAGCGACCCCTAACCGACCCGACCGCTTTGAGATGAAAAAACCCGGTTATGTACCCTCAGCCCTTAAGGCACCCGATCTTATGCGGCTGGAAAAGGGGGCAGCCTACACATGACTCAGCTCCGCAGGTGCGTCAAACCTGATATCCCCAATTGGATAGCCTGCGGTAAACAAGGCCAGAGACCCGAAGGTTTCTGACCCACAAGAAGCATTTATTCATTTAGAACTTGAATTATGACACTGTGAACCGAGTTACGCATTTCTGCCAGTTCCACCATCGATATGAGCATTTGAACGCAGAGAATTTCCCCGAGTCTTTAAAATTCAGAATGTTTCTGAAAAATTGAATGTCATTAAGAAAAATGCAGCTTTGTCTGAATGTTCAACGGGTGTTCACTCTTCATTCTTAGCTCGAAAGAGGGAGTTTGACCTTTTTCACTGCCCTTGTGAATGTCATGATGTAAAAGATGAATTGTGTCCTATGTGGTTTATCTACAGTAATAATTTTAATATTTATAATTCTTTTTAAGGCACTTAAAATGTTCATGTAAAGGAATGTGGCTACTTTTGTTCATATCTTGTCAACTATACAAAAACATAGTGCGACTCCTAGTGAAATTTTGAACGCTGAAATTAAGTCCATTTCAGAAAACGTGATTTTTCAGGGAGTGGGAAGTTAAAAAAACGAACTTATAAAAAATTTAAAGTTTCCATTGTGCCTTTTGTATGTTCTGTGTTCTAATTCTTAAATATTCTCCGTGCCATCTAATTACTACAAATAACTGTATCCAAGGGCCTGTTTCTGTTTCTTATTCTTCGCTGGACTAACTCTTTTTTCTTCTCTGTTTCAGTTTTACAATGGCCAGATGGTAAGTTACGAACCTCTTTACAAAGTTAGTGAGTAACTACAGCTTGCATGAGGGCAGACCTTCAATCCTCCCTTTTCATTAATCAGCCCTGATTCAAGAGACGAAACTAATAGTAATGTTTTATCTCAGGCAGATCTAGCTATTTGGCAACACCGGATTTCCTCCATTTAAAGCTATGCTAAATAATCGACTCTTGTCGGAGCACCTGGCCCCCCAAGAATCGATCCATCTCCTGAGGTTTAACTGGAGAAAGACGATGTTGCCAATTGGCTGGTTCCGCCAATGTCTCAGGCTGAAAGTAATGCTTCTCTCCACGGATATTTCTTTATGTTACAGAATAGATATTCTGCCGATTGTCTTTTACGTCAGTCAAATTTAATGATGAGATTGCATTGTTGATCATTTAGCAGTGAAATTACCCTCCTCCAATCCTTGCATCATAACTGCTTTTAATTTTTTCAGCGTCTAAAATGATTCCTTTGTTTTTCTGACTCCAGAATCCATTATGCTCCAATAGCCAAAATAATTAGACCCTAGATAAATCATCCCTGTTTCTAACTTGAAAGCAACCAGTACTGAATTTTTCACCCTTTCAAAAAGGAATGTTACATGCAGTGAGGATGTTTGATCGAACCATCTATTCCTCAATAAAATTTTGAGAGAAACATGAAGGTGCCACTTGTTTTCTAAACTCAGAGGGAGCAGTGAAAGTTTTTGCAAGTTGGCATCACTATTTTTCCTTTTATCAATTGTCGTTCCCAAGACAAAAGAATGTACCCAACTACTTTTCTAAATTGCAAAATATCCACTCGTAAATTTTATTTCACAAAGAAAGTGCCGGACTCCCCTCACCGGAATTTTCATGGGAAACCAGGAAAATTTCGGAAATAATTGTACGATTATATTCAAAACCTTTAGTCAAACGCCAAGACCTCTAAAAGTTCTCTTTATTCTGAATTTTATCAAGCTCTTTTCTATAAAATGATGAGTCTTTCGACCAAGAGTTGGTTCCATCCTCTTTTCTGAAACCTTCCTGCCAATCCTAACAATGGAACATATTTCCCAGAATTATTTCTGTGAAATGATATAATTTTGAGAATGCTATTTTGATTTTCACGTTAACACCATCGCTAAATAGCTAAATTGTTTGAAAGAAACTTTGGTTTTTTGCTAAGGTACTTATGCTTTGTAGTATGTGTAAAGGAAGGTAAATGTCCTTTTGTATTGGCTGTATTTTTCGGTCATGCCACAACATGGTTTTGATGTAATGATTACTTTTTCCATCACATTCTATATCTAATAGGAGGTTTTTCCTGTATATTACGCTGTCTCATGCTTTAGCCTCCCTATTCCTCAGGAGTTTAAGTAACTGTCCTGGCAAAGAAAATTTCCTAACCTCTTCAGCTAAACGCTGAAGTACAGCCACTTTATTTTGGTCTCCTATGAAAAGTAATGTTGTCAGCCAAAGTGCGAAACGACATATCACCGTTTGTGATGTTGTAGACTTTCTGTCATACTTTGTTTTTCTTTGGAAAACTAGTCAACTTAATTACTTGAAAACTTCCGTACTTTTCTTTCTCTGTCTGCAGAATATTCTGCATACATTCTAGCTCTAAAGTTGGCTTTGTAATAAGTAAAAGTATCATCAGAAATAACATTTACATTCTTGTTTCGTTCATGACAGTTACCTCTACTCCTGCAAGCTAGTTATTTGCAAGCAACTTATTTGTGTATTACGTAATTTTAAATTGTCACTCTGTCTGATAGCACGATATTCACCATGATACAAGCAGATGTAAAAAACCTAGCAAGTAATACCTGGTCAAGCTTACCGTAATGTGTTCGTGTATTTGATAGCAATGAGCTGACTTGCCGCATGAAAATTGTCAAACTTCTTCCCCAGGGGAGGAATTCTTTGCCCTAGTCCAGAAAATGAATCCTCTCGGCAGGGAATAAGGCTTATGCAAAATCACAGATTACTCTCTTCTCCATCCTGATCTTAGTCTTGTCTTCTCACTAAACTGCTTTTTATGTTGATTATGTGTGAATGATCACTCTCACACTGTCACAAGGCCTCCTGCATTTTGAAGAATTCAACCAGAGGGAAGTTCTAGTTCTGACTGTAAACTCTTTTCTACAGTAGTCTGGTTGCTAGTAAAATTCTATCTCCTTATGACTGTTACGAAATCATTCACAATTTCTTTTTAGAAGTCTTACTTCTCGTTAGACCCGAAAAATATTTTCCAGAATAAGAGGATTACTTGTTATCATCACCTGAATTTGTCTGCAATCTGTACACTTCTAGCCTTATTTTGATCTCGGGTCAAAGGCAAGTGTCATGAATGTCAGGTCATCCAAGTTGCAAGGATTATAGTAACTGGAAATCGCTCAGTTGAAATCCCGTTTTCCGTTACTATTATTCAAGTGGCATTGAAAAATTCAGCTCTTTCAGAACCCAACTTCAGTCCATAGGGATTTATCGTTAATCTTTACAGCAGATTAGAATCTTTAATGAAAACGCCGTTTCTAACTAAGTGACTAATCTTTCAAGTGAATGTGGGGTTATTAATATGGTTCTTCTCCTGTCTATCAGCAAGTTTGAGACTACACACCTGTACAAGATTAACAAATCAGTTGAAACAATTGTTCCTCTCTCTCTCTCTCTCTCTCTCTTTCTCTCTCTTCCGCTGGCCAATAATCTAAATTTTGTTCGATTTTTGACAAGAAAAAAAAAATCCAGTGATCCAGTAAACTTGTGATTAAACGTTGTTATGGTTTAATCGAATTGATCCCAAGGGAAAAATTAATTTAAAAATGGAATTTTGTATATTCCTCTGATGCTGGAATCAGAGTCACTTTTTGCTCCTCATCCATTGGTTTTGATGTCTGTTTGACTTAATTTAATTTCTTTGCATGGTTTTTCTGCTACTTCAGTCATCATTGATGACATCAAATACCCCCAGAGCAATCTACTAGCACAGTAGCCCCTTGGGCCTTTTTTGAGATTGAATGTGCGCTAAGAAACATTGCATCGCAGGAATTGTCTTAAGTTTGAATGAAATCTTTCAAGGCAATTTTATTCCCTTTATTTTCACTTATCTGTAGTTACGGCCAGCTGAAGAGAGGTCGGAGACAAGAGGAAATTATCTCCAAGGGTAAGCAGTTTGCAATGCTTACCCCCAATGACCACTCCAACTTTTGAGGTTTTTTTTTTGTTTAATTTGTCAATTTTTGTAATTGTTTTCCGTTGAACGGTTCCATGATTTTTAATCAAACGGTTTGGTGTGACAGGCTTCAGACTGCCCGCATGGTCATGGGTCTCCAACCCTTTGGCTTTAAGCAACCAGCGCCGTAGAAGGTGATATGAGTAATATCAAACTTCCCCTTATTGTTTCTGAATGACCTGTTCTCTCTTTTCCTTCTTGAATGCAACTAAAGCTATTGCGTATGTTCTTTTCAACCTCAACTATCCTCCACTTGGTTTCGATTAACTTGTCTCTCCCAATATTAAATTATTTGTGCATGTATCACGAGTTTTTCAAATTTTTCCCAAGTCTCGCGGTGGAAAGCGATGCTCCTCGCAAATTAAGCATTTCTCTTTGACGAATATCTTTCAGCAGTGTGTTTTTTGAACCCCATTTCACATTCAATTTTTTTCATTCCTCTCAAAATGGCTGTCTCTCCGCTAGAACTTAGTTAGGTACCTCTTTTTGAAGATAGTTGTCGCATATTCCCATCTCAAGTTTATCCGGAGAAGTTGTGGAGACACGGAGTCAGTTCGTTCTCTCTTTCCTTGTCCTTAATGAGGTTTTGATAGTGCTTCTTGAGCATTAAGCTAGTTTCAATTATTCTTGATTATTCTCCCAAAAAAGCTCTGATGTAGTATTGCAGGTATTAGATAGAATAAGATAGGGAGGTAGATTGTTGATAGAAAATAGAGTGCGAGTGTGCACCAATGGGTGCTTTCTTAGTTTCATTATAATTTCAGTTATGTGGTTTTGTCAGCAAAAAATGATGGGAATCCCCATTCACTCTACGTCCGTCATAGGTATCCCTAACACTTTCAAGTAGTAGCCGTTTGCATAATTTTTTTTGTTTTTCTCAAACCAGTCACCCCTTCGTTTTGGTTTGCATTTTCACAGGGATTTTTTTCTTGGACCAGGTGGTCTTAACTAAAGCAAATTAGGAAAAAATTATGGGAAAGTAGAAGAGGATTATGGGAACTTCTGCCCTCCGCCACTCGTTTAAGAAGCACCAAATGAACTTGCTAGTAGATTTAGAAACAAAAGAGAAGAGATTCGATAGTGGACCAAAAAGCAGAAGCTTGAGAATCATGCTTGAATGTCGGACTATGGAGACAGGGACTCCGTTTTGCAACATTTTTTCGTGTGTGAGTGAGAGCATGTACGTGTGTGTTTGCAGCGGCTCTGCGGGGAGTTGCTATTCAGCGCGGTAGAGCACGGGCCACGTTTCCGGCCACGGCTGCGGCTGCAGCAGCGGCAGCCTTCGCACGTCACCCCTCACCCCTTACTGCAGCCACTGCGGCTCTCAATCCCTACACGCCGTAAGTATACTCATCCTCCTTATCTCCGCTATTACCTGTCGAGTAATCGTCCAGGGTTGTATTTGTCGCAGGCAAATTGTTAAATTATCCATTTCGTCAAATGCCCAGGCAAGTAGTCAAATGCTCTTGCATTAATTGAAATTCTGCTCATTTTGCTAACTGTAGAAAGAAAAATTTTTTAATCATGCAGGACAGATTTCTATGTAAAAATTTGCCTCATACGATGATAAGTAAGTTTTTTATGGTCCTAAAATGCATATTTATCTCAAAATGTGCAGCACCTTATGAAATGAAAGAGTTTTCCACAATTTGGATGGTTGAAGAAGTGTAAGCAGCATTTTTGAAAGGAAAATATAATGATAGCTTGTATTTTTATAGATTTTTACTCCCCTATAATATTGAGAATACAAATGTCTTTGTGAATACACACAAAACCCTGTAAACTCTCAAAATTTGACTATTTGCCTACGCATTTGATAAAATGCCTGTGTTAATTATTTGCTTGCGACTAATTCCTAGTTGTTCCATAAACAGATCCTTTCTTTTGAAGGCCCCATTTGGTTTACACTGGAATTGAAGGGAGGTTTAAGGATTCCAGCAAAATAGCACAAAGGAAGGATGATTTTTGCCAACCTAATCTAATAAACTAAAATTTAGCAGTATAACTTTAGAATTGGACACTTGAAAAGAATAAAAATTATTTACCATTACATAAACTACAGAATACAAAAGAAAATGTATCGGGAGTTATCTAAATTTTAAGGCAGGTTTACGTCTATCTTAAAGTTTGTCGTAAGAATTTTTTCCTCTGCATTCTGTACTTTTTGCAGGTGCGAATCACTGCCATCCCTTTCAAAGTTTCATTTCCGAAGTTATTAAGCTGAATTTTACTTGGTTTACAAAAATCCTCCTTTTCAATATGCAATCTTGAGGGATTCCTTGAACCTTCCTGAACCACAATGTAAATCGAATAGAGCTTATCAAAGAACAACAAAGAATATGATCCTCAGAGACTGTCCTGATATCAGAAAAACAATACTGCCACCCAATTTAGCATTAAAAGCATTAGTGTTACTGCTGAGATTGAAGTGATCCAAAGTGCAATATTCACAATCAAGGGAGACCTTGGCATCTTCAATCTTTTCCCTCCTACCAATCTCAAGTTATAGGCTGGTCTTTTGAGTTGATCATCATTTATTTCAAAGCATACGCTTGGTATGCTTCCTAGTGTATTCATGTTTTATTTCCATGCAATCAGCCAAAATCAGCTTTATTCTCTATTTTTCAAATGAAATAATTTCACTTATCCCGTTCATAAATCTGACTCCTATTTTTGGATTAATTTTTCTCGCAAATTCACGTACTGTAATGGGTACCCACATAAAGTCTCAGTCAATCTCAGTTAATGGTACGAGTATTCATTTTTCACTTTGTTGTATTTTTTTAAATGATGTCTTTCAATGGTTGGATGATTTCAGAAGCTCAATTGAACTAATACGGTAGCATTTCATCCCATGATTGAAAGTCTTTTTTAAGAATTTGATACATTGTGCTTTTCCACTTCTCCTCAGTTAATTTTCAAGTTAATAGCTCTAATATAGTTTTCTTTGCGAAAAGTAATCCCTAGCGAAATGACACTTTCGGAAAAGCTCTTAGATCATTCTAATTTTTAGATTGAAAAGCAGGGGTGTCAGATTTTGAGGACAAGACTCCCTCAAATTTGAAGATTACTCCATTTTTTTTATGTATTTGGTGTATTTGATCAATTTTGATCTTTCTCCTTCAAACTGCCCCCTGAATTTTTTGCTTCCCCCCAAAAAAGGATCCTTGAAGTAGATGGGTATCTTGAAGATGCAGTTGTTATATTCATACTCATCCTAGACAACCCATACCAAGAAATTTAATCAAAAACTCAGTTAATTGTTCAGGACATTTTGTCTAAAATCAGATGAATTATTCCCAGGATTATTTCAGCCGAGGAGCTGAAAATTAACTAACTCCAAGACTCAAAGGAGATCTCATGATGAAAGAGGAAATGATTTTGGGTGTAAATGAGAAATTATGTCTAAAACCCGAATTTTAAAACAGAAATTTAAGATGCAATGATGTAAATGCACAAATCTGAGCCTTTAGAAGTAGATGATTTATCAGATCTGGGCTTTAACCCGTATTGAAGCTGAAAATGCCCTCAATATTTATCTAAATGTAGCAAAAGTCGTTTCTTCAAAATATTGGAGCATCCTTTCTTACACCCATCCAAACTTCAGATTATTTTAAAAAGAAAAGAAAACAAAATAACCAGCAGTGTATGCATGATTTCATAGTGATACATTTAACTGATACATTATTGGTTTTGTATCAATTTTTGTCGCAAGTCTTGAAAGTATATCTTATTCAAACTGTCAATCCAGCATACTAGTCTCCTCCTGTTCTTTCATTAAGCTAGCAAGATCTAGTATAGAGCATCTGAGGTACAATGTGTTCAAGGTAAATATATAGCGGTAGGTTCCTATCAAGCATTGAGATATCAAACAAATTTTGCTAAATTATTGGTTTCACTTTTAAGTCTCGGCAAACTACGCTCAGAGGCACAGCTAAGCTGTTTCCTCCCAAAGAATTCCTTTTTCCTATCCCCAATTGAAGCTGAAAATACGCAGAGGTGAAATATGGTATTCAATTAGTTTAATTTTATGGCTAATTTTTGCGTTTGCATACTTGAGCTTTATTATAAGATTCACGAAACAGATTCTGTGGGGGAAACAACTCGAAGGTGTCTCTAGGCTAGGCGGGGTCAATCCATCTTTTGCTAAAAATTCAATGTGAAACCAATATGTTAGGAAAATGTGTTCAACATCTCAATGTTCGCTAACTCTCGCTATCGATTCACCTTAACAATAGAATGCTCTTTGATTCAACGGTTTTGTTGATCCCTTTTCATAGAATCTTCAAATCTGAAGATAGGATATTTCCTTTGTTGTTTCCCCGCTTAAGCTAAGCAATTTAATTACATTTATGTAATGCAGAGCCAGGAAGATATTAATCTTCATAGAGAGCTTTTTATCTTTAATTTCTTTTTTCAAAATATCTTCGAAATGTTGCATTAATTGAGGGTGCAGGGAGTTGCATTGACAGTTTAAGTATACCGATTTGTGCTATGACCACTTAGATATGCATACGTTCATTAACTGTGTGACTTGATTGTTTTGCGCATGGAATTAATCGTTCTATGGTTACCTGATATTCATTGTACATACAATTTGAAATGGCTCATTTTTCTGATTAAAAAAAAAATCAGAAAACCTTAAAACCGCCGTCACCTCTTCTTGTGTTACTCCCGCTTTTGTACGCTCTTAGTTATGGAGGTGGAACTGACCAGATATCTTGCCACTCCTGTTAGTGCGGTAAATAACTCATCTACTCTCCAAGCATTGCTGATTTTTCCATGTTTATTTAACATCGAAATTAACTGCTTTTGTCCTATGAAACACAGACTCATCAATTTATACAAGTCTCTTGTCGCAATTTGATTTCTTCCTTTCTGCCCCATCCTTTTTCCACAATTTTTTATTAGATTTGATATTCGAATCTACAAACGAAAATGCATCGGGCTAAATTTTGTAATAAGAATTTACCATTTCTGGCTCATTTTAGAAACAACGTTTGTGACCTTAGTTTTCCTATGCTGACATGTGCTTTTACAAATGAGCCAGCAATAGTAGTTCCAAATTGCATAATTGAGTCCATTTGCAAGAAGAGTCCCTATTCTACTGGTTTAAAAGCTGCCATTCAGCAGACGACTCTAACTTGTTTCATTTGTACTGTTGAATATTTTTTGCCCTGCTAAATTAAGGAGTTATTTTCCCTGTAAGCTGAGTTCTTTTCACCATAGGAGCTTTTTTTTTTTTTTTTTTTTTTTTTTTTTTGTAGGCTGAGTTATATGATTTACCAGAGTTCAAACTTGCGTTTATCTCATTGTCTGCTGTTATTTTTCTTTTTTCAGTGGTGTTTATTATGATCCATTCCTCGCAGCTCAAGCAGCCACGGCTGCAGATAGTAATTATCGTCTTCAGGTTTGTTACCCATTTTGTATTTCCTTTGATCTCTATTTTTCAACCTTTATAGAATGGAGTGAGGTGAATCTGCAAAATATAATTCTCCGTCTCCTTTCCTCGGAGGAGAGTTTTTGTTTTTTCTTCTTGGTCATCTTTCTTTCTTTTTTCTGACCAAGTTATAATTGCAAGTACAGACTCCCAAAAATTGAACGTAGAATTGGTGAGAAAGAATGAATGATTAACCACACTCCCTTCATCTCAGATTTTCGAAATCCTTCAGCAAGAAATACTACCATCAAAAAGAAAAAAGAAAGAATGTTCTTCACTGAACAGAAATCAAGTTTTTCTAATACCTCGTTAAGTTGTTTTCTATCGAAGAAATTTTATTAATTGCTGATAATCAAGAAATAAATCCTGGCTATTAATAATCCAGCGAATTCAGCCTGAAACATATTTTTCTAGTTTTTACTCGGTTTTCTCTATCCTCCCCAATGATATTATTGATAAATAGGCATTGACTCATGCAATGTGTGTTTTTACCGCCACGTTCAGAAGTACTTAATTATTTATCGAAGGTTATAAAAAGCGTTGTTTGTTACAGGTGGCACCTGCTACCCCAGAGGTAAACATACGCTTACGAATTATTTCTCATGCCAAATTAATATGTTTGTGTTTGTTTCGAAGTTTTGGGTGGAAGATCTTTGCTTGACTAAAACCAGACCTCTACTTTGAATTAGATTCATTAACATGCTTGCGATTTACCCCTTTTGAAAGTTTTTTATACATGTATCTAGACAAACCCTCCAAGTCTTAGCTATTCTTCTGCTGGCTGTGCCTTTCACTTTCTTTCGTGTTCCTGTATCTTACAATATTTAGCTACTTTATTGGATGACTTGAGCTCTCATAGCTGCCTTGTAGGCAAGCACTCTTGCGACATTGACCATCAAAATATTTTTTGTCATGGAAGCAGCATCTCTTGAGGACTCGCCTCTCAAATTTTCTTGCTTCTTTATATCGAAATGCACATTCCAACATGTTGCTAGCAATGTCATCTTTAATTCTTGGGAGTCAATGTAGATTTCTGATGTTCGTTTGTTCCTTTGAAAGATGTCAAAGCATCGCTAGCTACAAATTTAACATAAATTGTCAGGCATGTAAGAAGTAAACTTGCCTGCTCCAACTGAAGTCATGAATTTGTTCATTATGTTTGAGTTTTTTTCTTTAAAACGATAGAATCTCATTTCATGGTCTCAAGAACTTCTGAGCTAATTCTCAAGTTGTCTCATTATGCTCAATTATTATTCTCAGTCTGACGCAAGCCACTGATATTCAATGAAGCGCGTGAGCAGGGAAGAGTTAAGTTATCAGTATACCTAAGTGCTGAAACACCTTCAACGGATATTCTCTGTAAGAGGAAATTCATCAGCGTTAGAGCTGATACACTTTCAACTGATACTTTATGTAATGCTGAGAGTAGGGAAAAGTCATCGACATAAACGCTCCCTCAGTAACTTCTCGGAATCAATTTTGACTTTTGCTGTGTTCTGTCCCAAAGTATAAGTAGATTAGTTTTGAGCCTAGTAACAAACCTTGTCTTTTAATACAATTACGTCGTTTTGGTCGTATATCAGCCAGTTCATCCTTTATTTTGTGATTGTAGTTGCTTCTGAGCTGGCGTACACCAAGCACTGCAATAAGAGTAGATAATTTTGTGTAAATATTTCACTCACTGTGTTAGTTACAATGAAATTAAATTCTAGTGCAATGTTTGCACTGGATCTTGAGTCGCAATACCTAATATTTTGATAACTAACCTGCCTCCGTTGATTTTTCATGTATCATGACCTGACCATTTGGAGAAATCGTAGGGTAATCCGCATGTCCTTGTTTTTAATTAGTCGTGGTTTCGGTTTCACTAAGCTCCAATTGTGTCAGCTTGAATCCTACCTGACATTGGACAGCATGGAATTGATGAACTGAAATGTTTTTGCTTTTTGGGACATAAAAAACAACATATCTTGACTCTCAATGCACGCTTTAAACTTTATGTTTGACTTTGTTCTCACTTCTTGCCATTTATTCGCTGATTTTTCAGCTCAGTATTTTTTTCTCATCACTCGTTCCTTCATTTTCCTTATCAATAATCATCATAACATTAGCTCCTTTCGCTGGTTGTACCACCCAGAAGAATATAATCTTAAGTCAAAGTACTCTCTGCCTTTGATGGTGCAAGAGAAAAGTTATTATAACCTTTTTCTTTCTCTTTTAATGTAACTTTACCTTCCTCTGCTGTATTTCTCATTTTTTTTTTTTTTTTTTTTTTTTTTTTTTTTTTTATTTTATTTTATTTGATTTAGTAAAAAGTAGTGCGATTATTATTGCATGCCATCCTAAGTGTAAAAATTGCTCTCACGGTTTAAATAATGTGTTTTGGTAAATACTTCATAATGCAGTTTTACACTAGTGCTATGTGGTGTGAGTTGTGCTATATTTTGTGAATTCATACGGCACTCTTGTAAACCAGTGCAGCTGATTGAAAAATAGAAACAATACTAAAATCACTGCTTTGCAAAATTAAATGGAAGTGACAAGATGAAACAGGCAAAAGCCATTGAGTGTTAAGAATATCCATGATGCAAAGATGGATCTCTTTTTAGTGAATAACCAGGCATTCACACCTAAACTTGCATTCCAAAAAAAAAGGTCAGACAATTTGGAATGTAATTTCAAGCGCCTAAAGAAGGTGATCTCGCACTTGCCCTGTTTGTATCATCTGTGGCATTGGTGAAAATTAAACGGAAATTCTTTAGAAGGAGTTTGCAAGGAGCCTTGAGATTTTTTTTAATTCACAAGTCTCCCGTCTCAATTATAATTGCACTGCACTGAGGATTGGCCCAACAAGATCGAAACGCATCTGCAGTTGCCTTCCTAAGTGGACGTAACTAGTGTTGCTCCAAACAGCGCATCTCTTTGAGGGAAAATTGTGCTTGTGTGTGAGCTTTCTCCCTCTGTAATGAGATATCAGCTTTAAACTGAACTTTTTACGCACGATGGCCAAAAAACTCCATCATCGTCTTACGACCCGTGCGTTTACTGCAGTCAGTTCGGGTCAATTATAATTGGTAGAAGAATGAGATCATTCTAGTCATTCTCGCAAGATGTCTGTTTCTATGAAACTGCAAACTACTGCCTTTTCCTCTGCAACTCCGTAGCTAGTGCCCTTACTAAAGTTGCGTTTGCCAGATGTAATTATCTCATTAATTTCCTATTTGACGGCACTTGGAAACAAGGCGTCTAACTGTCTACAGATCTTGAAAACCAGAAAGCGTCAGGGAAATCGAGAACAAGTCAGGGAATTTAATAAAGGAGGCTGGAAATTTGCAAAATTTGGAAACTTATTATGTGGAAAAACATCAGTGCCGTCCATGCCAAATAACCAAGTCTCAGTCTGGCTCTGGAGAAGAATAATATTCAATCATTTTCAGTTAATTGAACAATTAGCACATGAGAAAAGAGCCTGGTGCCTGAAGAATAAGGGTTCGCATGTGTCTCATTTGTAGCAAAATTATTCTAAAAATGTTCGTTTTCAGTTCGACATGTTTAAAATCGTCAATGTGGAATGTAAGTTGATTGTTCTAGTCCGAAAAACCCTGGGAAAGTCAAGGATTTTTTTCTTGCCGAGTCTGTAGACACCCTGAGAAAGTAAGTTAGGAAAAGAGGCTGCCACCAGCTGAGGCAAATAATTAAGAAATTAAAATACTTAAGAAATTAGTGACAGAAAATTCAGAGTGTCATAGCATTGACAGGCAAAAATTCAAAGTTTAGTTTGTTTAAATAGTTTTTACCTTGAATTCTGTCTCTTCTATCCTCATGCAAAGACAGAGGGAAAATCTGGGCAACATGGATCTTAGAAAATATCCGAAACCCTGCATAAAAGAAAAACGCAACATGAAACTCATCCTTTTTCAATTAAGGAGGGTTCTTCAAGAAGAGTCCATAAAATGAAAAAATAAGTTCGTTTCTTCAATCTATCTTGTCTGGACAAGCTGATATCAGTGGTCTTGGCAACGCTGCTGTTTGTTCAAACAGCCACTGTTCAAAGAAAAGAATATACGTCGACTATTCTGCCGTGCTAAGGAAAAACGCCTTATGAGCCTTTAGACATTGTCAGATCTCCTTTAATCAAAACCGAATTAACTGGAAAAATTGTTAATATTTTTTGTCAAATTTTTTAGATAATTTTGTTTGCAATTTGATCTAAAACAGCTGAAAATTTCATAGTAAAATATGCATAACTTTCCTAAGAAATACATGTTTTATCCGGGGAAATTTGGCAACTCTCGAATGTTCACATGGCGTTCCTCCTTAGCTTGGCAGTATTGTGGGGTCCCCATAGTAAAATTTGACTTTCCTATGAATTTTCTTTTAATTTAAAGGTATCATTCACTCCTTGTCAATTCCAATCTATCCATTGGAAAAGCTGAATTAAAACATTGTTACATTGACCCGCTGATTTTCCAAGAAACCTTTCCCTTTTTTTTAATCATATTCATTTTCCTTTCCCTCTCTGCAATCAAAGGATGTTATATCTTCTATCCTTGGCTCTGTCAAAGTCAATATATTCCCTCCAAATTTCAACTTCCACCTAATTTTAGTATGCATTGAGAGTTAAAATGGTTAGTTTTTGAAGGGTCAGTTTCCCTGAAAGCAAAAACATTTTGGGAAATTATGTCAATTTTCTCCTGCAACGAGCCTCAGGCTGTTCTTTTGGAGCTTTTCGCAATTCTTTGTGTTCAAACTCAAACATTATTCCATCATAATTAAAAGTAAGTTGGTTCAAGGAAGATCCTAGAAGGAATAATGAGGATAGATAGCAATCCATGTGGTGTATATTGCAATTTTATCAATACGGATGTATCGCAAAATTATTGGAATGAAAGATTGCGCTATTTGTTCATTTAATGCAATAAAACTGCCCCTAAATCCATGCCCATTTTGAGGAATATAATGATCTCTTAACTGCAATAAATGAAGTTAAAATAGAGATTCTATTAGCGTTAAATGGCAGTTTTATTGGCGAATAATGGCAGTTTTATCAGGAGATTAGACCTCGATTAAAGTTGGTGAAATTGCGTGAATGTTGAAAATCCTGGTGATTATATCGGAATGAAGTTAGAATGACTGACTGGAAAATGCGATTTGCGCAGTTGTATCTGAAGTCTTAATTGTTGAGTCCTGTTCAGATGAAATATCCTGTAGTTATGTCTGTCATCAAATCTTGGAGGAGTGATTGTGACATCAGTCATGGAGGTTGAGGTTTTGCCTGGGGTCAAGGTGTTGGGAATTTTTAGACTTCATTTAACCGATTTGAAATTGACGGAACAGGTAGCGGCTGCTGCAGCATCACCCCTCTTGAAGGCAGCGGCACCGGCCGGTCTGACATCGGCAGCAGCTCAACAGGCTAATTACGTAGCAGCAGCTTCTTATACGGCGGCGGCGGCGAGAGCGTACAACGCGGCGGCAGTGGCTGCGTCTGCCTCGACGCCAGGAAGCGGTCTTGCTGGCTATGCACCAATTCCTGGGTGAGCGCATTTTGTAATCGTGTGGCTCATCGAATCACCATCCAACGAACTCGCAACTCTTTCTCTTGTAGTCCAAATCCAATGACTAGTTTGATGCTAGGTTTGTACGTTTAATGAAATGTATATTTTGTCACCTTCCGGCCAAAGTATCACAAGTGCTTTGCGACGTTTAAAAATTTCTGCTGCCATTTTATTTTTTTTACAGAGAAATTGTTCAATGAAGCTGTCCACAAATTTCACTGAACTTTCTTTGTGCTGCCGATAAATTTCGGTGAAATTTTTAAACAGACTCAACCAACAATTTCTCTGCAAAGATAGAAAATGGCGGCGGAAATTTTTAAACGTCCCATTGTGATACTTCGGCCGGAAGGCGACGATTTGTCATTGACTGACAGAAATGTGGAAAGTCTAAGAACAAGTTGAGAGAGTTAACTTACATATCATAATAATTTGCTTTCCCTTCGTGCCCGAGGGATTTAAGAGAAATTTGAAAAATATATTCATCAAATTTCTATTAAACCCACTGTCGCATACCTAGCAAAGTTTACTTTAACATAATTTGTTCCTTAAATTGATGACTTGTCAGTCTCTTGACTATTGTCATTTACCCTTCTTATTCAAGCCTCAGTTTTGACGAGAAACAGGACTTTTTTTGGAGTTGCATTTTCGTATGTGATGGTGATACGATTGTGACTCGTGTGTCCGTATCTATCGTTTGCTTTAATCCCTGATCTCTGTTCCTTTTGCAGGTTTTATCCAATCATGATAATTACATCGTAATCGCTATCCCCAAACCCATTTTAACCTCCTCATCTTCATCCTACCCCTCTGATGAATCCTGCTCTTCTTTCAATTCAGACTACTAAGTTAGTTTTAGTGGTAGTGTAAGTGTAAACCCAGTTACAACCTGTACCCTCTAATTTATTTCTCTTCAGGGTTGCCACCATCAAGGAATACCGAGAAAATCGAAAAATTTCAGAATCTTGAATAGTCGGGGAAAACCTGGAAATGACAAGTGCCGGAGATAATTTTTTTAGCCCTTTATTTGCTTTCTGAAATAGATTAGACGTTTCTAACAACAAATTTTACTTGGAAACTATTTTAAATTATGTCTCTTCAAGCACCTGGCATATTTTCAATTGTCAGGGAAATTCATTTTCTAACTTCTGTGGCAACCCTGATACTATAATTTTATCTATCCTAGCCAGTCCTAACGCAATTTCAATGTGTTTACTTTTTTATTCCAAAAGAAAGGGTTTCATGCAAAAATCCACGTTTTACGCACGGGTTTTTATCATTCATACTTCTTTATTTATCTATCATCTTTTTTATAAACTAAGACCAAATACGAATTTTTTCCAAATAAAAGTTTATCTCTATTGATGGACCATTGAAAAGATATTGAGCCCCGAGTTTTTCCCCATCATTTTTCTTTAAAGGCAGGCGTATCTATTGTGCAATCTACCACTTCATAATAACTTTAACACTGTGGCGAGATATCCTCTATGTCAGAAATTCTGAGAAGGGCACTCGTAAAATACTTGCCAATCTATTATCATACAGGAATGCTCCTACTTGGCTTATTAAATGCAAAAATCTTTGATGTCTTAAAGATAAGGAATAAACAAAATTGATTTTTCTGCAATGAAAGTTCAGAGGAAAAAAGATAGGCAGTAATGTAATCTAATAAATCAAGAGAGAACAAAATTTTTCTAGCCTGAAGATGTTGGATTCTAGAGGCTGGACTTAATTCAGCTAATTTTGTGTACTTTTTGCTGTCGACAGGTATGGAAGAGAGGCATATGCAGATCCTTACCTAGCAAGTCAAGGCATTGGACCCATAGCTGGCTACCAGGTAAGAACAGACCTCTGTTTATTGTCAACTGGAAGCACCTAAGGAACTTCCATAACCAAAACAAGATTCACTGAAACAGACACTTTTTATGGAACAAAAAGTCTAGAAAATTTTGGAGATTTTCCCAAATTTTAGGGAATGTTGAACTCTGACTAATGAAGATCTCATAATGCCTTCTAATTCTCTTTAGTAAGGAATGACTGCATTCGTAACGGACACAGCTGATGGAAGAATTGAGTAAAATTTTTTGAAGAAAAAATAAAATATACAGACAATGCACAACAACAATCGCCAATTTTTTTTCTATGCCTACTAAGCACTAAAATTCAAGTCGGAGTAATGTTTCTAGCCATTGCGAGATTTTTTCTGCGTTCTTTGTAAAGCTGACAGTCAGGCAATTAAAGTACTCTCTCTGGCATGGGATTTTGCTAATTGAGGGTTTCTGGCAGTCAGCAGGCAAATTTTTGAAATGATGGACAAAAAAGATTTAGGGAAAATAGAGTGATCCTATTGGTTGAAACTGGTGGTTTTTATAGTCTAAGGGGGAAAATGATGGACTAAATAAAGGGTCTCCTTCTTTGTCCATTACAACCACCTGTTTCCACCAGTAGGATTGCTATATTTTCTCTTTGTCTTCAATGTTGATTACTTCATCTATCAATTTCAATAATCAGCTTGCAGGAAAGTCATGGAATTTGTGATTACCTGGAAAAGTCAGGGAAGTTAGCGAGCAGTATGTCAGCTCAACAATTTCAGCTGGTGCCATCGGAGGAAATAGGAGCAACTTCCTAATGCACTTTCCTTGGATTAAAAGATTTACAAATTGTGACTTTGTCCATGGTTTCGTGAAAATTAGTGTAATTATAAGAAATGAACCGACAAGAGATTTTGATCGAAGGTCAGGGAATTCGGAACTTTAAAGCAATGAAAGTCAGAAATTTTGGAAACCGTGCAAATTTTTCATCTGATAGTTCTTTGTCATACCTTTCTTTTACCAAGTTAGTCTGATCTTAAAATGTTATGTTTGTTGCAGGCTGTGTATCGAAGTGGGTACAACCGGTTTACACCCTACTAAGGTCACAGGCGCAGGAAGCCAGAGCGCAACGTTGTTTTTTTTCTTTTTTTTCCTTTTGTTGAGAATAGAGTACAAGTCGGTTCTATTATAGCACCTACCACGTCATCAATTACCCTTCCAATTTCTACAATTTTTGTTCATGTACATAAGATTTGTATTTGTAAGTGATCTTTGAATTATTAGTCAATAAGGATACTGTGAATGTGTTATTTTAAGTTTTTATCTTAACTGTTCAGGGACAATATCACATCCACCCTTGCGTCATTCCTCTCAACTTCCCCTCTCTTTTTCTTTTCTTTTTTTCGTTTGATGTTTATTTCTGTCCGAGATGAACAATTTCTCAACCTAGTGATAATTTTCATTTTTTGACACAAGCAAAATTCAATTATTTTACCGTAACAACCTTTAAATTCTCTTCCATAAGGTGGCTCTTCGAGTAGATAGTCATCATGAGAGCGATTTTTTCCTTCACAAAGTTGAATCCAAACCTGGAGATGACATTAACCCTCATTTGGTGGTCGCTAAATCAGTTTTACTTACTTTGCCCCTTCCTTTTTATTACATAATTGAGATGAATATATACGCACACTTGTATATACTTGTAAATTCCGATGGTGGAAGTGATAGTGGAGCTGTAATACCTGCTATCTCAGAGAATGTAATTAGACAAACCGTAGGAAGATGGTCTCATGGTTCGTTTAATTTTCCCCTGTTGAATCTTTTATTAGACCCTCAGTCATCCAGGTCTCGAAGAGCATGCCTTGAGAATGATGCGCTCTCTTTGAAAGCTAGTCAATTCGTACCCTCAGTTGTACCGCTGAAACTTTTGCTCATGAAGAGTCAACTGTAATACGTCCTTAATTCCCAGCTTTCGGGGGTAGATTTAATCAACAGCTGCTGTGTGTGTTGAGTACTTTTTTTTTCTTGGGCGTCCACCAGTAGAAGCAGATTAAAGCGCTACTTCTATGCTTACCTTTCAAAGTGTTATCTTTCGATGTGGATTTTATCAGCGAAAATTTGGGGATTCGCAGTGTTAAATCTACCCCAGAATGAAAGAGTTTTTCCCCCATAATTCTGATCTTAATGTAATCAATCTTTTACTTGAGAATGCGTGAATATCCTCTAAGCAGAAACATGAATTTGAAAAACTTATACAAATTCACTGATGTTCTGTTGTCCGACAGTGAAGCACTTTTGAAGCCTGCTAAATTGAGTCAGTGTGTCGGACCAATCCTCCCCTCCCCTTCCTTCTCGCATTAATTTGTCTTACGGAATCATAGAATCTCATTTGAGCTCCAAGATCTGCTTTGTATAATACTCATCAAACAACTTTTACCTTGTGATCTGTACATAATGACTTTTTAATTATTGGTAATGATAGTTGTATAGGTCGAGTCTCTCAGGGAAGAGACTCGCCATTCCTAAGCTTACTTTAACTATCTGTTAAGCGTAAAATGTTGGAATTTCTTTCAGTTCTCAAGTCTTCTATGAATTTTTCTAATTTTTTCATTTCTTTTTTCTGATAACACAATTGACCCTCTACATGCATTCATCTTTGTACAGTTTTTGCCATTGAAACATTTTTGTGTACTGTTCTTTTCTCTCTAGGGGCGTTTTGAATTTCTGTCACTCCAATTTTCACTCTTTTCCCCTTTTTTTCCAACTTCTCTCCACGACTTTTGGGATATTGAATGTTTTCCCTCCAGGAACACAAAATCAGGGCATCGTTTGGGATTTGATGTTGAATACTAAGCATTTCTTCTCCTTTCACATTGAGACAGAGTTGTTTTGAATCTTCTGTGTTGATTTTGTGCTTCAGGATCAGTCGAAAAATTAAAAAAAGTACCATCTTTGCCCTGAACTATGTAGAAATACAGGTTTTTCCTTCGGGAATGAAAAGTGAAGTGAGAGAAAACCCTTGATCAAATGGACTGTAGTTTCTCATGCCTCTATTTGATGACAGGTCTTACTGACATTGATAAAGGGACTCGATCACATTGTAACATCGCTAAGTTTCATTTGATGAAAAAAGTAATTAGTTGACTGGTGAAATGAACTTGGTAGCGATTTTGATTCATGAATCTTTGGTAAATTTCTTTCACGATTTGATAGAATTTTTCGAAACTTTTTGATGAAATACTTGCTCCGGTTCAGATTAATAAAGAAATAAGTTGTTTGGTAAAACTTTGCAGTATTGCAGTGTTGATCAGCCCCTCTTTTCGACCCTCTCTTTTTTTTAAAAAAAGGGGAGTATCTCAATCGCTGGTTTGATTGCAATTTTCAATTTAGCATGCGCGTGAGCTGCGATTAGAAATTGGATTTTTTTAAATTCTTCATTTTCTCTTTTTGCGTAAGTTTTTACCCATATTTTTTTATCCATATAGACATTTTTGTCCTATAGCAACTTGATTCACTCAGAATATGTAGTATTTTTAAGAAGATATCGTACTTATAAATGAATTGAACTCAGGCTTTGATGATAAAAATCCCTGGGTAAATAGAGTGGTGGAGGGGGGTGGCAGAATTCTCAAATCGCTTTCAACCCTTTTTCACGAGGTGCAAATGAAGCACAAACTGAATGTCGTACGCACATATCTGATACAATATTATATTTAAACTAGTATAGTATAGTTTTTTAAATTATATTTTACTAAATCATGCTCTCTTTTAATTGTTTTATTTATTTATTTATTCATTCATTAATTGTTCATGTATCCTGCTCATAGTTTTTGTAAATGTTATTACCCAACATAATGAACATTATGTTTCATCTTACTTTATTATTTGTATCAATATTCTCTATTTTCCTCCGATGTGATGCATCTAACGGAGAGGCCTTAACTTCATATGATCAATATTATAAAGCGATTTTGGTCTATCGATATCTAGAAAGGAAAGTGAAGTGAACATTCCCCTACAAGAACGAATCACTTCTGAGTAAATTATTCTAAAATGTTGAAAGTTTGTTTTCTCAGTTGCATATTGCATCCTTATTTTTTTCTCCAATTTTATTTGAAATGTCGAGGAATTCTCAGCGTAATATCCGTGGACACGTCTTAAATGAGTCACCTATTACAGTAAGTTCCCAAAAGTTTCATTGGTAGATTTTAAATGGTAGAGTTTCTATCTCAGTACCTTTTCCATCTTGGAAAACTATGAACTGCCTATTAATTTTACATGATTTACCTCAGCCTCATTTCGAAGTAAACGAGCTATTAAGAGGTGTCATTATTTCCCAATTGAAGGAACTCAAAATTTAATCTCAATTAAACGCACGAAAAATCTGACCCAAAGAGAGTTAGGTCAGAGAGCTTCTCTCTCTCCCTCTTTGGTTTAAGGCCTTTTCCACCAGATGAATCACGTCCTCTCCGCTGTGTTTACTCTACGATAAGATGCAGTTATTCTATTGCACTCATATTGCTTTCATTTGAATAATCTCAGGTCTTATGTGCCTGTGACTTAGAAATTTATGGGATGTTTTCTGGTTTGAAGTATTGATCGGTTTCATAGTAAGTTGGCCTTTATTTCCATGCTGATAATCAATAAAATTTCGAATGTTAAGGGAGGAATAACATTCTTGCGAAGTAATCTATAGTAAAGAAAAATCAATACAATGCTGCCCAAAATTGTGTAAGAAACTTCAGTGAGCTGCTTAAGCAAGAATATTGAATAAAACTGCTAGTTTTTATACACTGTTGCATTGAATAGATCCTCTAGCTTTTGGCGAAAGCATTAAGCTCTCGAGGACTTATCCTGGAGTAAACACAGCATGTTCTTATTTCTTACAAGAATACCATTTTTGTTGTTGTTTCTTCCTTTCCATCTCCCATTTTTAATTTTTGTATATTGTAAGTTTTTCATCCAATCAAGTGGAACATTCATCCTTAACGGTTGATAATTTATAGAATATTGAGCATTAGTGTGCCCAAACTACCCGACTCTGTTCCACCCGGAACGACCTCGGAAAAACGTTTGTAATCAATATACTTAAGAAAATGCATCGTTCATCTAAAATATTGAACGGAACATCCTTTGAATCTCTCCACATTACGCTTATTTGATGACAGTATGACGCACAATCTCTGAAACTGAAAAGCCTGCTTCTTTGTATGAACTTACCCCCTCATTTTGTCTTGAACAAATAATCTTTCTGCATCGTGTTGTTTCACTTAAATTCTGTCGCACAAGAATATTAGAAATATATTTTTACCTTTGGTTACTATACTTAAATGGAAGTCGCTGTCTTTCATGATAATCTTAAGTGTCGGCTATAGTTGGAACTTATTCGCATCACAATTCCAGAACGCTAAGTCTGTCTGTAGCCTAACCAGTTGAACGTACGAACAAAAACCCCTAGTTCTTAATTATCCAGAACAATTCAAGTGTTATAATTCAAATTTGTTGATTTAGCCCCGTTTTTTGTTGCTCTAAATTGTAGATACCCTTCTTCTACCCTCATTCAGAAACCATAAGAAAAGGAAACCGTTTTTCTTTCTTATTGATAGCGTGTTTATCGTGAGACTTTGTAATTTACTCTTCATGTATGAAGGACGTAATAGTTTTGATTGTTCTAGCTGAGTTGGTTTTATTTTAAAGCTTCGTTTGGCTGTTTGACTTGTTAATGTAATATCCGATAATTTTCTCAAAGCAAGTTCAACTTAAGTGCATCATTTTTATGAGCGCTCCATTTTCTTTTCAGTTTCTTATTCATTTTTTTTTAAAAAAAATTTTATCTCTATTCTGCCACATCTTTCCATTATGAATTGTATCTTCCGGTGGCTTAGATTTTTTATGAAATATTAACTGGGGAAAGAGTCATGAATCATTTCAACTTGCTCCATCTTGAATCATTTGATTTTAAGAACTAAAGGATACCTCTTAGAATCTAGAAATAAAGTTCAGCTTCTGTTTTTAAACCGTTTTACCTTTATTTTTCCCATGTAATCAAAGTAATCATACCGGAAATCATCTACAATTGAACTTAATTTTGCAATTTGGAACTACAATTTCAGACTCAATTTAAAACCAAGAAATTGGAGTTCCAAAATGCTGAATGTAGCCCAATCGTAAGTTCAGCTCTTATCTAAACAATATGAAGGCGCATACGTCTTATCATCACCTCACAGAACAGGAAGTTACAAATTGGGCAGTGATTAGCACAAAGGAACCCAGTGGCATGGGTCGCGAGAGTGATGAAATAAGGATTTAACTTTATTTCCTTCATTACGAGAGTAGAGAGAAAAGAGTAAAACTTCAAATCAACTTCTCCCCCTATAAGTTATCTTTAAGGAACTTCAAAATTTTTATGAAGGTAAAGAAGCTTTCAGACAAGCTCAAAAATATCTGTCATTGAATTTTTTTAAAAATGCCATCTAGTTTTCTTTTTCTGAATATTGCCCAATTTTTCCTTCTAGTAAAGAGCACTGAGAAACAATAAAATTCATTTTATTTTGTTCGTCCGTGGAACACTAGGGGGTCACCCTCAATATTCTGCGACAGAATTCTGGGAAAGTAAGTACCGTTTACGCCTGCAGATAACCAGCACCCTAGATGTTAAGAGGGTTAAAAAAAATAAAAAAATTATAACCCACACACTTCCACGGTGGTCTGCTTAGCTTGCATCCTCAAGTAGCGCCCCATGGGTATGCAATTTCCACGAGTTTCACAGATTGCACCCTGATTTTTGAGTGATGAAATCGGGGTAAAGAGGTGCGGATTATCTGCGGGCGCATACGGTATTTAGTATCTATTACCTATCCGGATACTCCAGGAAATCAAATTGAATTACTGTGAGAGCCCTGACCCGATGGGCCTGTAGGGGCTGCAAGAGAAGCACCAGGCTTACTGAAGGGCTGGAAAATTTTGCCCAGTAACGGTTTACGAGATATTCGCATTTTTGGGTTTGAGAAAACCTTCTCTTTTCATCATGATGAAAAATTGACCAGCACCAAAATGTTGAAAATTCAAGTTGATCCTAGGGGGCCCTGACCCCATGAGCCTCTAAGGGGTGCCAAAGAAATCTATGAAATGAAGAGGGCTGAAAAATTTTGTTTGTTCTTTTCTCCGACCAACAAGGAAGAAGATATGTATTTGCAATTTCCTGTTAAAGAAATGGATCCATTTTCATCTGAATGAAAAAATCGGCTCTCACCAGTACTTTTGAATTTTAAATCGATCTGGGAACTGCATTAAGTAATTTAGAAGTTCGGGAGGGTTAGAAAATGTCTTGCTGTGTTCTATGGTTAACGATTTAGGAGATACTTATTTTCCGTGATGAAGCTGGATCCTTTAACATGGTAAAGGGCATTTGAGGGTTGAGGAGGATTGAAGGATTTGTCCATTGTGCTCTTCTCAGCAATGCACGGTTCAGGAGCAAGGGACAAGATCAATCCATTCAGGTCAGTCATTTGGCATTGCCCAGGTCCGGTTTTGAGGCCTTACTGCACAATAATAGCTGGAATTTTAGATCCAGTGGATTTCTTTTTGGACCGATTTAGATCAAGCAGATCCTAAGCCATACGCTACAATCACACGCCGTATGTGGCTTGAATGTGGAAGTCATCGGCCCCGTGCCTGAATTTTGTTTGCCGCAAAATTCAGCAACGATTCTTACCGACCATCGGATAATGTCGGACTTGTCTGAACTATTCGAATAGATTTGCTACACATCTGGATGAAAATAACTCGAATTTGCGAAATTCCAGCTGTTGAGCGATGACTGTTGACTTCCATATTCAGTTGCCAAATTCAGCGTTTGATTGCGGCGATAGACTGATTCAGTGACAACATCATTCGTTATAATATCAAACTCTTGGTTCAAACCAACAAAAAATAACATGACCTCATGTGCGAATTCTACATTAGGTAATTGTATTGATTCATTAAAATTGAGTCATTGACCAGTCATAAATCAATTAAAGTCTGATAAACACGAGAACTTCTGACTGTAAGAAACACTTGGATGCACTTCACCACCATGGCGCAAAGGGCGCAAATCAGAAACAAGGTTCTGCGTTTGTTTACATTTGAACCAAGGATTCGATATTATATTGGATGACAAAGCCGCTAAATCAGACTATCAGAGTACAATCCAACTGGAAAAAGGATCTTGAAAATGTGCAAGGTGGCTGACCTGTGTGAATTAGTCTTGGCTGGTAACGTTCCTTCACTGTTGCAACTACATATGAATTTATTTTTATTTGGCGTATAAAATGAATTGTGTTTAATAAGACAGTTTGAAATTCAAAGCAAAACCTCAGACCAACTATAAAGAACACATCCAGTACGTCTAAAAAAAACGAGTATCTAATGATACTAAACTCCGTGATTCCATAATCCATGATTTCTATTACAAAAAAATGAGAGAAAGTTGCACAGATAAATTGGAGTTGGCTTTTTCAGCAGAAAACATTTTATGTGAATGTCCCAGAGCAAAAGTAAAAAGGGCTTGATTCATTTCTGTACTAGTATCTTCAGTCCTGAATGCAACAAATTTTGAGCCCTGGGATGCAGAAAATTCCAAGCCTTCCACCAGATTCAATTAACTTTTCCTTTTCTCCACCAAGCTTCCTGGTAGCTTCCCTCAGAAGGCTTAAAAATTTAGAGAAAAAAGTTCCTTTCACCCCCTCAAATCAGACTTAGTCACCGCTAAAATGTGGTACTTCAAAAGATCTGTCAAAGTTCTCCATAATATCCCGTTTTCAAAGGGATTTCTCTGACTTTTCTTGTGGCGGTTTTCCCACTTCATACAACCATGCCGGATGTGGTTGGGAAGTTTCAGCACCCTTGCTTGTGCTCTGATGACAGATTGAAAGGTTAGAAGGTCAAAGTAGACTTAGGAAACTCAATGAAAAGGAAGCATTTTAAATTATTTTAACCTCTTCACAATACTTGTGGAGTGATGAACTTGAGAACCTTCCTAAAACTTTTTTAAACTGCAAACTTTGGAGTGTCATAACTTGGGTTCATTTTGACAATTTTGAGGTTTTTGGTGATGAGATGTTGGTGAAAAATACTCCTTGGGTTGTGGAAAGAAAACGCAATACACAGACAAATATCTTACAAAACAAGTGTAATCAATGTTAAAAAAAAGAAACAATCCTTACAACTAAAATCTTCACCCTCAATTCAAGGTCGTCGGAAATCGGTGAGTCTGGGTTGGATCAGCTGTAAACCACTGATGCTGTTAAATTCCTGTAACAAAAAAATACACACTTTTAGAATCAGCACACAAGGAAGTAATCTTACAATGAAAAGAATATTTGGCCTAAAAAAAAAGAACATAAATATACGCTTACCGACAAAAATTGAACTCTGCTGAATAATAACAGGTTTAGCTGCTAATTTATTCGTAAATAACATGACTCAGCTGAAGTTCTCAGAATCTGATACTCAGGTTGTACGAGTGACCGATCTGTGTGTATTATATATGGACTGCATTTTGCAATTTGGACCTATAAATTCCGGCCTGGTTTAAGAACAACGTATGTGCCATTAGTTTCCCTATGCACATAAGTGTTTTTCCGGATGAGCCAGAATTAATAGGTCCAAATTGCAAAATGCAGTCCATATGACTTCTTAAAGAATGCGTTCAAAAGATCAACTATTTTTCCTTCTTGTGAAATGAAGTTTATTTGGTTTAATCAAAACTGTTCAGATGGACACTAGACTGATCATTATAATGCTTATAGAGCAAAATAAAACTTGAATAGAATCAGTAATTTTTCCATAAGATGAATAAGTACGCCCAGAAATTTTCACAAAGCTTTTATGGTATTAGAGAGGCTGTGCTGTGTTGCCAATTGTTGGAGGATAGGTTACTTGCCCTGGCTCATGATGATATAAACTTGATGAATAATAATGATAAGTTCAAGGAAAAACCACTTTCAAATTTTGGAAGGACTCTTTCTTTGTCACTGGAAAAAGTGCCTTGCTCCTTCTAACTGATGAACTTGAAATTGTCATGACTGGTATTCATATTTTAGTTTTTGGCGTTTTTGGCGCCAAAATGTACTTAATACACTCTAACCAATATCTAAATTCGGAGTTCTAGAGCTTCAACTTTCTACAGAGGGTCACAAATTTCAAAATTGATTTCATTCAATGTTTGAATCTTGACAAGAGTCATGCATGAAATGCACCAAAATATTTCTTACCGACACATAAATGATTGCGACTAGGCCAAAGTTGGCACCTGAGAATTACCTGATAGCTAACTATGAAAACGCTGGAAATTTTTTAGATTGATATAAAAATCTATTAACAACCACTTTAACAGGATTCGTTTGGGTAGAGGCAAGCTGAGAAAATGTATCATCAGTTAGGGAAAGTCAGCTTGAAGACATGTGGTTCTCATTAAAAATTATTTCAGGTAAAATAAAATCATTTTGGCTCCTCAAAAGGATCAGGCTGGCTAAATTAGCCCTCACCTTCTCTGGCAGATTCTAACACTGAATTCATTCAAATTCAGAAAATCAAAGTGCAGAAAATTGCAAAATGTAGACTGCATACAGGCAAAATTTCAAACTTTCTTGACATGACTTGAGATACCTAGTATCAAAACCTGCAATATACAGTGTCTAAAAATTTGGAGATCGTTTTCATACTTGTAGTGAGAGCAGGTGCATTTACATTACTTTACAAGTGTATACTCTCTCAATCATTTTCAACATTTTAGTGGGAAAAATATGACAGTATTTCACACAAAAAGTATTATGGATTACTCCTCTTAAACAATTAAACATCTTGAACCATCTACCAAAGTTTTAGGCGTCACAATGGAGATTGCTGATTATTACTGAAGGTGCCTCAACTATCCAATCTACCTGAATTTTCCCAAAGATGAGCAAGAGAAAGTAAGGGCTAACACTTCGGCAAATTTCCTCACAACCGAAGATTATTGTGAGGAAAATCAGAGGCTAAAATTCAGCATAGTCTTTGTGAAAGGAAAAAGAATACTCACAAATTCTTTCAACATCTCCTTAGTTTCAGGATCAACTTCGATGACGTCTTGCTCTAAAGCGGACACATCTGGGACGTAGTTGTCTCTTCTTTCTCTTTCCTCTTCTTGCAGCTTGATGGAGATTCCTCTCACTTGACTGTGGCGAAGGCGTTTCATTAAGTGAGTGACGAATCTATAAAAATTATTAAGATGAAATTAAAAACTGAAGAACAGGGTGTCTACTAAAATAGGCTGGCCAAAAATCAGTACTTACACAGTAATTCTTCAACACATTCCCAAGAAATTCAGTACCTCCTCAACAGAAAAATACTGTACTTTTTCAGTACTTTCATAGGATGAAATTTAAAAAATTTCAAAAATGTGAATTTCTCGCTCAAACTGCGACAAAAATTCCGGACCTTCTTGCAAAATTTCCACACTTTTTCAGTACTTCCGGACCGCCCTTAAAAAATCAGTACTATTTTCAGACTTTCTGGAAATTTCGGACTTGTAGACGCCTTCGGAGAAGAATGCAGGGTTTCCAATTTTTTTCAAAATTCAATTTCCCTGTTTTCCCTGCAATTTTTGTAGGAAATTACTCCCTACTAAGACGCATCCGTCCTAGAGGTGTGACTTGACCACTCTGCCAGGATTGGAACTTTAAAAAGCTACCTCTGGCTTGTAAAGCTAGGTATTGTCCACTTTTCCTAACTACAAAATACTTTTCTAAGAAAAATTGGGCTTGCCTGCTATTGTTAAAATGGATAAACTTTTCAAAAGCATATTTAACGGTCACTTTATGAGCACTTTTGACTGCTTCATTCAGATAAATAATAATTCCTTAATGTCAGAACTGCCATAAAATTGGTGATTCAGTCATTTATCTAAGAAATCCGCATGTGGTATTAAATGGACCACATTTTGCAATTTAGAACTATAAATTCTAGCCCGGTTTAAAAACAACGTATGTGCCATCAGTTTCCCTGTGCACATAAGTGTTTTTCCAGAAGAGCCAGAATTTATAGTTTCAAATTGCAAAATGCAGTCCAAATGTGGTTAGCAATCTGAAATTGAAACATGAAGAAAGGCTGCTTTTGGTTTCCACCTCTTTTGAGAGACCTTTTTTTTTTTGAATTCCAGTGTTAGCATCAAATACCCTAGATTTTCCCTCCAAATTCCATTCCCTGGGTTTTCCCTGTTTTCTCCACTAGTAGAAATCCCAATTACTGCATTCATAGCTACTGAGAACACATTAGCAGATAAGTTCGTATTGAATTAAAAATAATAGTGATATTCGCCTTCCATCACTTGAGAAAAGTTAGTATTGATGAAGTTACCCTGCAATTTTGTTTCTGAGCGATTTGGTTGGGATGACAGCAATTTCTTCGCAAACACGCTTGTTAGTGTGGAAGTCCAAGGTTAACTTGGTGTAGTACTTCTCAATGATGATACGAGATGCTCGTTTGACAGTCTTCGTCCTGACACGACCCTGAAGAACAAAAAAAATATAAGAATGGGACTCACTAAAAATAAGCGGATCGATACTTGGCATCGATACTCAATGATTTCAATCCTCAAACCCCAATATCGATGATACCGATTCTTCATCTGATTTTGCCATGAAGAAGGCCCTCACCTCTACTATGCCCTGAGACAAACGACGGAGTAATCAGGTTTCACAAGATGATTACTTGTGATAAAAATGTTAAAAGCTTGGTTCGATAACAGTTGTAAAGGGCTCATTACAGTTGACTAAGCAGGCGAATAAGGGCGGTTTCAAGAAGCGTAAATCAGGTGGAATTAAGCAGCCGACAGACTTACGCACCCTCCGAATTGTAGCATAATTAAGAAGTGGTAATGGTACTTCAGCTCGCTGCTTAGTGTCAATACCAGTATCGAGACTTCCTCGAGAATCGATATCCCTAAACCATTGCATATTATTTCACCAGCCCAATAACCGGCTCAAATAAGTTCCACCAAAGCAGTGAGCCGTAAGCCGCCATGACTGTGTGTTGACGTACTTGAGCTCAGGAAATCGTGTACTTGACGTTAGCGGATGGTAATTAACATTGAGGCCTGATATTGATTAAGAACGCAACTTCAATCTTTCGGAACCTTTGTTACTTATTAATACTTCCTCCTGGGCCAATGAGGAACAGTGGCTGTTCAACCTGTCGAAGTGTAGGAGTCTACTTGGGTCCAGAGACTAATCCGAAATTTAGCCCTATTGTCGATCGAGGGTAATCTAATTCAAAATTGAATGATTTTTGGACCATTGGACCATTTTTGGATTCATCCAAAGATTGCGAAGCCTGATTCTGTCACACGTCGGAGAATTCCTAACCTCAAAACCGCAACTCAGATTGTTTGAATGCTTTTGAACGGTATGAGGTGCAAGATGGCTCAAAAAAGTAGAGACATGGGCAAATTGATAAAACTTACCATCTTAGCAGCTACACAAAATCGCCTTTTGGAGTGAAAAGACCAAACGAAACTTTTCACTCACGCGACACAAAATTCCAGCGAGTTTAGCGAGCAAGCAGCGACTAAAACGAAAGGTCGATTGCAATCACCCATTTCGGCGCCATGTTGATGACGTACTAGTGGGACCACTAGTAGCGCGAAGTTTGAATTGAGACGTCTGGTGCGAATTGCGCGCAAGCATAGAGTCCCTTTATTACCCTACATAAGGGACCCCGGTATAAAGGGACTATATCTTGGTGCACTCTTTAGTGACTCCATGAGCGAGAACAAATCAGAATTGGATTTTTTTTTAAGCCACTTTCCAGTGGCGTTAGGAGCAACGAAATCCAACACTCATCAATAACGCTGATTGCGCCAGCTGCGCTCAAAATGAATTTACAATACAACACACCTCCTTAAAGAGGTTGTTCCAAAAACGCCGATTCCCCCCTCCCCTGGATTTGGCCCAAAGTTTGCTCAAATGCTGTACTAAGTATCCCCAATGCTTGGGCAAAATTTCAGCCACCTCCGATAATCAGGGGTTACATTACATATATTAGATTAAGTTACACGCGCGTGGCATATCGGTGGCGCTCGAGCGAGGGAGACGATCACCCTGTATATCGCACGAATTTCGCGAACATTGTGAGAGGTCGATTTCCTATATATTGACACATTTCTTATACATTGCATGACTTTCGCATGATATACCAATTTTGAAGTCTATTTCCTATATATTAGCACATTTCTTATATATTGCGACAGTTTTGTCTTTATATTTCAAAGTTTCCTATAGGTATATCTTGAATATTTCATACATTACATCATTTCTCATATATTGCCAATATTCGTATCTTTAGTTACTAACGGCCCCTCAGACAGTGATTCCGAATCAATTCCTCCAACTTGTTGAATTTTTTGTGACCGAATCATTTCTGATACTTTATTTCAGTCAATGAAATGATTGCACATAACCTTTGTAGTACAATGAACTATGTGATTAATTTTTTCAGAGTTTTCCAAAATCTACCATCGGCAAATAATGGCATTAACAAAATTTTTAACAGAAAGCCCTTAAGCGCGAATATCAACAGTACATACTTGGACAAAATGATTGAACAACAAATTGGGTTTGATTTTTAATGAAAAATAAATATATTACAATAAAAACTTAACTTTCTTACTGTACATACACCTACTGCAATTAAATGAAACATTAAAAGGACAACATCAAACTTCAAGATTACCGGAAAATCAAATTAAATTGAGAATTTTAGCAGTTCAAAGACAAAGTAATATCATAGATCATGAAGGAACCGAGTGTTTGGTAAGTAAATAACAGCAGATCTGAAAGGTGTTGGTTTGCAACCTTTCATAAATCCATCTTAATTTAATAATTTGGATCGTGGTAAGCACAAAGGAACCAAGCCTCATCAGCTATTGCCAAATTTCATGGAGCAATTTAATTTTATACATGAGAATGGTTGTGCGGATTTTTTTGCAAATTTTAGTGAATTTTTTAATAGTATGAAAAAAATTCCTTGGAATTTTCAAAGGGATCCGCACAAACGTTCTTTCATAAAAAATTACATTGCTCAGTTAAATTTGACAATAGCTCATAAGGCTTGGTTCCTTTCTGTTAAACACAGTCCATTTTATGTATTGCAATTAAATTTGTAGACTTCTATCAAAATTAAAATTGGTTTCATTGCCGCATTGTGGTTTGATGAATAATACACTTCTGAAGCTTTTTCATGCTCATCACCTCATTCATACCACATCAGCCTGATGCTAGTGTTCACATTTTGGTCACCTAAATCAAAACAGTTAATACTTGGTTGGTGATCAATTGTAGCCCTTTAAAAAATTAACCAGTTTTTAAGAATCAATAACCTAATGAAAAAAATTGGCTCATTGCGGTCATGGAAAAAGTCAGATGTAAAATGTTACATATCTTCAGTTGTGGTTCTACGGCATGTTCCACACTGGCACTGTCATTTAGTTTCTCTAATTTTTTAAAGAATATCTTTCAGTGTTGCTTCGAAATTAAATCAATTATTGACTTGCACTCCACCCATCAAGTTGACAGGTCGATCTTTGTATTTCTTTGAGATGTCAGCAGCAATCTAGAAAAAGTCGGAAAAAATTGAAATAAAAACCACACAGAGCATAAAATAATCAAATTAAGTCTTGAAGAGATATATGTAATGGCAAAGAAATACTCAACATCGCAATATATTTTGCAAAGATGAAATTATTACTGAAGTCATAAAAAAGGTAATTTACCTACGAACTTCTGAGGCTTGCTTGATGGATTTACAATATTTTTTTTTTTAACTGACTTCTGAGAATCAACAAGATATATGCACCGTTTTTATGAATAATCTTGTAAGGACATAACTCATTGACGATCAGAGCCTATGTTTTGTTGGCTGTAGTCGGCCAATATTCCAGTGAACAGAGCCTTGAAATCAGTGGGCTTACGTAGTCGACCAGAGAGTATCTGCTGTACTTGAGGGCTTTTCAAGCCTAGAGTAAGTGAAACAAACGTAGCTACATGTGCCTAAAATCGACTTAGCTACCTTAGTTTTGTTTCAGTCTTGGCAGGAAGTTTAAACAGGGTTCTAATTTTACAATAACTGATTCTTCTTGGACCTTCTTTTACCCTAGGCAAATTTTCCGCCGAGACTGAAATGAAACCAACTCAACCAAGCATTTCTTCAATTTCGGTTGGTCTGTATTGGAAGAACATACATGACATTGTCTCAAGCTGGCTGTAACTTGCGCAAGGCTAGTCAACAAAATTTGGTTCCAAAAACTGTGCTCCTACATTAGTTGAGGGTATAACAATATAGGTATTGACAATTAAAGTGCAAAACCACGAACCTCCATTGCAGTTTTGAAAATCTCTGTTCCTACTAAATTTTTTCAAAGAGAAACAAGGCGACTATATAGCTTGAAGTTTACATGGAATATTCTGCTAACAGAGGGGAAAATTAAGAAAGTTTTCAAGAAATTAAGTTGACTAGTTTTCTAATGAAGAATAAAGTATGATTTCGCACTTGGCCCATTCATAGAATAACATGATAATATAACACCCACCTCAACTTGTAAGTCCTTTGTCTTTTGATTGATCAACGCTAATTTCGCCTTCAGTTTCAGTTCCTCTTGGGCCGCCTCTCTCGACTTCCTTTGCAGTTCCTCCTCGAGGGTTTTAGCTTTTTCAATGACATTCTTTTTGTTCTTCAATAGTTTCACAAAATTCTCTACATACCTGAAGAGAAAAATTGGATTTTCATCGAGATTAGAATACACGGGTTGTCCAGAAAGAGAGTTAACCTATTTCTAATCTTGGTTTCTTGATGCACTGCAAAATTTTAACTTTGTTTTGGTAAAATTGTGAAAAATAAGGTGTTTTTAAACCTTCCTCTTCTCCACACGAGTCAAATATTTCACAGAGCACGATTAGCGTCATGAGCTGCTGTGTGTATTGATTATCACAAGCAAGTGACTTACGGACAGTTGAACTTCATGTAAAACACATCAGGACTCATTATATTTCTGAACAATGGGCCTGTTACAAAATTTTGCTGGAGCAAAAATAAGAGTTGTTTCTTACAGAAAATGTCAATGACAAAGTCTGAAATGCACTCCTAATTTCACAATCTGCGTAAGAAATTTGCGTTTTTTTTTTTTGAGCTTCTTACTCCAAAAACGATATCACAGCAAACATTTCGTTTAAGGAGTCGTTCCATTCAACCCTTGCGCACCAGAATGTTTTGCAACACTCAACATAACCCACGCTATAAAGACGGATCTTTATCAACGCGAGGAAAACGTGAATGTAAACACGCTAGGTTGTTAACAAATGGTTAGAATCTCGTCTCGGCACATGAGTTTTGGCCAGTTTTGGCGGATTGGCGTCGGCCATGTTGAATTTGGTGGGCAGGAAGAAACAACTCCTCTAACAAAATGTTCACCAGTACCATAGTACCGTTAGTGAACATTGACTTATAACACAATCTAGACCGCGCACTAGGCTCGGCTTTCGGTGGGGGAGGTAAGACAGCTAGGGGGTAAATCAGGGTAAAGACGCGCCTTCAGCTTAGTTGATACAGACGATTATATGAAGCGTACCAGGCAACGGCACAGGCAAGACTGGCATTTCCATTGTCTCGGCACGAATTGCAATGCGGGTTGCCTCTCGTCTTGCTGAAATTTCCTAATGCGCGGTCTAGATTTTATTGTACGTCAATGTTTGTGAAGCAGGAAGCTCAAAAAAACGCAAATTTCTTACATAGATTTTGACGTTAGGAGAGCATTTCAGACTTCGATGATGCGCTCATCGTGATTTTTGAGCCATTTTCTATGAGAACCAACTCATATTTTTGCTCTAGCAAATGTTTGCTGCAGACCCATTACAGGATTGAAACATTTAATTTGTTATCAGTTGTATCACATCAAAAGTATCTGAAAGTGATATTATTAACTCTTCTTTTCCGGCTGAGTTGTTCACATTATACAGCCCTTTTTAGGAATGACTTCGTCTCTAAGAGATTTTTCCAGCTATGGACTCACACAAGATAGAGAAATAATTTGCTGGAGCCTTATAAAAATGAAATACTCACTTTGGAAGATGTTTCACGTTATGGAGATGCTCAGTAGTTTTGTCCGTGAGCAACTTCTGTACAGTGATAACAGCATCGAGCATATATTTGACGTTTTCTGGCGTTTCACTAACATCACTGATCAGGCCTCCATCATCCGATTTCATTTCGTGTAACCGCATTTTCAGAAAAGATTCAAGCTGTTAAATACAGAGAGGAGTTATTCGTCTCTCAAAAAAACTAATAAAAATATTTTACGATAGATTCACACACTGAAGTGCCTACAGGCTGTAAAAAACTTAAAATTCTCCCACTACTTTAAGTTTTGTAAGATCAAACATATCACACAACACAAGATCTCCTAATTTTTTGACATGTGATCCACTACTGCATAAAAAAATTGGCAGTGAAATATAGAGTAGACATAAAATTTTCCAATTTCTTTCCTAAACTCACTTTCTTCAAAACTTTTGTTTTACCATAAAAATTTCAGGTGTCAAGAAAATGCTTCTTAATGCAATGATTTTCTGGATTTCCTGAAGGCAGAGAAAGTTTTCTATGGTGATGGAATTTCTTTCACTTTTTCTGGTCGTTTGAGAGCAATGAAATATGTTGAGTATAATTTTTTAGTTAGTTTCTACCTTGTTAAAGAAGAACATTATGGATTCAAAAAGTCTATAGCCTTCCTATTTTTTAGATATCCTTTCTTCGTTGAGAGCCCTTATTTTCTTAAATTTTTAAATTTCCACAAAAGGATTTTTCCTTTTTTCGTTAATCATTCTTTTCTTAGGATTCATGATTAATATTGATATTATACAGGGTGAGCGAAAAGTCCCCGACCCCCCCTCTAACTTTTGAACGAATTGAGCTAGGGAAATGAAACTTTGGGGATGTTCCTATCTCAAAGGGGACCATCTTTTGGGGGGGTCAAAATTTTAGTCCCCCCCTCAGGGGGGGACGGGGGCCCCCCAACTTTTTTTTTTCAAATGACAACCCCTATCTTGTGATACCTCATTCGAAAGAGCATAAAAAACTAAGAATTTTGGCGCAAACCGCAGATCAATATCTTAATTTTTGACCGAGTTATGATAGGTCAAAGGTCAACTTTGACCTTTTTTCAAAAAATCATAACTCCGGTTCAAATTATCGTAAAGGAAAAAATAAAACGGGAAAATTTACCAAATTGTGTCCGCTTTTAAGTAAAAATTGCAGAAATCACTTCGCTGTAATTTTAAGGGGGGGCTCGGACCCCCAAATACGTCAATTCAAAGGTCATTCAATTTTCCCGCGAAATAAGCCAATTTCCCCTGGATTTGCCTCCACATTATCTCAGTAAGGTCAAAATCAGTTCAAAATGACGTTGGCAAGTCCCCAAATTTCGGGAAAAGTTAAAAAAAAATTATATTTAAGGTAATTAAATTTGACCGTTTAAATATAATTTTTTTTTAACTTTTCCCGAAATTTGGGGACTTGCCAACGTCATTTTGAACTGATTTTGACCTTACTGAGATAATGTGGAGGCAAATCCAGGGGAAATTGGCTTATTTCGCGGGAAAATTGAATGACCTTTGAATTGACGTATTTGGGGGTCCGAGCCCCCCCTTAAAATTACAGCGAAGTGATTTTTGCAATTTTTACTTAAAAGCGGACACAATTTGGTAAATTTTCCCGTTTTATTTTTTCCTTTACGATAATTTGAACCGGAGTTATGATTTTTTGAAAAAAGGTCAAAGTTGACCTTTGACCTATCATAACTCGGTCAAAAATTAAGATATTGATCTGCGGTTTGCGCCAAAATTCTTAGTTTTTTATGCTCTTTCGAATGAGATATCACAAGATAGGGGTTGTCATTTGAAAAAAAAAAGTTGGGGGGCCCCCGTCCCCCCCTGAGGGGGGGACCAAAATTTTGACCCCCCCCCCCAAAAGATGGTCCCCTTTGAGATAGGAACATCCCCAAAGTTTCATTTCCCTAGCTCAATTCGTTCAAAAGTTAGAGGGGGGGTCGGGGACTTTTCGCTCACCCTGTATAACCAGTAGCCAGGTGTCGATGATCGATTATCAATATTTTCCCACTTGAAGCTATGGTAAAAGATCGATTATTAAGGTGTTCGTTACGAACACTCTGATTATCAATCCTTTTCCCTAGGTTTAAATGGTAGATCAATCAATATATCGCAAAGCACGCCACGCCACTGCACACAACCCTTGTATCAAGCAGTCAAGAAGCTTCTTAACCTTGCAGAAAACTGTAAAAATCTTGGAAAAATTCTAGTAACCAAGCTGGAGAGGGGTTGATTTTCGCCATAAAGAAGGTAACAAAATATTAATGGACTGCAAGAAACTTAATTTTTTTTTAAAAAGCCTGCAGAACATCTCACAATTTCTTATTCCAAATCAGAATTAAAGCCCTATTAGCCTCGCATTAGATAAAGTAAACGGGGTTAATGGTAACTTACCTCCATAATTTCATTTAAAAATTGATTCCTAGTTTTCGGATTGTCTAGAACTGTTAGCGCCTCCTCCCCTCGAGCTACTTTGTCTTTAGATTTTTCTACGTCTATACCACTATCATCTGGCATAAGAACATCTGACTGATTGGGGTCTGCTTCAACTGATATTCCGTAGTCGATTTCCTGAAAATTATTTTGCCTAATTAGTACAACATTATGCACATTTGTGTGTGTTGGAGTTCATTATTTCATTATTTACATGTTTGAAAATCATCTCAAAAGTAAATTTAGCGGACTGACTTAACAATTGAAAGAAATAAAAAGAATTGGATGAATCGCGTTAATTTTGCTACACAATAAAAGATATTCATCTAGGATATAAAATAATTTATGAAATTCATATTCACATACATGCCTTTAAAAAAAAAAAAAATTTAAGAGATGAAGAAAAACTTACGTCTGTGAATGTGTCATCTCCCCAATCGATACCTCCACCATCGTCTTCTTCATTCTGAAAAGTAAAGCAAAACAATCTTTGGGATAGTTCATAGAAAAGTAATAGTTCAACGAATCCAAGCACAATATCATTAGTTTCATATCGTCTACAGTCCCCCCTCGTTCGTTTTTTCCTCGTCGTCGTTTCCCCTTGTCCCTACAGTTTTATCCATCCCAGACACTGACATGTTAGAGAAGATAATGTTGGTGACTTCATCTACTGTTATCTCTAAAAAGGAACAGAGAATAGGTAGAGCGAGATAAAGAGAGAGAAGAATGACAGAAAAGAGTCATTAGTCTAAAAAATTTGGAAAAAGGGGGAAAAATGAGAAATCTCTGGATTGGGTAATGTGTGATCATAATTTGAATTTTTTAAAACCCCTTAAGCTGTTCAAAACCTGCGACCTGCAGGACGCACTTTGTCTGAAAGGTTAAAAAGTTTAGCCTCCCTATGGAGACCAAAGAAGAGAGTAAAGGAACATTAGGTATGATTTTAAAGATTCTTCAAGTATTTCAAATATCTATAATATTCTTACATTTTCTTCTACAACGATATTTGTTTCGATCCCTTCGATCCTACTGGGAGCTTCATCATATTGCCATTCGTAAGTCGTAGCATTGCCTCGATCTAGAAAAAAAAGAGAGATATTAGACGGTCTGAGGCTGGAAACAATTTTAAGGGCTAAAAAGTACATTGGTGATTACAATAAGGGCATCTGGAAGCAAACGTACTGCATGATGACCACAGTTGGTAGGAAACGTGTTAAACAAAATTAGACCATAGATAAGAGCATTAATTGCAGAATTAGTATTCAATATTTTAACGCGTTACTTGAAGAGGGGCATGACCTCCAAACGTCAAATTCTAGGAGAACATGAAAAAAAACTTGATTTCTTCAAAAATTCTTCTAATTTCTATTCAAAACATTGACAATCCTTTACATGCCATCTGTAATAAAATCACTGTCACACAAGCAGGGTTGAAGAAACTGGGTAAGAAATAAAACATTTTGAAAGTTTGGTGAATACGTCCTTCTTCCACTAAACCGCTTCACGCTCAGTACTGCCATTTGAACTGAACTAGGCACACTTTTCATTCGATTAAAAGGTCAAATTTGAGACAAATATTTTGACAGTGGAAAAAGATGATGAACTTGATCTCTGAAACTGAGTCTCACAGAGAAATTAAACTTTAAACTTTTTTTTTTTCAGTTCCATTTTGATGTCTTTTGGTTCTCTCATATGAACTTATGATCAAATGGGTTGGTAAAATCAGCATTTTCCACATTGTGCAATTGAAAAACATACAAACCTGCTACAAAATTTATCAGGGTTACTGATACTTTCATCTCCATATTTTCCTCTACAAATTTGGTGTAAAAAGACACGGCAGGTAATACTGACTTCACTTTCGAGGCTATTCTGTCATAGATTTCTGGCAGGGTTTTGATTCTTTCCGAGAGATCCTGCTGAATGTTATCACTCTGTATTCCAAGTTGTTTCTTAAGGTTGTTGATTTCATTCTGTGCACTTTTTGCTGTTTTCGCATGTTGTGCTTCTTTCTTTTCACATTCCTGAGACATGATAAAAAAAAGGTCAAAAATAAAAATAAAAATAAAACAAAAAACACAAATTTTTTTTTCAAATGTTAGCACAAGAGATAGGGTTGCAACAGACTTTAGAGTATGTATGGAATTTCCCAGTCATATTTTGGTAAAATTCCTTAACAACTGAAAACATGCCATTCGGTTATAGAGACATAATTTGAAATAGTTTTCAGGCAAATTTTTTTGTTCGAAACCACAAACCCATTCTAGAAAGCAAATAAAGATAACTCAATAATTTTGTCCCGCCACTTCTGTCATTTTCCTTGATACTCCCAGCTTTTCCGTGGCTATTTGAAATTCCCTGACATCTCCTGGTTTCCCCTGTCTTCCCTGACTTTGGCAACCCTGCTTTAAAGTGGGTGTACTTAAAATTTTCAAATGCTAACACGGAAGGATATTTTTCATGGCAAGGGGCAGGAATGGTAGAGAACACAAAGAAAAGATTAAATACAAGCTTACTTGCTGAGTTTGTTGGCATTTAGATATTTGCTTTTTGAGAGCTGGAATTTCGTACTTAATATTCCTAATCAGTAGATTACTGGCCTCTGCTAAGTAAATATTATCTTTTTGATACAGCCTAACTATTTCCTGCCAATCCTTCATTCTCTTAGATCCATAGCTACCAAAGAAACTCTTTGTGTCGGCTTCCGTCTCCTTCAGTATCTCAATTATTCGCAGGCAGTGGAAGTAATTTATATCTGAAACAAAACCAAGTTACATTTTATACTTTGGCAAGGTAAATCACTGTAAAAACTAAATTTCACCATCAAAGAGGAAAAAGGACCTTAAACAAAGGACTTGAAACCGAAACAGGTCGATGGCGAGACTGCAGGAGCATTTTTCTTGTTTAGGGTGTAATAAAATCTCCTCTCACATCTTATGTTGTAAAAGGAGAACAGACAAAAGCTACTGCTTGAAACTTTTGCAAAATATTTTTCACACAGAGAAGAAAAATCTGAGAAGTTTTCAGAGATGTCATTGAGCACTTTTCGATTTAAAAAATAAGGCGTCATAGGAATTAGGAGGTCTGCAATGCCGCACTTAAGATACAAGTTTCACCATCGGCATGTCTTGGTGGAATAGAGGGATGAACCACTGAAGAGATAGATATTTGCACTTATCTTTGCAGAAAAAATGCCTGAAAAATTTTAATAAAAAAAAAATGTTGAGAGCTTGGAAGAGTTTGAAATTCACAGTTAATAAAAAAAATAGTTTCGGGGAAAGCTATTAGAAGACTGAGCCTGCCATTTCTTAAAATTTTTGAACTTTTAGGGGTTTAATTTGGGTTACCTACTGTAATTGATGTTATTACTAGATGATACCTAGTCGAGTCAAACTCCTTGAATGTGAAGATGATATTTAAAAAAAAAAAAAAAAAAAAAAAGCAAATGAGGAGGAAACTTACAAGTGCCAGAAAGGAGCTGAATGATGCCTTCATGAGCTGGCATGTCCTGAATGGCAGCATTTATTTTTTCTCTAATAATAATCACATTTTTTGCCCAATCATTATTACAATGTCTTCGACTGACTAACCAGTCCAGCAATTTAGCGATGTGGATATCAATGGGAATAAATTGTTCCTGGAAAAAAACAAAAAGAAATTAAATTTAAAAAAAAAAGCTCACTTGAAAAAATGAGGCATGTAGTAGATTTGATTTCAACGATTGTCGCCAGCACTTTGCACCACGCCGTTCCTTTTTTCTCACACTTGTCCTTCAATAACTTGAAGTGATGTCCAATTCTGAGAATTTCATCTATCATACATGTTTTGCTATAATCTAGGTATTAGACCAGAGACATGTACTAAATTGAGTAGTGGGGGACGTGGGATATCTTATCTCTCTAAGTTCCATATCTTAATATTTTTGGAAATCGTTCATGGTTCAAAGTGACCTTCTGAATGAACCTGTCTGTAGTAGTGCCACTGAAAGTTAGCAGTTGTTTTTCTTGGCTGGCTTGCGTCATGAACCTCTTTAAGCATTTGATGCACAGGTATATCTCCGCTTACCATTACTCTTCGACTTTGAGAGCCTGGGTCTTAAATATTGGCGTTAAACCACAGGCAAACAAACTTAATATGACGGTCTGACCAGGTAGTTACTCTTTTAGTCTCCTGATACATTTTACATGCATTCGGTGTCTAATGATTCAGCTGAACATTTGATATGAGAGGTTTGCACTGATATTGCAATACTCCGTACGTAATCAATATCTTTTGACCTGATTTTGATTGGGTAACTGGAGGGGTATATGAAACATAACATAGCATCCTCGACTTTGACGATTGATCCCAGATTAGAAAAAGATTTTATTTTATCACCCATATTGGTGTCTGCATAACCTATAAAACTTATATGATTTAAAACGGCGGGTAGAGAAAATATTATTTAAATTAATAGTTACCTAAAATTTAAATTATGCTCAGTATTATTAAAAAACTGATGATACTAGGAGAGAACTTACCATGGTTTAAAAAACTTCATGAACTGATTAAAACGAAAAATGACCACGTTTCACTAGTAACGGCTACTTGTTCGCAAAGCTTACAACATAAACATCAACAGAAAACAGCTGTTCATAAAAAACTTTTAATGTTGCCAAATTATCTACAGCAAAAAATTTAACTCCTAAACTTTTGACTATCACTACAGAGAGGAATAAGGTTCTTTTGGTGATTTTAAAGACTCTAAGCAACTTAACATATTTATCAAAAAATTGAATCACGTGAATGGTTCATAAAAAATGTTGTCCTCGAGATGTAAATTTGACAACAGCTAACATCTCTGTATCGTCAAGGTCGTTGGCAGGGGGTGCGGAGGAGGTGGGTTTGTTTATGAACAATTGAGCTTACTGCTTGTTATCAATGAAGTGATACGAAGTGCGAAATTTTCGATGGGATAATTGTTTCATCGAACTTTACTCCTTACACAATTGTTCACGCCTCCTAATTGTTTCGCTTTTATATATTAGTTTACATTGTTTTTGTGGTACCACCGCACATTCCCGAAACTTGTTATTATGTAAGATGGATCCATGCCTGATGCCTACTTTTCACTCATTCAATTTTACCATTGAACCTGATAAGTTTCAGTTCCAGTATCACCTCTTAAAACTATAACCTCAGTGTGGCCGCTCTGTAGTCCTTCAAAATGTGGGTAGAGCCTGAAGAAGTCACGCTGAACGCCTTCTGGTAACTATTTAACCCTTTGTACTGTACTTGCGCCAAGTTTGATGAAGTCGATAATACTAAGTAACAATCTTTACCACGTATTAGCGGACTAATTTTTATTCAATTGGAAAAGGAGGAAGTACTCAGTCAGTATCAGATTCTCTACTTGGAAGTATTCGATTGGTCTGGTCCAAAGAGCCGTTCTCACACCATGCATTCATCATCAGATTTGTCAGATAAACCGTAAATGTGATTGTCCAACAGACTGTCTGTTCAAAAGACTGCAAGTCTTGTCATTGACTTTATGGATTGAGCCACTCTTAATTTAGTTTATGCTGAACAATCTGTCGATCAAGTGGTCAGATAATTCTGAGAAGTAGCTTTTACTAATTTACATGTTTTGTATCTTCTTTTGTCATCATGCATTTTTAAATATCATCATTTCCTCAATTCCCAGACAGTTCCTATAAGCATCTTTTACTGAATGCATTCATCTCTAATTTTATGTTTTTTTTTGTGTCAGGGAAACTGAGCGGAAATCGCTATATTTCCTTTTGCAACGGAGGGTCGGACATGGTGGCCAGGCTGATCCTAAACTCCTCTCGTTTTGGGTTAAAAAATTTGATTCCATCACATCAAGAAGACCACCGCCTTTTAGAATTCTTCATCAGACCCCTTCATCAAATACTTATCATCGTAAGTCGCAGTTGAAATTAAATACTCATCTTCATTTCTGAAGCCGAAATGAGTGCAGACAGTGCATTGATTATAAGTTACCTAGAAAGTCACACTTTTCTCTTGGAAACCAGTTCCTGGAGAAAAAAACTTTAGATCCTTTTCTCTGAATCGCATATTTTTAAAATTCCTGCTCAAGTTCTATTGTTAGAAGGATGGAAAATAGTAGAAAAAATTCTAAGCCATGACTTTGATTTTTTCTTTTTGAAGAATGTTTACTCAATAATGTTACAGTAACACATCTGCTAAGATAATTGATTTTAAAGTCCAGAGCCACCTATGAATCTCATCTTGTTTTTAGGATGGGAAGGGGGTCTGACAACGTATGATGTTGCCCTCAGATTGGTGCAAAGTGCCAATGTTAGAGATTTTACAATTGGACAAATATTATGACAAGTTATTTTGGAGTGAGTAAATATGCTAATGTTTCATGCAGAAAGGGAGACCTAGGTAAGTGTGACGTACATTTTCAAAGGGTCACATACCCACATAATGAGTGTGCGAAAGAAAGAGAGAAGGTCTAAAATTCAAAATTTTAGCATGATGTATTAATGGATAACCCCTGTGGCTATTTTTCCACTTTAGCGGGATGAGCAGTATAAGTTTTTTACCAGGTAAGCGGCTTTATCAGAACAAACCTATCAGCCACGAGTCTTCCAGATATCAACTGAAGGGACCAAATGAGTTCCAATAGTTTCTAGGAATGTAAAAGGATGAGTTACTACCAAAACCATCTATGTAATCATGAGTATTTCACTTCATTTTCAGAAATTTCAGTGGCCATGACTTGGGGTGAAATTGATAAGGACTGGTCTCACCTAGAATCTCTCTTAGAGTGTGACTCTTTACCTGAGGATGAAGTCACGGGCTACATTTTAACAAAAATCAAATCTCACTTGGTCACAGGTCCCGTGGATCCAGCTCTGCAAAATATTAATTCTGAAGGTACTTTTGTCTCTTTTTCTTTCCTTTGAGTTCGGGTTCATGCCTGCCAATATCTTTTTTCACATCATCAAACCAAAAGCAAGAATCAGCAATGCGTCTGGAAAGTTAAGATATTGAAAATATTGAAGAAGAGTCTAAAAGGACCCTGCGCACTCCTTTTGGGAAGGTACATCATGGAAAAAACCTTAATTTTTTTCACCGCATTCGATTCTCCTCAAGATGCTGATCAAAAGTTACAATTACGCCAACTTTCCACGATGCACCGTTTTCGCAAAAACCGGCCGAGAAGATTCAATTATTCGGCGATAAAAAGCCAGAAAGATTCCTCATTTTAGCACTCGATGGCTGTGTGTCAACAAGGAAATCAGGGGAACTCCCGCATCGAGCGGCAGTCTTTTCTCGGATTCTGCACGCCGTTTTGCTCGACCATTCAAATCAGTTTCTCTCTCTCTCTCCAGCTCTGTTTTTGCACTATGTTTTTTCCTTATTTACATCGAGCCTGTTCTCAAATGCTTTGTTCTTTTTTATTATTCATTATCGCTGAATAATTGAATCTTCTCGGCCGTTTTTTTGCGAAAACGGTGCATCGTAGAAAGTTGGCGCAATGATAACTTTTGAGCAGCATCTTGGGGAGAATCAAATGCCTTAAAACAATTAAGGTTTCTTCACGGTGCACCTTCCCATAAGGGGTGTGCGGGGTCCTTTTATCACTTGATGGAGTGCAAGTTCTCTTGCCTGCTCTGGCTGTATGCTCAGTCTCAGCATGATTTTCATGACTTCTATTAACTCAAATAGAAAATAAGGAGGCTGCTCTGCGCTAAAGATTAGTCTTATTTTATCTAAAATGTGATCGCATTTATCCTCTTGATAGTTATAACTATAATGTCGCTCAAAACAGCAGAATCAACCAAGTGATTCAAGAATCTGGGAAATTTTGTACTTGATGAATTTTTCCCCTGTGTTATGGGTCTTTCTATTTTACTTATAATTTGTTTGGTGGTCATATGAAAATTTCAAAATTCTCTTCTTGGGTTCAAAATTTGCTTTCTCATCTATGTTTGATATGATTTTACAATTTTAATTGTTGGTAAACTTGAAATTTTGACTTAAGATCTATCTTATTCATCTGCCCAAGAAATGATAGCTTTATTTATTTTTTTAATTTCTTGCTCGCTCATTTTAAAGTATTGATTTATTCCTCTCCTGTCCAATTTATTCAGCTCTTTTCTCATTCTGTGTTTCAAACCCAGGTGAAAAGACATCTTTCATTAGTCGGGAAGCTGATAAATTCCGGAAGTTATTCAATATGCCACCTGAAGAAACTTTAGTAGCTGTTTACCTCTGTTTGTAAGTTTTACATCAAATTGCATCAATTTCTTCTCATTCTAAGTTTGGACACTGATTGAGCGTGTCTGAAATCTTGCTCCAGTGGCGGTGACTGGTGATCAGCAGTTCTCAAAAACTCTCAGAGAAACTGTTAAAATTTACATGGAGGGAAACCTTTTTTCAGTATCTTTTCAAGTTAACATTATGTCTGGTAAAATTTTTGCAAATTTATGTGAAAAAAGGAACTAACATAATTTATTTTAGGAGATTTTTATCAATATTTTTGAACATTTGAAGTTTCATAAAACTGCAGTGGATCTTTTAAGTGTTTTTTTAAAAATTTGTTTACTTAAATTTTAACCCTTTTGTATACTACTTTTACTAAAGGGTTCCATCTCATGTACATTTTCAAAATTAAGTTCAAAGTCGGAATCAGCATCCATAAAACACTCAAGAAACACTCATCAAAAAAGATTCTCTATTGCTAATTTATTCAATATTGCTATTGCCCTAATTTTTCTTTTCCTGAATTGGCTGCTGACCGGTCCAGAACTTAAAAATCGTTTTGAATTGTGAAAGAATCTTGTGTCCAAGGTCAGTTTAAGTGTGGTAGCTTCAGAATTTTTGAGAGAATCATCATGACTTTTTTATGTTTACATAGCAACAATCGCAACAATATGTGAAACAAAAAACAGAAAAAAGTCGAACCACCAAAATCAAACAATGACTTGGATAAATTATGCAACCGGCATAGATAATCTTGGAGAGAATATTTTATAGCATTTTTAACCCAAACCACACCACTTACACTTAAACCTTCTGCAAGTTATCAAGTTTTTAAGTTTTGCTCAAATGTGAACTTTGCCCCCAGCCTTAAATTTTGCCCAGGCATCAGGGACAGCTAGTACAAGATCTGAGCAAAGTTTGGTCAAAAACCAGGGGGAAGGAGCCAAAATGGACCCTTTTTGGAACAACCTCTTCATAATTTTCTTTTTTTTCTCTAGTTACAGGAAAAAGTGGTTATATTCTGGAACAATGTATCTCTCAGTGTCCCATCTCTGCTTCTACTGCCCTAGTCATATCATCGTCATTCAGTGGAGGGACATTATCGATTTTTACAAATCCTATAATGTCGTTATAACCATCAAAAAGAAGACCGGCAAAAAGGTAGATTTTATTTTCTTTTTAGACATTCTGTGTTTTTCTTACAAAACTAATTGGAGACTGTTCATAAAAGACTTGACGCTAAATATCGGTGTTTTTGTGGGAGAGGTCCATTTTGCAGCAATCTGTCCGAGTATTGAATACCCTAATGAACTTGATCCATTGCATTCCATGCATAATAAAAAAAAAAAACCCTTATGTGTGCAAGTGTAGGCGCTAACAGGAGGACCGAGAACAAATGAGTAGGTTTATATTTGATTTCAGAGTAAAAGTTTTCTCAGTCGATGGAAAAGGAAAAGAATCAATCTCTATAGAATCAAACACATTTTACCTGGAAATTTTAACCATGCGCCTGCAAAAAAATTACTAAGATGAATGAATAAGTAAGAGCTGATAGAAAATAATTTTGAAATCCACGCAAATAGACGGTTTTTCGAGAGGAAAATAATTTTCTGACCAGTTGTCTGAATTTTTTTTTCTAAAGACAATATTGATGACTAAAGTGCAAAACCATGTATCTCAGTTTGGAATGTTGCAGACCTCCGGTCATACTTTCAACTTAATTTCTTGAAAACTTCCTTGATTTTTCTGCTCTGAAGCAAAACATTCAGTAGAAATTTCTAGCTATATAGTTGACTCATTTCTCTTCAAAATAATAAAATTGGAGCAGAGATTTTGAAACCTGAATCAGAGATACGTGGTTTTGCACTTTAAACATCGATATGCCCTTAGTGAAAGAGGTATTGCATTACCAAGATGTTCAAACAAAAAAGCAATCGATGAGAGATCATGAAAACTTCCTGACTGAGCTTGCACAGGTGGGATTGACTGTTAACAATGTTTATGTTTGCCCCATCTTGTGTTCAGTGTTTAAACACGGGTATTTTTCTGCCAAGTTTTTAATGGTTTCGCTTACTTCATTCATCATTCAACCTTGACTCCTAGTACCATTTCACCTCAGTTTGATGTATCTCATTCACGAAGGAATTTTAGGAACTGTTACATTGTCCTTGTTCTTTAGTAACCGTTGATTTTTAAGATCTTGTACACCAAGAAGACTTAATCCTGTTTATTTTTTCTCCTTTATATTGCAGTTTGATTTCATTTGCTATCAAAGAACTTCTGAAATTTTTGCATCAATTCGGCAGTTGGTCAATTTGGCAATGAAGCAGTGAGTTGTTGTTTGTTTCGTGCTTTTATATTTGAAGTGTGTCCTTAAAAAGTCCTGTCAGCCTCTTGCTGTAAAGAGCATCCTCTTCCCATGTTTCAAGATCCAATTTTCTCTTTTTATTTTCTTCCAGCCTTTCACATTATTTCGCATCCACAATGAGTGGTGCAGCTGGAAAATTTTCATGGATTGGGGTAGAAGGGTTGATTCAGGGGGGGAAAGTACTTGAGTAAAAAATGTCCGATGAGGGAAGGGCTCTAAAGATCAATGATGAGATGATCTCTCAATGATTGCAGGGTATCATCTTTTTTATGAGAAATTTATGGTTATAAAGAGCAAGGGTTCAGATTCCTTGTAGAACCATCGCCTGAAACTCAAAATTGTTCACTCATAGAGACAGCAAATCAAAACTCTCTGGAAGGGAGTACGTACCAGCACACAAAAGCATTCTTATTTTAATTTCTCCCTGATTTTTATATCGCTCCTTATTAATGTCACATTAGATTCTACTAATACACTTCTTTTTTATTACAGGTGTATTAATGAAACATCTAGTTTTAAGGAAGACAGTGATCTATTGCATAAGTCAAGGTAATGGTCTTAATTGCTTTCTAGAGTTAAGTAGAATGCAATATATACTAAGAAAAATGATACATCCTAGGTTACTTTATTTTTTTTTAAAAAAAAAAAAAAAAAAAAAAAAAAAAAAAAAAAAAACACTAATCTCCCAAATATCTTCCTGGGGTATTTTAAAGCTCGCAATACTTGAATGTTCCTCAAAAATGCTCGCTTCGCACTTATGTATTTGGAAAATTTCTGTCAATGATGTAAACCTGGGAGCTGACAAAATCTTCCAGTGAGCCACCAATTTATCCGAAGCAATCAATGCAATTATAATAATCAATCTTTCTCCCAAATTTTATCTATAGACCATTTTTTTCTTCTTTTTTTTTACTTATAAAAATTGTATTCAAAAATATTGAAACTGCTACAAGAGCTGTATGTCTTGTACTTATCCACATTAATTGAAATATCTAGGATGCCAATGGTATAAAGTGCAAAAAGTAGTGGAAGTGAGAAACTCAAATTTACCTGCAAAATGAAACGATTACAAAACTGAAACTAACATAAAGAACTAGGTAACAAACTGAGAGCGGCATTAATGAGAGTAAAAAGAGCAATGGTAAATTGAAAATCTTAAATTCACAAAATAAAGACACAAAAAAATTTATTTTTTCTGTTTGAGTTTTTTAATATTCCGATTCTCTTTTCGCTCAAACTTACAGTCGAAATTTGAAATCACCGGCACATTCTGCAGATCTTTCCTCTTTCGTTAGATGACTCCTCCCCTGTACTTCTTTAGAGACCAGGTTATTTCATCCACATCTGAAATTGTGATAATATAAAATCAAAGTCAAATTTTTCATTAATCGCCTTTTTTTTCTCTCTCTCTCTTCCAGCATTAATGTCTCTAAGAAGCAGACATTCCTGAAGAGAGATCTAGACGCCAGGACTGAATCGGAAACATATAGGCTACTGTTCCGGTTAGATAGCTCAGAGAAGTTGGACGGCATGATAACCGCCTGTCTTCATGCGCCGTTCAATCGCACATTGGTCCCTGGTGTATTATTTTTATCTCAAAATTATTTATGTTATGAAAGCAAGGTTCGTTTATCACCCTCATTTACTCTCATTTTTCTAAAGTTTACAGTCTATACTTAAATCAAATGTTTCCTTTTATGGATGATCACTGATAATGTCATCTCCTTAACTGAGTCCTCAAAGGTGAAAATTTGGATTTTTCGTTCCCTTTTATATTTTGGCAATTCATCTTTGATATCAGCTTTTTGACCGGCTATCAAGCACAAAGTATTTGATAAACTGCCAGGTCCCAGTATTTTTTTAAATAGGAAGTTAGAAAATATTTTTATGGAGGGAAGATTTTTTTTTCGAAAAAGTAAACAAGTTTTCAGCTAACAAACTATGTCGATAAATCAATGAAAACAAGTTTTGGAGGAAAATCTCATAAAATTTTAGGAAGTACATGGGTTTAGTTTTCAGTGGATAACTTCACCTGTAGAGCACAAGACAATTTTCATGAAGTTTCTTCTAAATCTTTATCTTAAGTCTAGCAAATTATCAGTTTTGGGCGTGAGAAAATTATTTTTAATTAATTAAATAAAGTAATTAATTAATTTATTCATTCATTCATCGATAATCAATCTCCTCCTGATTTCCATCAGGTTAAGTGAGATTCAACACTCAAAAACGTAATTTAAAAAATAAGAGCAAATCAAGGCCGTTAAATTTATTCTCTTGGTAAGATTTGGGAAGGATTTCTTTCAGTGAAATTTTTTTGATGCTATTAAGTGTGTTTTTTAAAGATTCAGTATTTCAGTGCTAACTAAAAATTTAAAAATTTTACCTTTATTTTTTTTCTGTTTTGTGTGCAGGATAAAGGCTTGTTGAGTCTTGTATTACCGCTGCGATATTTAGAAACAGCCGAAAAAGGGGAACTTCAAATTGGTGGCCGAGTCTGTGATACTAATGTTTTAATAATAAAAATCCCTAAGCAGCAGTTTATGTTCACAAACATTCAGGATCTAGATTTTCTGATAGATAAAATACTGAAGTTATCGTCTAAAATAAAAAGGTAAGTTTGTCCTACTATTCTCAATTCTCTCTCCGTTAAATATTCCTCAAATGTCATCATTTATTTTTTTTACAAGTAAAAGTGTAATCATCACATTTTTTTTTCCAATAAAATACGGAATATCCAACAAACTCACCATTATATTCTTTTGAATTTTCCAAAAAACTTCCTCCACATTTAATCTGCTGGATCTAAAACTTTCAAGGGAAAATATTTATAATTAAGTACTTCAGCAAGGGAAATTTGACACATTTTAAATGCTCATAAAACGTTTTCCTTAAGGAAGGCAAAATTATGAGGTAGCCTTAAAGAGTTGGTAAAGTCAAATCTTCAAAACGAAATTGAATGTTTTCAATCATGTGCATTTGTGATTATTTTTCAATGTTTTTTTTTTTTTTAAGAAATAGATTGTGTATACCATCCTCTTAAGGTCTGCTCTTTTTTACAGGGCCAAACATAGGTATACTCCTTTTCCAAGTATCAAAAAAGAAAACAACAGCGTTTCGTTGGAATCAATCTCAGGTTTGTTTCCATTTTTTACGTACCTAAATTTATATCACTCAAAGCAGGGCATTGCATAAAAGATTTTCATTAAAATGGAACCACAATAGCATTTGTACCCTTTTGTAAATGAATCGTCCATTTTTCAGTCTTTGAGAGCTACAGCCGCAGCACAGGTTGTATCATGTTAGCTGTATGCTCAATAGCCACCTAGATTGATCTGCATTTTAGTGCGGGCAAGTTTTTCTTTTTAGGAAAATGTCGTAAACTTTTCAAGATTCAAGAGGGTCATGGAATAGAAACTAATTATTGGGAAATAATCAATGTTGGGTGTCCCCAAAATTTCTCTGCTCTTCTGATGCAAGGTCTTGTAAACTTTTCACAAAAAATTCAACCTATTCAGAAAATTATTTCTTCATAAAGCAAGCTGAAATCATTTTAGTCTTTGCTTTGACCCAAGTAGAGTTTAGTTTTTTCTGCAAGCTAGGAGTCTAAAATTACGTAACCAAAAATCGTGATTTTTCTTTAAACATGTTGAATTAAAAATTTCCAACATCCCATTGTATTCTATGTGTAATAATAAATGAGAAATATTCTTCTGTGATACCTCAATAACCAAAGAGCGAAACTACGTTTCTCCATTGCTGTGTTTCAAAATGTCTGCTCTTATTTTATTTTTTTTACAGCCTGAAATTTCTTTAAAATATTCTGCTAACAGATTAGAAAAATCAAGTAATTTTTCGAGAAATTATGTTGACTAGGAGATATGTGGTTTCGTGCTTCGGCTATCAACTTGCTTTCTAAGTCTGTTCGCTTATTTTCTTGATCCATTTATCTGGCAGTTGTATTTGAACAAGAGTGTAATCAAAAGCAAATTTTTCTCATCAAAATAATTACAAAAAGGTCCGGTTCTTTGTGGCCAGTCAGAAATAAGGGTTGTCCAATCACTCAATTTCAAGTTGAATCCCATAATTTTTTATTTCCATAGAATCATATCTAATACAATACAATTTTAATCTTTCCATGAACAGATCTCAACTGGAGTCCTGCGCCAGCCTTGATGGAAATGTTCGAATCGGAGAAAAATGAGACCATGAGGAAACTCGAGGAAGAGAAGTACCAGTTTTGGCTGAAGCATTTCGAGCACTATCAGCGTGGTGTCACGATGTACCGAACTTTTGCAGTTGGCAAATTAGTTCTGAGAGGTATCCCCGACAAGTTGAAAAGCGAGTTGTGGATGACGTTTTCAGGTTCGTAAATTTTCCACAAATGTTATCTCATTAATTGTCTCGACAATTAAATGAAAATGAATAAAAAATATTTTTTATAAGATATTTTACGGTGCCCTTTTCACTCCATCCCTTTAAACCTCAGCCCTCATTCCTGATATGTATGGATTATAATTACATATATCTCTTGATTTGCCTTTTTACCATTTCAAAGTCTCAATCCTTTGGGTGATATCTAGACTGTGAAGAAAAAAATTAAGGGGAGCTTTGCGGTATCAGTAAAAATTTATGTATGAGATTTGAATATTGGCAAATTTTCTCCAATAAAATATTCATTTTCTAAGAAAATTGTGGGCATGTTTTTTTAAAAGTTTCAATTACTATATATTAAGTAGCAACCAAAATACTTTGAAAAATTTTGAAAAAAAAATCGAAACTTTGAAGGTCCACCGCCCCTTTTTACTCTTCTCTCTCAAAAAAATATCCAAGTCATTGACATATTTTGTCACTTATGAACTGTTACATTGAGTGAATAATTGTTAAGTCCTTGCTCCTGATCTTGCATGAGATTATCGAAGTTATTTTATGTATTCTGCATGTCTTGCTACATTAGGGTACAACAATACATTGCTAATAAGGTTTACCGCTATTATTTTCCAGGTGCCACAAATCTGCTTGAGTCAAAGCCAGGATATTACAAAGAGCTAGTCAATAGGAGTATAGGCATCAAATCTACGACAAACGAAGAAATAGAGCGTGATCTTCATCGTTCGCTTCCGGAGCATCCTGCATTCCAATCTGACGTTGGAATCAATGCCTTACGACGTGTTTTGTGTGCTTATGCAATCAGAAATCCACAAATAGGTAAAGCTTTGTGATCTAAATTCTGATCAATTTTGAGCAAAGGACTCCTGAAGCAAAACACTTTTGGTCAGAAGAATTCTATTAGAATAGAATTTTTCTGACCGAAAGTGTTTTGCTTCAGGTAATACTAGAGTGTTAACTAATAGAGATCAATAATTTCTTCCATAAAAAATTTTCTATGCGTTTCATTAAAAAAGTTGTAAGAAACATGAGAATTGTTATCCCTTTTGCATAATATTCAACGCTAGGCACTTGCTAACACTTTGTCTACTTTTTAATTGGATCCATCCCAAAAAGTGACCAAAATTTGCAACTATAAAATTTTTGTTAAAAAATATCCCTCCCTCAAAATGAAAACACTTGGAAAAAGATTTTTCAGACTAGTCAGTAGTTCTTTATTGATTGTATGATTTTCTGGTCTGAGAACCTTTCAAACATTAGGTTCAGAGTCACAATTTTAACCAGCATTAACTCATAGAGCCCTAACGAAGAAGTACATAATTCAACATAGGAAAAAGGTACTGGAAGTTATTTTTCCTGTAGACCCTGATGAAAGATCAGATTATTTGCTAAATTTTTCAGGATATTGTCAAGCGATGAACATTGTTGCCAGTGTTTTTCTGCTGTACTGCTCCGAAGAGGAAGCTTTCTGGTTGCTGGTCGTAGTTTGCGAACATCTCATGCCTGATTACTACAACAAGAAAGTAATAGGTGCAATAATAGACCAAGGCGTCATGGATTGCCTCGTCGAAAAATATTTTCCCAGTCTTCATGTGATGTTGGAAAAACTAGGCATGTTCTCATTAATCTCCCTGTCTTGGTTTTTAACTATTTTTATCAGGTAAGATTACATTGTAATTTTAAAGATAAAGTGTCAAATTTGTAAGTACAAGAATGTGATTAATGAATAATCAAGGGGGTAAAAAAAATTATAGAAAGAAGAAAAAGAAAACATGGTGCTGTATCGAACTTAATTTCGACGATTTCATAGTAAATTGGCAATAATACACGCACAAGATCTTTGAAAATGGGGTATGAAAAAGAAAATTATTGCAGAACATCTTGAGGCAAAACAAGCAATCAACATTGAAAGTTTTAAAATAAGACTTATCTACGGTGGTTTAGGACTAGAAGAATGTGTTGTAGGCCGCATACAAAATGGAAAGGAGGAGAAGAGGAGGGTGACACAGAATTGAAGTTTTCCAAAAAAAAAACTCTCAAGTCTCCATCGGAAGCCAAAGTCCTTCGAGGTTTTTTAAACCTCTCTGTAGACAGATCCGTTTTGCAAAGTACAGTTCCTGCTGGTGCGCTGTCTAGCCAGGGACATTTTTCCGCAAAATGTCAAAGGAAAAATGTTGCATCATCCCTTCTTCCCCATCCTTTTTTTCCCCCATCCCATCCTTTTTTTCGATTTTCTCAACTGCTCACAAAAATGTTCTCTTTTCTGTGCAGTGTTCTCAACTTTTCCTGTGCCGTCCATGTTGTTGATTGTTTCTTGTACGGTGGTGCTAAGGTTATGTTTCAGGTAATTCTCTTAAGATAGATGCTGAAAAACTTGCCTTCTGCTTGTTTGAACTCTGAAACTCTGAAATTAAGACTTCAAAAACTTGTCGAGAACCTGCAGACATAATTGGTTTGCTGATAATATTTTGAATAAATAAGAATGATATGTAAAATTTTTAGTTGTTAAAATTTTTCTAATGATTTTTTTTTCTCTCTAGCTTTAATTAATTAATTTGTTGATATCATTATTAAGAAAAATCAATCAATTTTCGAATTGATTAATTTCATTCCCGGGAATGTTCAAAATCAATTGAAATCAAATGATTTTCGATTGATTTTAGTTTGAAAATCGATGGTGTGTTGAAAACTTTTCAAGAAGTTTCAATGAGCCTCTAGACAGGGTAAGAACTGGAGGCTCTAAGCACATGAATCTGCATCAGAATTTCGCTTAGAATTCAATGGTACAAACGGGAATTCATGAAACCAACTAATAAGCGAGATATTTGCGTAAATAGACTGCGCATTTTTGTAAATCCCGCTCGCCTAATATACGAATGACGTCACATTTGTAGCCAATAGGATTGTCGCAGCGCTGCGCAGCGCCGACTGAGCATCGGCCATCGAAAACGTCCAACGCTCCCAACGCCGGGATCGTAAACAAACGAAAATAATTGATAACAGGAAGGACCCAAGCACCCAAGCAACTCGAAATCTTTTAATTTTCATTAATTACAGTCCATGTTCGACTTCAAGAAAGCATTTGACAACCATTTTCCTCGTATTTTATAACCTGGAGCCACAGCCTATCGGCTCATTGTAATGTGCACTCTGAGAATCAGTTCCACAAGTCCAAACCCTGACATTCTTTTCTTTGACCATTCTCTTTTCATTCTCGCCACAATTTAAGTGTTATGCAGTTTCTTTATCTAAAATATGTGGTCTTGAATTCATTCAGGAGTCAGAAGTTTACCTTTCTTTTAGTATTACAGCCCTTTGACCCCTCAAACTTCACCGATATGACCTCATGTAGTTCAAGGTTTCTCTGGCCCGAACCGAGTGATTACACATCTGAGGTGTGTCTCATGGTTCTTCAAATTAGCAGTTTAGAACTAAATTAGGGACTACAGTGACTCAATCCAGTTCTGCTTTCTTGTTCAATGTTTGTTATCAGTGTCTGTTCTTTTACGTGACCAATCCAGTGCATGCACTGTTACGCTATAAGTACAGGTATTATTGCTTTTTTCCTGCTGTCAGACCTTTTTCTTAAGCCTGCTGATTCACCACAGAATCTGCCCTAGTTGTGTATATAATTTGGTGTGTAGTTATTGAGTTAATACCTCCTTGCGGTGATGCAAACTTTCTCAGATCCGTCATAAGTGGGTATTGCATTTAGACGATCACTCGGACCAGATGAAATCACCGCTCTAGCAGCTTCAAATTTATACTTTGATCTCTGATTCACTAATAAATAACACTTTATGGTGTCATTTATATTTAATCAGTTCAAAGCTAATTCGACAATGAATCATCAATGGTCCGATCGAAAAAGGAATTTTCTGGTGCGTGCTATGGCTGAATCGACACTACATTCAATTTTCGAAAGCTTCAATCAGGACATGACCATCCGTCTTGAAGTGAAAATATTTTTCAACCATTCAAGTAGTTCAAAAGGTAAGATATCTGAAGTTACTAAGGTATCACCAGGGTGCATACGGATCTGTTGTTGGACAGTTAGTGTGAGTATGCTTACGTGTGTGGATAATCATTCATGGCAAAAAGAGGATGTTAATAACAAGGCTAAACTGGGAAACCACTTACCTAAATTCACAAAGTTTCAGACTTCCTGTTCCTCTTAATTTCTCAATTAAAAAATCATTCAACAAAATCTCTGAAATGTGATATTTTTCCTCTACATGGGCAGAAAATTCAGTAATTAATTCAAACAATATGCTGACTTGCTTCCCTTTGAAAATCTGAACTGGATGTAGAAAGTTTGAGCAACGTATTCAGGATATGTAATTTACACGTTTTGCAAATGATACCTATGTTTGGCCATTAGATTGGTTTGAGAAGTAAATGTTACAAATGTCATCCCTGGTCAATCTGAACTGTTTTTCCCAACTTGTTTTCATGGTGGGATGTAATTCTATGACTTTTCAAGATCCTTTCATCTTTCGGTACCTGAAAAATTCAGTGAACCAAACGACTTTCAATAGGAATCGTTGGCAACTTTACCATTGAAATGATTCTTAGGTGATTTTGAATGGAACAATCTTACACAAACTTTTGTTGAGCAGGTTTTACTCGCCCTGAATTCTTAAAAGAGAGGAAAAATATTTTCTTAACGCTTGGAGGATGATCTAACTATGTTGCAGGTAAGTAGGTGTGATCACTCCATTTCATGAAATTCAGTAAGGCTCGTTGCTGCATGAAACACATAAAACATACTGATTAAGAAATGAATCCTCAAATAATTAGCAACTGTTTTGTGCAATATCTTTTGATTAGCATTTGATGATAACTAGAATACAAAAATTCTGAAATTAAGAAATCAGGAATAAATAACTACCAGAATGGTCTTATCAGATTTTCTCTGAGACAAATTTCCATATTCATTGATGAAGTGTAGCGTGCATTTGAATTCACAATGTTTGGAATTTCCAATAGCATTTAAGGCCTGAGGCACAATTCCTTATCTTTTAAAGCAGGGAAGACACCTTGGACCCTCCATCATTCGTAATTCACAGCTTTCAGATTGGTTCAGTCATGTCTTCGAGCAGAAAAGCCCTTTAAATGACCAATTTCCACAATTTTATAACTTCACCCACTTGAGATGTTGTATTCCTCTTTAGATTTATGGCAGGAGAGTATATTCTGAAATTTACAGGACACACATCTCTTCAGAAATAGGAGAGTGCTAACATAATTATTACTTACCGAGTACCAGTTCCTGATGAATTTTTTTAAGGTTCATGCTTTCGAAAGTTGAGTTGTAGGTAATGTCGATTCAGCCGTAGCACGCACCAGAAAATTCCTTTTTCGATCGGACCATTGATGATTCATTGTCGAATTAGCTTTGAACTGATTAAATATAAATGACACCATAAAGTGTTATTTATTAGTGAATCAGAGATCAAAGTATAAATTTGAAGCTGCTAGAGCAGTGATTTCATCTGGTCCGAGTGATCGTCTAAATGCAATACCCACTTATGACGGATCTGAGAAAGTTTGCATCACCGCAAGGAGGTATTAACTCAATAACTACACACCAAATTATATACACAACTAGGGCAGATTCTGTGGTGAATCAGCAGGCTTAAGAAAAAGGTCTGACAGCAGGAAAAAAGCAATAATACCTGTACTTATAGCGTAACAGTGCATGCACTGGATTGGTCACGTAAAAGAACAGACACTGATAACAAACATTGAACAAGAAAGCAGAACTGGATTGAGTCACTGTAGTCCCTAATTTAGTTCTAAACTGCTAATTTGAAGAACCATGAGACACACCTCAGATGTGTAATCACTCGGTTCGGGCCAGAGAAACCTTGAACTACATGAGGTCATATCGGTGAAGTTTGAGGGGTCAAAGGGCTGTAATACTAAAAGAAAGGTAAACTTCTGACTCCTGAATGAATTCAAGACCACATATTTTAGATAAAGAAACTGCATAACACTTAAATTGTGGCGAGAATGAAAAGAGAATGGTCAAAGAAAAGAATGTCAGGGTTTGGACTTGTGGAACTGATTCTCAGAGTGCACATTACAATGAGCCGATAGGCTGTGGCTCCAGGTTATAAAATACGAGGAAAATGGTTGTCAAATGCTTTCTTGAAGTCGAACATGGACTGTAATTAATGAAAATTAAAAGATTTCGAGTTGCTTGGGTGCTTGGGTCCTTCCTGTTATCAATTATTTTCGTTTGTTTACGATCCCGGCGTTGGGAGCGTTGGACGTTTTCGATGGCCGATGCTCAGTCGGCGCTGCGCAGCGCTGCGACAATCCTATTGGCTACAAATGTGACGTCATTCGTATATTAGGCGAGCGGGATTTACAAAAATGCGCAGTCTATTTACGCAAATATCTCGCTTATTAGTTGGTTTCATGAATTCCCGTTTGTACCATTGAATTCTAAGCGAAATTCTGATGCAGATTCATGTGCTTAGAGCCTCTAGTTCTTACCCTGTCTAGAGGCTCATTGCTGTTCAATATTTGGAAAATAGGGGAGCTGCAAAGCAAGAAAGTCAGTTCCGATTGAAATATTCCAAAAATCTTCTTGTTACCGCACTGATCTAAGTCTGCCAACCTTGAGCATTAAGAGTTCACTCATTTGATTTCAGATCGCTCTATCCGTGCTGGAACTGAACAAAGAGAAACTGGCAAAATGCGAGGAGGAAGGTGAAGCTATTCAGATTCTAACAGATTTTTTAATTGGCGTTTATAATGAAGAGGATCCCGTAATAACGCCTCACAAGCATCGTATGGTCCACATGGTATTGAACGACATACTTATTTTTATTCATTTATTTGCCCATGACATTTATAAGTTATAATAGCAATGTATGCATGAGAATTAAAATGAATGCGTCAGTCAGAAATGCAGGCAAACGTAGAAGAAAAAAAGGAAACACTTCTACCATAGGCAAGGAACAGCACCTTTGTGCATGAGACGCAAAGATAATGCGCTGTGATAGCAATGTTTTTATGAAAATTAAAATGAACACAGCTGAAGAAACGGACACAGGATATGCTAAGAGCAACGGAGACAGATTTCTGAAGGAGGTCGGCAGGAATTTCTAGGAGAGATCGGGTCTGTAATAAGAGAGTACGTCATATCATGGAAGTTGAAAATGACATCGTGTACAACGTCATGACCAAACAGCTTGTCTGGTACAGTCATGTTAATAGGATGACGGAAGAGAGGCTGCCGAAGAAGATGCTTGGTTGGGTTCCTCCTGGGAGGAAACGAAGGGGACGCCCAGTAAGAGGGTGGCGGAAGAGGGTTTTAAATGAGATGAGGGAGTGTCAACTCCCAGATGGACTGTAGGAAGACCTAGTTTTGTGGCGATTAGGCGTCGCAAAGCACCAGAGAGCGCTATAAAAGCGACTCATGTATGTATGTAAAATGAACACACCAGGCAGGTATGCAAGCAAACATAGAAGAAAAAAAGAAATCCTTTTTATCTGAGATGAGGAAAAGGTTACTCATAAGAAAAGGTACTTCAGTGCACAAAGCAAATTTTTCAGGATTGCAATTTATATGTTACGGGGTTGAAATTTTGGAATTTGGGTTTGCTGATGGGTTTGGCAATCGTATTTCTGATGTTTGCAAATAATCTGCACCCGTTTCCACAATTATGTACAATTTTCTTGTTGCTTATACCGTTTTCTAGACGATATCCATCCAGAAACTGCTTTCCATGGCAGTGTCAAATTATACTGAAATAAACCTCCAGTATATAGAAAATTTAAGACTGAAACAACGACTAAAGGTCGTCAGAAATCTTGAGGACTCCCTTATTCGAAACGTAGTCAGAAGCATCTTGGCAGATGGATATTTCAAAGAAACAGAACTTCAGGTAAATTATATAAGTATAGTATATAGTACGTAGGTTATATAGTATATATATGTAGGTAGGAAACAGAACTTCAACTTGAGGAAACGGTGCTCACATTCGAATGGCAGATTTATCTCTAATGAACCAAAAAGTTGATTCAAACAGAAATGCACCCATTTCCCGATCTAGAAAAAATTCCTCAACCTCTTGAAACAATATCAATCTAGCTGTCAAACTGGAGCCCTTTGACCACTAAAATTTTTTTGATCAACGGACCAAATCACTTTTTGGCAGACCAATCAAATCACCTTTTAATTTACTTTGTTATTGACTCATTCTTTGTGACTGATCCAATTATTGTCAATAGCATCAGGAATAGTCAGCTTAATTAGTTGATTGATAGACATTCAAAACGTTTGGTTAATAGATGATTTGATAAGAGAATAGACATCAACTCTTTCAATTGATGGATACACTTTGAGTGAGGATCCATGAGTGGAATTGATCAAAATGTATCAATCTCCTCCTATGGTCAACATTCGAAGCTTGTACGTCTAAAGAAAACGGTTTTTTGTGAGACTTGCATACTTCTGTTTAGTTTTAAATGTTCTGGCATCTGAAAGTAACTGCTTGAAATTTTCCAAATGACAAGTTTTGATAGAAAAAATAAATACACCATCATCAGAAATAATTTGAAAATTTTCATCTCCTTGCATCTCCGATTAACAAAATTGTGAGTTTGTGCCAGAGATGGTGAAGATTTTTTTGAACAGGCATCAATGATGGCATTACTGTCATGCTAAAGGAACATGTCGCAAGAATCCTTCAGACTTTGTCAAATTTCCTTCAAAACTATGAATTTTCAGGGAATTTTGTGAATATTTTCCTTCGAATTTTTCAGAGAATTCAACTCATAATTATATCTAGATAACCTGAAAATTTTAAGCGAAAGAATTCATAACTTTCCTCAAAAACAAACATTTTATTGAAGAAAATTTGGCAACTTTCGAATGTTGTTACTGCGATTTCCTTGAGCAAGGCAGATTAGAAGTTGTCATTTTACTGAACCTTTCCTCATCCTTTCAGACTACAAATAATGCTTGTCCCAATCCTTCTTTCCAGGATTTATTGCAATTAGTGCGGGAAGAACAAATGAATCCTCGCAGAAAACAACCTCCAGTAGATAATGAGTCGAATGATATAGTCCCTTTGCAGCTGCCATACGAAACAATCAAGTGTGATTTCGAACTGTTCCACATGATTTTTACCATTGTATCACCTTGGGCCACCACTGAATCTACGGTCACCCACGACATTGCTGTTCGCATTTTTCGAGTAAGAAATAAATGTCTTGTTGAGTATCGTCTGTGCGCTTTAGTCAACGTAAAGTTTCAAAATCTTCCGTGATCGAAATACTCAATTTCTGCTTGATATCTTTTTGCTTCGACTGTTGTAAATCTCAATTATTTAATTACATGAGAACCCATAGCGAACCTAATTGAATGGTTTTTTTTATGAAAGGACAGGAGCTCATCTCTAAATTTCTGAATCCTCTCTGGAATTTCAACTGACCTCTAGGGAATTAAAGTTTTAACGTCCTTGAAGTTTCAATGTTTTCTCTGATGTATACAAAGTTTCCCGGGAAAGCATAATGTCAAGAACAGGAATGGAAGTTCCAAACAGCTAGCGATTACCTCTCAAATTGTCATTGTGCAAATGCACAGGTATTGCTTGCAGATATTTACCCCCAAAAATTAATGGCATTAAAGTATCTTACAAACAATTCCCGGGAAAGTTCCCTTTATAATCTTCAATCTTTCTCAAATTTACAAAATATTAAAACTTTCAATTTTTTTGTAGTTGATGGATGCTGATGATGATGGTTATTTGAACTTCCGCGAATTAGTCAGTTGTCTGGGCCTGACTTGTTCCGCATCAGCAGAAAGGAGACTGAAATTACTGTACATAATCCACTTCCCGCCTCTTCTTTCGAAGCTAGACATCGGATCAACTCGTTCCTTATGTAAGTTTCCTATTATGATTTGCATCCCCATATATACCATTACGATTAGTGAGTTATTCCTCCTCGTTTGAATGTCCTCCTTTCTTTTTTCATTGATCTAAAATTAGATGTAAGAGACTTGTAACTAACGAGTACACCTCTTCTTTCCCACATATCTCTGGTTCCGTTAAGCAGAAATGCATCAAATTAGGGCCATTGAGAAGAGGTGCAAAATTTTATTCTTCCAAAAAAGTCATTATTAAAGATGGAGTTTGATTCCCATTTTCACATTTTGTATATTTTTCTTCACCTAAATTTAAAACTGCAAGTAACTAAGTAATTTTTCTCCCCCAAGATATGACTTAGTCCTTTTTACACTCAGTTTGGTCCAATTGATACTCATGATATTTGAGTGTAAGGAAAAATCTTAGAGAATCGCAGGAAAGTGTTAAAAATATTGCTCTTGCAACATTTACAGTTGCATTAGTTTTGATCCTGGAAAAAATTGCACCAAAAATCCCTCGTCTCATGTGAAATTTTTCTGGACCTGAATGTTCGCTCTTCTCATCACTGATAGCTCTTTCTTATAGTTTCAGAATCTGACACTGATGTAGCCTCCGAAGCTGTTGAATTCTTCAATGACCAGTATTCAGAACAAAAGATAAACACTACAACTTTAACAACCATTCCTGAACAAACAAATAATTCATCACAACAGTATTCATCAGGTATGACTTTCCATTGTATGATGAAGTTTTAGGTGCATACTTGCCACTAAATCATCCCATCCTTGAGAAACAAAACTTTCATTGCCAAAAAACTTGAAAATGATAACACTTCTCAGGGCGTGTTCGACAAAAAATTTGGTACAAAAACCCCCATAACTGTTTTTGAAAAAAAAATTATGAAGCTTTAAAGTTAAAAGTTCCGAAAATCTACCTTCATAGAAATTGCATGAAAAAACTGACCATAGTACCTGAATATTCAAAATTGAAGTATTGGTATCATCGCTTTTTTTCCCATTAGAGGAGAGTTTTTTTTAAAATTTGGCACAAAAATAAATGTTGAACCAAAGCAGAGCAACAGCTATGTAGTGTTTGCAGTCCATAAAAGTTGGTGGTAAGAAAAAAGTATTGAAAGTTTTAAGAATTTTTGTTTTATTTACCTTTGTTATCTTCGACTCAAAAAAATTTCCTATTTTAATAGTTTTAAGAGAAAGCTGTGTAATCTGCCATTTTTGGGGTTCAAAGTCATCGAACTGAAACGCAACTTTGAATTCTTAATCGGTGCAAAAATAATACATAATGGGTATTATAATGGGTGTCCCGAAAGTCATATCTTCAACCCTCGCAGTAGTGAACAAACAAAGCTAGCAAATTGCGAGTGAAACAAGCTTAAAAATAATTTCATCAGCATAAAGTTCCACCAAAGCAAAATGTTGACAGGCAGTGTCACTGCCAAGTGTTACAAACTTTTGAAATACATGATAATAGTGAGAAGCAATGAGAGTTCAAATAAATTTGGATAGTACCTAAAGATAAGAAATATTCGCATGTGTCAAACTTTACAAAAGAGAGCAGAACACAGGAAGCACAAGTAGAAAAGTGCTCTAAAAACAATTCGAGACAGTTAACACCTGTAAATATGAAAACAAACCAGAGCAATGATTGTTTGAAGTCAAGAATGTTTTGGATTCATCAATTTGTAAAAATTCGATAAAATGTCAGTTTTTATTCATTAATTTTTTCTCTTTGTGGGTTTAGATGATGTTCCAGGCGATGTCAGAAGCATCAGCTCTTTCCGATCACTCTTAACATTTTCATCACAGCAGTCTGGCGACACGAAGCCGTTACCAGCCATGGATCAGATCTACCTCATCGAACTGCTCCATACCTTGAATTTCATCCTCTCCAAACAAGATGCTGAAGAGCAAAATTCAGATCTAATGTTTTTCGGTATGAATAATTCCATCTTTTTAGTAGGAAGCATTTCTCTTAGTGTAAAATTCGTAAGTTTTAGTACTACTCTACACTACAATCTATTTCAAAGGTATGTTGGAAGAATCCGTTTCATTACTCAAATAATATGACAAGGGTCTTCTCTGCATTTCTTGAAAAAAAATCATACCTCAGAAAATATTGATGAAAGTGAGCTCTACAAGATTATAATTAAGCTAATAATTTGCTCTATAGCCTCCTCTAAGCTATTGGCGAAACAGTATCCGTAGGAAAAAATCAGCTCCATTCTAGTAATCAATCTCAAGAGAAATTCAAGCCTTTGGAATATCCATGGGCAAAGCGCGAAAACCGTGTACATCCATTTGCAACGTTGCAAACTTCCTGTCATACTTTATTTTCCCTTTGGAAAACTAGTCAACTTAATTTCGTAAAAAAACTTCCTTGATTTTTCTTCTCTATCAGCAAAATATCCTTTAAAAATGTCAATCCATACAGTTAACTTGTTCCTCCTCAAAACAAAAAAATGATAGTAGCGATTTTGAAATACCGAAATGGAAATACGTGGTTTCGCACCTTGGCCAAATTCCATGTTGTCAAGAACAGCAGCCATGTAACCCCTGTCAGTTTTTCCTCGACTTGTCAGAGCCTCCTTAGCGGAGAAATGTGTGTTTTTTACCGTTTTCAAGGATTCCTTCTCTTATTCGCCTGGAGCTCCCATGAACTCGTGAAGCATTTTAGACCAGAAAATTGGACTCAATGGAACATGTTACAAAGAACAAGCTATATTTCAGCCCGATCGGAAAACTTTTGATTTTGACCCCAAAATTCTAGTCCAAGTAAGCAGAAGTCATTTCAACATGGCTCCAAAGAAATCTGACCTCTCCTAACTTTCATTCTTTGAAGATTCTTTTTGATCCAACTTTTTGAAAAGAAAAAAACTCAAAGTTTCAAAAAGTACATAGGGTATGATCACTTTTTAAAACTTCAAGTTTTAGTCTTTTTTCAGTGGGGTAAAAGTTTGTTTCAAGGAACGTCCATTGAGGTCAGTTTGTGAATATCAGTTTTAAGGTAAATTTTTCCCATGTTTTACGGTGTCTTTTCGATTTTTTCAGTCAGCAACATCCTTCATGCCGGAAAAAAAACCAACAATGAAGAAATTGAAAGTTCTGCCATCAGTGAAAAGGTAAGGATGCTTTAAAAAATCTGCACCTGACAATAGTCAGACTTATTCCAAAAAGAATCGAAACGGAGACAAAAATTCTCATAACTGTTTTGTTGCATTCAAAGGAGGGCGGGCCATGCCCTAGATACTCATTTTCACTGTGATCATTATGAAGGGCTCTGAAATCGTTCCATTAAATGAACTTATTGCTTGCAGTAGGATTTTCAACTCAACCATGTACCCTCCTGTTAGATTTAAAACTGAAGAAACTGTTAGATTTAATGTTGACGAAAACAGCTCTCCCGAAAAATTTTTCCTTCATGGCAACAAGGCCCTTTTCTCTTTGGACGCTCCTAAGTGAAGAGTCCTTTTTTCCTCCCAAGAGAAGGAATGGACCACTAAATAAGGGACAAATTTACGTATCCTGATAAATGTTTCCTCCTTAACATTAAAACACAAAATGCGGATTGAAAATTACTGAAATTAGTCCCCAACCAAGATATCAACATTTTATCTAGCTTTAGATACAAAAAAATTTAAATTTCCAGCTCACAAGAAAGACCAAAGTGTACATGAAATAAATCGTGCACTACAACAGTTTTGCCAGGCTTCTCAATTGAACAGAGTTCCCCCCTTGTTCTGTGTTGTTCAAAGTTTAAACAACAAGCAATGACTAAGCTGAAGTACTGAGATTGAGAATGTCATATTTTTACACCGCTAAGACTGTTGTAGTAACGTTTAGGTAGAATAACTACATTTAGGCTTCAATTTAATTCAGCGATTTTTCATTAATTAGAGGGAATTTTGATCAGGCGTTACTTTCAATAATAAATGGTAAAACCGATTTTTTTAATTTATTAAATACACTCACTGTTTGTTCTAATTTTTATCAACTTTCAATAATGTTCCATGCAAAAATCGTGTATTTATTGAAATTTTAATGAGAAAATATGTATCATATTGCTTACATTTGCACCTCATCTAGCGGTATCTTGGAAAGGTGCAAAAACTTTTGTCATCTTTTGTAACTAGACGGAAATTTAAGAAAATATACAGACATGTTATTTTAAACTAGAAATTAAATAAACGTAAACATAATCATCATGAAGTTGACATGGATCACATTTATGTGAAATAGATGAATTAATCAGACCTTAAAATCTTATCAAGAGGAATTTTACAGTTTTTTGGCTCATATCTTTAGTATCAATATTAAGAGTATACATTTTAAACATCATCCCTCTTTCTGTTTTAGAAAAACATTGATGAAGCTGTGCAAGATTCACTATCAATATCTGCCGATCTTTTCTTGGCTGAAATCTCAAAGTACGCCTCCATCATCGAAGTTTTCAATGAACGCGTGGACATCTCCAGTAAAATTTCAAAATACAATGAAAAAAGGTTTCGAACCATACACAGTCTCTCAAATTTGTAATGCGCTGCAACTTTTTTCTCTTGTCATCACAGAATTTTTGATAACTTACCAACTGGAAAACTTTTGGTGGGTTATCAGATTAACTTGCTGCATTTCTTATCTCAGTGTTCATAGTTTTAATCCAATTCAATTTTAGTTAACTTTGTATCGCAATATCAAATTATTTTACTCTTTGATCTAGGGAAACCGTGCTGTTTATTTCATGTGTATGGCACTCTGTGCTATGTTTTAATTTTTGAGAACACTTTCAGGCTTTACAAAAGAAAGTGGAATCTATTTTAGCCTATATTTTTACTTGTATCATGCTGCAGACTGTACTAAACCTTATAAATATTGTTTTAAAGTGAAAAGGAAAATCATCAAAATAAGATGATGAAAAGTTAATTTTCTCCTTCTAAATTGATGGTGAAACTGTAGAAATGCATATTTCCATTTACGACGTTGCAGACTTCTTGTCATACTTCATTTTTTAAGTGGAAACCCATTAAACGTCATTTCTCGAAAATGTTCTTTGTTTTTTCTTCTTTTTTTCAAGGATATTCTGCGAAAATTTCAAGGCATGATGTCGGTTAGGTCTCCTTTTAAAAAATAAAATAGTAGCACAGATTCTGGAAAGCTGCCATTGAGTTTCGCATTTTTGCAGTTTCACTGTTGATATGTAATTTTTCCTGACTCTACAAGGAAATTACTTACCCTCTTGGGTTCCACGCCTGCCTCAGAAACATGTTGTAATGAATTAATGAATGTTTCCATGCTTTTTATTATTTTGAGCAGATACAGTGTACACTCGCTCAAAAATCTTTTTCACACAGAAGGAACGTATTCATGAAAAAATCTATTTAATTGAAAAGGGAGAAAAAAATCTGTATTCGCCCCTCTTTGTTAATTTTGAATGACCCCAGTTAGCTGGTGAATTAGCTTCAGTATGCTAATATAAAATAGTGGAACCGGACTTTTTAATTCAAAGAGGTCTTGGTGACTCCATTTTGATACGGATTAGTGAAATTAGCGAAAGAATGACCAAGGTTCACTCTGTCGAGAACACGTTGTGAGTGAAGACATTTTTTAAGTTTTCATCTAAAAGCAGATGATTTTGAGTTGTAGAGCAATTTGAACTTGTTTGAGGTCTTTCTTTGTTCTGAAGTTTCTGGTGAAGCAATCTCTATAATTTAAAATCTTGTAAGTTAAAGAAAATCCTTGCTTTGTTCAATTTTATCAGTTTGAGTGTACACTGTAACAAATCATGTTTTTGTCAAGACTTGAAAACAGGTCGAATGCATGAAAAGTATCAGAACTAATAAAAAATGAAGGTTTTGTGTCCAAAAAAATTACCACCTTTGAACCCTTCGATTTAATGCAGGCAACGATTTATAATAAAACGCAGGCAATCAATGTCTTACACCTTGTCTATGTTGAGGGTTCGAAAAATATATTATGTCTGTTCGTCTTCCAATGTTAATATTCTTGAAATCTTGAAAAAGAGCAAGAAACTTTTTTCTTGCTCTCTCTGTATAATTTTTATTTATACACTTGTGCAATTTGTTTTGATAAAAGTCCACTCCAAAGGAGTTTATACACTTTTAGATTGCAGCAGAAGATCGTGTGACATCAGTTTAGCATTGAAGATAAATGCAAGAGTCAAGACGGCGGATCTTCTGTTGCAGTCCAAAAGTGCGTAAAGTTATTTGGCAAGGACGCTAATTGAGTCTCATTGTATAAATTTGTACCGCCCCTTTAATTTCTAGGATTTTTTTTATTATTATTCATTATGGCATTTTTTCATCTGTCCATAAATGAAATATTTATTATTGGTCAAACGTGACTTTTAACACCAGCCTTTTCATAACTTTTTCCTCTCTGTTAATAATCGCTCATATTACGGATTTGTAATCTATTCGAGTCCATGCCAAATAAGTTTGCAAACCGCACTACTGTTGCAGTCTAAAGGACTGCAACAGTAGATCCGCCATCTTGATTCTTTCAATCACTTTACCCATAAAAGTGACGTCAGTCACTCGTCAGACCCTGTTGCAATCTTGGAGTGCGTAAACTTATTTGGCGTGGGCTCTACCATGGAGGGAAGAGGCAATATCTGTAAGGAAGAAACCAGTTTTCTTTTGAACTATAAAATTGTATGCCACAATTGCTGTAATTGCTTGTATTGCTGTAATTCAAACCCATCTTTTTGATTTTTTGTTACTTTTATAATTTTAAAAATACTGAATTAATGAGTTGAAAGAAAATGAACAGTTCTAATTCTAAAGGAAAAAAAATTTGAACATTATTTTCAATGAAATTTAAGTAACTGAATGCATTCTCTGGTGCCCTGAATCATCAAGACGTAATTAACGAGCTGCCAGTTCTTATATGAAATCACCAGCTTAAATTACCAATATTTTTAAGAAGTTGAACTATTAAAATTTTAATTTTTACGAATACATGACCTTTTTATTCAATACACAGCCCTATTATCTAATTTAGACCCACCACCAGCCAACAGTTTACAAGGTCTTTGCAATTGTAGGGTCTTCAGTGAATGAGATGATGAGCGGACCTGTTCACATTCCTTTTTTTCTTGTATGTTCATGAAAAATGCTAAAATTCTGAGTCTACTGAAAATGAAAAGACCCTCTCTCGGTTCCTCCTGTTCTGATATTCTAATCAAAAACAACTCAGATTCAGGGGTCTTAAGTGAACAAGATGGATTGAATTACTAAATATATCAATCTATTGAATGATGGAGAACGAGACGTAGGAGACCTATTCATATCAGTTCTTAAATCTTTCCTTTGCAGCATGATTGTTAAAATTATGTGTTTGTCGACCAGATTAGAAGAAGTGAGTTATGTGACTGTTCAGCTTTATCCTTAGTCCTCTTTGTTGTGCCGATAATGGGCGTATTCATCGAGAAGCTAAAGACATCTCTTGAGTTGCTAATACTGTGTTGTCAAATCCTGGTATTCATGGTATTTTACCCAAAAATACCATGATTGAGATCCACTACATGTTAGCTTATACTCTGAGGAAGTCCAAGGCATGAAAAAACTAAACCACTTTTATTAGTAGGAATAAAATGATTTTAATGAAGAAAAAAACAGTGTAATAAAAATGAACAAAATACAATTTAATGGAGTGTGAGGGAGTCTTCGAAAATTAAACATACCATTCTATAACAGACATTTGACCTTAAACTGAACAGTGAATCACCGATAGATCAGGAATTTTCTTTTATTTACTATAACCTTCATAATGAGTAAAGCCTTTGGAAAAGTTAACAGATGAATTTGGAAAAGACTTGGACTGATTAAAAGGACCATTACATTCTGAGGAAAATACATGAGTTGGAAACACATAAATGAAAAAACAACATCAATGAAAACAGCGTATTTCATGAACTGCATCCATAAATTTTGAGTGGTTTATGGATGGTACAAATAAATACTCACATAAGTTAGCTTCATTTTTTATTTGACGATCTTTTAAAGAATTAAAGTAGATGCCACCTATTACTTCAATTGATAAAAAGGGCTAAGAGAAAGGCAGATACAGACTCAAAAATTCAGATGAACTGAAAGTTCAACAAGCATTAAGTTGCTAAGATTGACAGCGCATCTCTTGTTGCGGAAATTAATCCGCAACCCTGACAAAAGAACAAAGGGACAAGTTGACCTGAAAGGATAGAGATGAGTTAATCAGACAAAGTGATTAATTGTAGTGTCAAAAAAAAAAAAAAAAAAAAAAATTACATTTTACCAGTCTGATACACAATATCCGTCTCATTGAACCTAAAATATTGAAAAATTACACTTGGAATGTAAGAGGGAGGGATCAAAGAAGGCGAACAATTCAAAAATGTTGACATCCCTAAAAATAGACAAAGGTATGTACTCCATTGATTTTTATATGATTTGCTAGGTTAAAAACAAAACAAAAAAGAGAACAATAAAAATATTAAGTGGTACGAAATTATCTCACTTTTTCCTCCTTTTTTGACTACAATAAATTTCACTCTTTAAGAATAATGATAATAAAAATAAAAAAAGGAAAACATTATGATGATGAATTCTGAATAAATGATGAACTTAAGAGTGGAAATTGCCTACCCTACAAAAATACCACTAGTATGAGTTTTATTTACAATCTATAATGACAACTGATTAATTTAGACCCAAGACGCTTACCATTAATGGAAAAAAGTAACAAAAACTAAACTTCTGAACTTCAAGAAGAGTGACAACCTAACTAGATATCTATGATCTCTACAGCACTGATTTCATCATTTCCATTTGAACAAAAATAATGTAAGGCGTTGATGTAGAAAAATTTTCAAGCAAGATATGTATGACATATCAGGTAACAGACATTAGAGTGGTAACAAATACCGCTTAGTAACTATCGTGAGCATTAGGATGCGGTAAGTAAAATTTAGCATAAATCATGAAGAGACAAAAAGAGGACTCCTTTAATTAACGAGTTTCTTCTTTTAATTTCCATCTCTGACCTTCCGTAGTAGCACACAATGTAAGATTTACAAAACAAGACATGTAAAAAGAACCCTGAAGAAAAAGAAGAAAAATAGACCAAGAACGAAATGTCTGTTAGTATTTTTACAAGGAAAGTACAAATTACCTTTTAGATCATACATTTTTGCCGTAAAATTCTTGATAATTTACGACTTCCTCACAAGCTTTCTCAGTTCAACTTTCAAACTTGTAAAAAAAATCAGTTTTACATTTTTCATCGGAGTAATTTCACAAAATGTGCTACTAAATTGGCTGAAAGTCCTCGTGAGAACTGCAACCTTAAAATGCTTTGCAAGCAATTAAAAATTGCTGAAATGGTGTGACATTGTGCAAGTGTAGCCTTTGTTGTTTGCATTTAATTTAAAAAGAACTCAGATGAAAATATAATTTTTGAGAGTTACAGCAATTAGATTTTTTTACTTTCCATGGGTTTGTTTGATTTTATAGACCATTCTGCTCTTTCGATACGATTGTTCAAAAGAGAGAAAAAAGGCACAAGGTGTTCAGCTAGATTTCTTTGAAAATCTGTTTGACTGAACATAACACGGAAATTTTTGGTATAATAATCAATAACTTCAATGGTACAGGGAACAAACAAACATAATAAAACTAGAACAAAAAACCATACTAAAATGTGAAAGCAAAATAAACAGGAATGTAATTAAAACTAAACGTACAGGGTGACTTCATAGAAAACAGTAAAATCCATCGATACACAAGTTGTGATGTTTTAGGACTACTCCTTTCATTAAATAAATCTGGCCAACATGTCTCATCTAAAACTTGATGAATTTTCGCGGTCCATTATAAGGCACCATCTTAAAAAGTTAACAGATCCAAATACTATGCATCAATGGATTAATATTTTTGGAAAATCAGACTATTAGCTTAAAAATTCCTCCTTCAGATGAACCACTAAAATTTCCTTTTCGATTGAACACTAAAACGTTACAATCTCTTACTTAAATCATTTCGAAGTATTCATGCCAAGATCCTTAAAGTTAGATAATATGTGTTTTGGAAAAATCATCATTTACTTTTCCGAGAAAAAGCAATAATTCAATAAAAAGGAGAGGGGCTTGCTGATTGAAAACATCAGTTGAGATACTCTCAAAATCTTAGGCTTCTTCTCTTTAGATTTTACTGTTTTGAGTGGCAAGGAGTGGATAGGGCACGTAAAAATAGCTCTGTTAACCAAATTTTATATTGCCTGATCACAAATGCTGCTGTTGGTAAAGAAAAATTCAGATTTCTTTGACAACTCTTTGAGGAATATTTGGACAAATGATATCATTCTGAGAGCGGTCTATGACTAAAGCGATGACAATTGATGGGCCTGATTCATTGATTCGACAGCAAACAACCTTGGCAAATTTAGATTAGACAGAACATTCAGTATTCATCTTAAAATGAGATGGCAAAAGAGAGAGATGAGTTAATCCAAAATTGTAATAACAACTTACGGGAAAAAGTAGGGTTGACTACGAAAAAAAAAAAACAACTAGAAACATTATTACCTGACCGTTCTAAACAAAACAAACAATTAACAAACTCTAATGAACACAATAATAACTAGTTTACAAACTAAAAAATTAGAGGAGAAACTGTGACTAACTCTACAAGACCAATAGGTGCACAGGCTACAATGAAAGAGAAATAATAAAAAAACAACTTGGAAAAATTTGGTCGAGTTTCTGCTAAAGAGACTTCATTAAAGACTCCTAATTGCGGGAGAGCAACATTTTTCTTGCAAAGCTTTTCCTGCTTTCATTCTTCTCGGCAAAATATCAGAGGGACACTTCGTTGCTCCTCTGATGAAAGGGAGTATCTCAATTTCCATGCAAGTCCTGTTCTCCGCATAACTTTATGTTTTCCAGGGTTCATGTGGAGATAGAGATACGCTCTTACATCAAAGGAGTGATGACTTTCTGCATTACATCGCTTGAAAATGGACAAAATAACAAGTTTTTTGCTCTTGAAAAAAATTGAATGCAAGATCTTTCGATGAAATTTACAGAATAGTTTTCTTTTAAAGTTGACAATATTCTGGCAGAAAAACCAGAACAACGTAAGCTTTTGGGTGATTTCATAAACATTGAGTTATATAATTTTTACACCACTGTAACTAGGTTGGTTACCTTCTGCTAAATGCGATCCAATTAACACATCAGAAGAAACATTTTTGCATCAAAATTTTACGCAGACACAGCTAAACAAGCTCAATCAGTATACTATCAACTTGTAAGTGAGGGATCAGTTCATATAGATAAAAATAGAGCGAGTAAATTCAAACCTCCTTCTAAAAAACAAAAAACCTAGGTCAGATATGTCATTGTAAACAAATGGGTGTTTGACAAATAAGTAGAAACAGCGCTATTTTGGTACACATTCATTCACAACTTGAAAAGAAAAATTCAGAACTCAGAAAACATTGTTTGATTCTAATTGTGTGACAAATTCGACTCAAATAGACTGGTGTTCCTGCAAACTAGAAATCTGAATTAGCTAAAACAGAAAACGCTAATTGCTCCATCGAGAATAGAATTTTGGAAAAGCGTCCACAGTGTCCTCTGTAAAATTTTGGTTAAAAAGCCTGTACAGTGGTACTACATTCTATGCAATATAATTCAAAGGCCCTTTTCCTTCAGCTTAGAATAAAAGTCAAAATTGAAAGAGGTGATGTGTGGGCTCTTGGCATAGTCACACTGGCATGCAATATATTGCATTAATCCAGTAAAAAAATTTCAGTAGATTTTGACCTTTCAGCCAAAAAAGGACGATATTTCCTGCGCATGAGCCCAAAAATCATTGTTAATATAAAAAATTTGCGAAATTTAGAGAGATAAAGGCAGAATTCTTCTTGGAACAAAACGTTGCATTAAATACAATTCCCCACCAAATGCAACATTCTTTCCTACGGAGAATTCTGCATTCATTCCTCTGAACTTTGCAAATTATTCTGATGAGAATGACTTTTCAGGCTCATGCTAAGAGGCTCCTTTTTTCCAGCTAAAAAGTTAAAATCTGCCGAGATTTTTTGACTTGACCGATACGATATCAAATGCCAATTGGACCACGCTATGAGTCCGAGAAGAATTACCTTAATGAGATTGGCTTCATTGGAAAATGGAACGTTCGAATACAAAAGATGAGAATTACGGAGTACTAACAGGAGTTCAAAGAAGATCAGCATTTAAGTAAGATTACATTAAAATCAATTAAGGCATTAACTGATAAAATCAATTGAAGGGTACCTTTGAGAAAGCTTCCGCAGACCAAACTAAGATGCTCACTCCTAAAATGATCAAAAAGTTTCGACCGATGGTACTATAATTTTTCAACACCAAGGATTAAAAAAATTAACTTACATAAAAGATGTAATAGCGCCCAGAAAGCTTTCTTTCTCCTTTAGGGAGAGGTACATGAAAATCTTCTTTTTTATAAAAATTTTATAGTATTGAAAAATAACGGTCAAAGATAAGACAGTAGTTTTTGAGGAGGGAATAAAAAGGCACAAAGAATTCTTCTGTAGATAAAGGAATGATCCCTTAACATTGGATAGAAACAGGCACGTCCTCTTCTCCTCATCTCTCAATTGTTACAAGAAACCTTCCATTTAATAATTGATAAATAAACAATTACATATTGATAGCTGAGGTAAAAAATTTCATATCTCAGACTGCGTTATGTTAGTCTCCACTCATGTTTTCTTAAAGGGAAACTAACCAAAAATTTAAATTGAAATTTTCTGTGAATTTTCTTCACTTAAGCTAGAAAAATCACCCAGAAATGCAAGGACACATTTCGATCAGTTTTCTTTCAAAAAGATAATACATAATCGGATTTTTATAAACGTTGCAACTGAGATACACATTCTTTGCATTCAGCCATCTCCATGTATCTCCACAGAAAGAATCTGTAACTGAGCAATATTTTTAATTTATCTGAAAAAAAAAAAAAACTTAACAAAAATTAAATTTCGAATGAGAAAATAATGAAACAGTGGAAACAAGAATTTTCAACCGACTCATAATAATTGAAGTCCCAAAAATTATGAGTACTGACTACTCAGTGAAAAACACAAGCTAAAATTTTACAACGCAGACAAATATATTCGATAAAATAAATTCTTCTCCAGAAGATTCTCAACAAACTTCGTAATTAAAAATAATGATGGGTACATTTCCAATTTGGTATCATAAAAACTATGTCAGTCTTTCAAATATATTGATCAACGCCTCGCAGAGGAATTTCAGACTTTGTACAGAAGTGAACGTTTTTTGGAGTGGATTGATTAAAACGTCAAAGTGA